TGGCGTGCGTGTGCCACATCTTGTGATCACAAACCCTCCAAGTGTCCCTGTTTTCCAGGGACAGCCCCGGATTTACAGAAGCTGTCCCGGTTTCAAATTTGATCCTGGAATGTCCCACTTTTCCTTAGGACATCCCTATTTTAATTGGAGAAATGTGGGAGGGTATGGAGTTATGCCACCCACAAGCCAATGAGATAAATAACTCTACAACCTTTAGAAGACATCTGAATGCAGCCCTGTATGGGGAAGTTTTTTTAATGTTTAGTGTTTTATTATGTTTTTATATATGTTGGGAGCCACTCAGAGTGGCTGGAGCAACCCAATCAGATGGGTGGGGAGGCTCAGCCAGATGGGCGGGGTATAAATAAATTATTGTTATTATTATATTATTATTATTATTTAGGACGTTCCTGTTTTTATCAGAAAAATGTTGGCGGGTGTGTTTATGCAGGGTGGGGCTTACCTTGGCTGCCCAATATTTAATTCTAGTTGGCATCCCTGTGGCCTGGAAAGGCTCTTCTATAATGACAAGATTGTTGGTGCAATCATTTCCTCCACCATTTCCTCTTCCAGGATTTCCTCATTCTCACAGCCAGCTAGCTTTGATGTGGTCTGCACCAAAGACCAAGCAACTGGCGAGTTCAACAATTTCAGCGGAATCCTGTTTTGCCGGATGGGCATTTGAATGAATCTTGTGTTGCCACCCTCATTGCAACCCTCAGTGTAGATGGAACTGGAAGCACCAAGCGTTCTTCCTCATTATTCCCAGAACCTTCCATCAGCAATTATTTGCCAGCACTGTTTGTCCTTCCCACCTACATGTCATGCTGGAGAACAAGGGTGGCAAAGGTCTGTATTTTGGGGAGTGGCTCTGAACTGAAATTCAAAATGCCAGCATGAGGAAGAAGAAAATTCAGAACTGGGAAATTGATATGGACTTTTGTTGCTATGCTGTTTCTCGATACACATTCTTTTATTGCTGCTTGGTTTATTATTTTATGTGTGTTTTATTGGGCTCCTTCGGGGGAAAGGATGGGATGGAATTTGAATTAAGAATTGCAGCAGTAATACCGTATTTTTTGCTCTATAAGACGCACCAGACCACAAGACGCACCTAGTTTTTGGAGGAAAACAAGAAAAAAAATATTCTGAATCCCAGAAGCCAGAACAGCAAGAGGGATTGCCGCACAGCGAAAGCAGTGATCCCTCTTGCTGTTCTGACTTCTAGGATAGCTGCGCAGCCTGCATTCGCTCCATAAGACGCACACACATTTCCCCTTACTTATTAGGAGAGAAAAAGTGAGTCTTATAGAGCAAAAAATACGGTAATTCCGAGCTGCCAGCTACTCATGCCTGGCACATTGTGCTGGTTTACAAGAGATGGGTGAAATAACTTAAGTCCAGTGCTAGAGGACAACTTTGATTTAGGACAAGATTGGCTTGCACCAGAAGGTCTTGTGCCATTCCGTAGTGTCATCTGACCTTCTGTATGTGTTTAGTCTTAGGGTAGAAGGTCAGGTGAATGCACAGAAGTCAGGCGTTGGTCCAACTGGTTGAGCTGATCCCCCTGCACATTTTTATTCTCCCTGGCATGTCTACCAGCTCCATCTGGTATGCAGACTGAGATCCTACCTGCCCGTGGACTGTCTCGCCAGAGTGGTGCATGCTCTAGTTATCTCCCGCTTGGACTACTCCAATGCGCTCTATGTGGGGCTACCTTTGAAAGTGACCCAGAAACTACAACTAATCCAGAATGTAGCAGCTAGACTGGTGACTGGGAGTGGTCGCCGAGACCATAAAACACTGGTCCTGAAAAACTTTCATTGGCTCCCAGTACATTTCCGAGCACAATTCAAAGTGTTGGTGTTAACCTTTAAAGCCCTAAACGGCCTCAGCCCAGAATACCTGAAGGAGCGTCTCTACCTCCATCGTTCAGCCCAGACAATGAGGTCCAGCTCTGAGGGCCTTCTGGTGATTCCCTCACTGCGAGGAGTGAGGTTACAGGGAACCAGACAGAGGGCCTTTTCGGTAGTGGTGCCCACCCTGTGGAACACCCTCCCATCAGATGTCAAGGAAATAAACAACTACTTGACTTTTAGAAAACACCTGAAGGCAGCCCTGTTTAGGGAAGTTTTTGATGTTTGATGTTTTATTGTGTTTCAATTTTATTGTGTTTTCAATATTCTATTCCCCACCCAGAGTGGCTGGGGAAACCCAGCTAGATGGGTGGGGTATAAATAATAATAATAATAATTATATTATTACCATATAATATCTGAAAGGCCTCCAAATTTATCATAAATAAATTAACCAAAAAATAATAATACCCTAGTGAGGTTCACATATTGTGTTACTAAAAGCAATTTAATTAACTATAGCACACAGCATGCTTGCACAATAAAGCGACTGCACTTAAAGAAACATTTAAATTGTGGGTCATATGTATGAAGCAAGGGTGAAGAGAAAGAAAGATCTAAACCACCCAAATAGACTCCTATAAAACTAAATTAGACTCAGAGGCCTTAGTGCATTTTTCCAAAAGGAATTAAAAGCACATCTAAGTAATACAGTAGCCTGCCAGGCTTTCCTCGGGAAGTCTATTCCATAGTCAGTGTCATCACTGAGAAAAGTTGTTAGCCACTGAAAAATATGGAAAAAGGGAGTCTCTGCAATTAGGGCAGTGCACAAGAGGAGTTTGGAATATTCAAGAAATTTGGTTGGGAAAAGCCCAGTTCCTAATTAGTTCCATTGCACCCTGTCTCATTTCAGCTATTCACTGACATCAGGCTACAGATGAGCAGTTTTGGTTTCTCTCAATTTTCCCAATTAGTTCTCCACAATCTTATATCAGGAAGTCATACTGAAATGCAATCAGCACCTTCCAGCAAATCTCTCCCAATGTATGCAGTTTTGCCTAATATATTTATCATTTATTTCTAAACTGCTTAATATTCCAAAAACCTCTAACCAGTGCTCAGCTTGTACTATATAAAAACAATATTTTTGCCAAATATTTTCCTTGAATAGAATGCAATTTTTTATGTTGAATAATATTTTATGTCCACTTTGTTGCAGTATGTGCATTTTTGTACACATTGCTTGGCCACAGAACTGCATGGCAAAATTCAGAAAAGTTTGAATTTTGAAGGATGTCTGGGTTTCAGTTCTCATGTTGTTTTGGAAAGAACAAATTCAGGAGCTTTGCTTTCAAGTGAACTGAACCAAATTCCTCCCCTGTCCCTACATCTGACATCATAACTTCACAGCGCATAGCTGTCAAGTGTCCCTTATTTGGCGGGACAGTCACTTATCCCAGCGCCATGTCCCGCTGCTGTCCCTTATTGATGATGTCCCTTAAATAAGCTACTGAAGGTAATGGGGCCCTTTCTATGTCCAGCTGTCCTTTGTCAACATCAAATTGTTGCTTTTTTGTGTGTTGAATATATGCTATATGGTAATTTATGGACCTAATAGGTATCTAAAGCCATTTGCATGCAACAAAATATGTATTTTATCAAAGTAATTGTTGATCCCTTATTTTGGCTGTTGATCCCTTATTTTTGAGGCTGCTGGTCCCTTATTTTCAAATCTGTAAGTTGACAGCTATGCCACAGCGTATGCACATTAATGATTAAATGCAATTATCCCTGCATGGTGGACAAATATTTTCATGCCCATTAAAAGGGAAATGGGCCAAAGAGCAGCAGATGATAACAGCTGCGTGATCCATATTTGAATCAACCTAGCTTGGGGCTATTCCAGCCTTTCCTTAAGCTTTTTTGTATTTATTCGGCTAGTCAAACTCTTTGCTGCCTCTTCCCTTTGTACTTCTATGCTTTTAGATGCATTGAGTTCCCTCTAGTGGAAGAAAAAATGGGATAAAGGTATCTAGAACAAATAAGCACACAACCTGCAGGTATTTATACAGTGCTTTCAGGTATAAACATCCCCACAATTTGAATCAATTTCTTGTGGCTCTCTCCTGATTGACTCCAGCAAAAAATATGCCATCTTCTTTCCTACACCGGTTACAGTGCAAACTTATTTATGTGTCTTCTCCGCAGAAGTTTGTTTCACTGAGTACAGTGCGGCTTCTCCCCTGGTAAATGTTAATGGGGTTGCAGCCTCAAACTGAAAATGTCAGCTGTGTGAATTTCCTTTCCCCATTGATCACAACTCAATGATATTTTCATTTATGAGCTTTATAACTTTTTTTGCAGCGCATTTTCAGAACTTTTTTTTATAGCTGTGTAGATCTAGCCTGGGACGTGGGTGGCGCTGTGGGTTAAACCACAGAGCCTAGGTTCGAATCCCCGTGACGGGGTGAGCTCCCGTTGCTTGGTCCCAGCTCCTGCCAACCTAGCTGTTCGAAAGCACGTCAAAGTGCAAGTAGATAAATAGGTACCGCTCCGGCGGGAAGGTAAACGGTGTTTCTGTGCGCTGCTCTGGTTCGCCAGAAGTGGCTTAGTCATGCTGGCCACATGACCCGGCAGCTGTACGCCGGCTCCCTCGGCCAATAAAGCGAGATGAGCGCCGCAACCCCAGAGTCGGTCACGACTGGACCTAATCGTCAGGGGTCCCTTTACCTTTACCTTTTTTAGATCTAGCCTTAGTATCCTTTAGCTGGGGTACTATTAGCATTAATTTTTTACATACAAAATCGCCTCTCACCCCCGCAACAGTCACTCTAAGAGACTGATAATGGGCTTTGTGTCTGCACAGCCCTCCCTTTGTGCACCTGGCTCCAGCACTTCTGTTATACAGTCACAGAATCATAGAGTTGCAGTGTTGAAAAGGTCATTTAGTCCAATACAGGAATCTTTTGCCCACCATGGGGCCCCAACCCACCAGTGGTGTAGCGTGGGTTGCTGGAGCCCAGGGTGTGGGGGGCCATGCTGGCGGGCAGGCATGCTGGCTTCCTTGCCGCAGTTCTGGCCTCAATGAGGGAGCCTGTCCTGGGGGCACTTGATTGCCCGCTCCGAATTCTGTGCCCAGGGCCATGGCCCTCCTGCCACCCGCCACGCCTCTGAAACGCATGACCCTGAGATTAAGAATCTCATGCTCTACCAACTGAGCAATCAGCCAGTTGTGAGCTATTAAGCCATATTTGCCTGTTATGTCCAAACTAATAAACTTGGAGGCAAAACCAGAAATGCTTGTGCTGACAGAGCAGTCTGCTTAGTGCTACGTTGAATTCCTCTGTGTGGTTCAGCAAACCACAGAACTGTACTATTATGGTGCATGAGTGAAGCGAGCACAGGTCGCAATGTTCCCTCTTGGTCTAATAAATTATGATTCATTAGTCCGATATTGCTGCATTTGAACTGGGCCACAATTGCTTAGTCAAGGTCAAAATACACTGTGTGACCCTGGGCGATTTGCCACCTCCCACATTAGCCTGTCTCACAGGCTTTATTGTGAGGGCGAAATTGAAGAGGGGCCTTGAGCAACCCTGAAGAAAGGGAAGGGAGAAAAGAATCTATATAGTAACAGTAGCCACCCTGTGAATTTGGTAGCCAAGCAGATGTTTGAACGTACATTTCTGAAACTCAAATGTATTCAGATACTGTACACAATGGCAATTTATTTTACATGTACTTGGGATAATTGCAGACGGGCTTAATTTGCAGATGGGTTGGTGGTTGTTGTTTTTTTTTACTTATCAAATTCCCTCTGGAAAGGGTAAATCCAGCTTAAAATCCAGATACAGTGGTACCTCTGGTTAAGTACTTAATTCGTTCCGGAGGTCCGTTCTTAACCTGAAGCCGTTCTTAACCTGAAGCACCACTTTAGCTAATGGGGCCTCCCGCTGCTGCCGCGCCGCAAGAGCACAATTTATGTTCTCATCCTGAAGTAAAGTTCTTAACCTGAGGTACTATTTCTGGGTTAGCGGAGTCTGTAACCTGAAGCGTATGTAACCCAAGGTACCACTGTACAGGCATTTTGGTGTGTACATGAGGATCACCATTTGCACAATAAGCATCTATCTGAAAGCATGCCTTATCTTGAGTCCCTCTCTTGATATTTGCACAGATATCCTGCTAATTTCAGTAGCAAATCTGCTATGATTTGGTGGCAGCAATTCAAAAATGATGTTCTCCATACAAAACAGATAGGACTTGAGTAACACTAGCTGAAGATTGTCTTAAGCACTTCAAAGAATATTAGTCATATTCCTTTATTTCTTTTTATAGAATACAGTATAGAACTCTTTGTGGGAGGACTCAAAAATAAAAAAGGATTCTTTTCGTTTTGTTTCCTACTATGTAATATATAAAATCTAGCATCTTAATCCCTTGCAAAATATGTTCCAGTAATTTAAGTAACAACACATTAGCATTTATATAGCTCTTCCGGGTGTTCAGAGCACATACATTATTTTGTAAAAACAATAGCAACCATGTAAAGTTGATTATTATTGTTATCCCCTGACCGCAAGTGGGCTGGGTGGGTGTTAGGCTAAGAGAGAGTGGTCTGCCTACAGTCGTGTAATGAGTTTGAAGCAGAGGTAAGATCTGAAGCCAAGAGTTCCTGATGGGTAGCTAACACTCAAAACCACTAAAATACACTGCCATTATTTGTAACACCTGTCACTGCTTGAATCTCCATTTCTCCCCCCTTTGCTCCACAGTTTTATAGAACTGCAGCTGTCCTAACCTCAGGATAGGGTAGGAGGCATTATTGCCCTACCTGAACATACCTGGATTGGAGGGGTTGTGATCTAAACCCAACGAAGATTCCTTTGGCGATGAGGAGAAACTTGCAGGTTGTCGGCTGATGTAAGGAAAATAAAATGCAGCACCAGTAACAGTTCTATAGCTGCTGCTCAGATTCCATTCCAGTGCTGTGTTCCTTTCAGATGTTATGGGAGATAGGAAGTTAGGAGAAGAAGGTGGAGGCTGCTTTGAAGACAAATGCCTAATCCAGAAAGACAGGAAAGGGGATGGGACGTGGATTCAAAGAGACAGGCTTCTCTCGTTCCCCAAGGCTGATTTTTAGAGTTGTTTTTTTTGGCGGGGTGGGGGTAACAACTGAAGAACAGAGAGAAGCTGCTAAGGAGAACGCACTATGCAATTTCCTCGCAGCCAGCCATCTAGGTTTCTGTTTAAGCTAAAAAAGGACAACCCCCTGGCAAGATCTCTGGCTCTGAACGTATAATTTAGATTTCTTCATATATATTTTCTGCTTCTTCCTGCGGCTACTGTAGAAGAAACTTAATATGTGGCAAAAGTGTAGGGAGAGAGATGGCCATTCTAAGGCTTTTTGCAGGAAGGGGGGTGGCTCTAGGAAAGGGATGTGCTATGTGTCCCCTTCCCAATATTCCCTGCTCCAAATTTGAGGATCAGGATTTTACAGTTGTGGGACGCTGCTGTAGCCCCAGCCACATGTTCAGTCATGCAAAGTTGGTGCTACTTAGGCACTTACTTTCTCAAGTCAGCTTTAGGCTCCTGTTGTTCTGTGGGTCTGAGAAGTTTCCAGCTGGCTACAGTTGACCCTGGATATGTGGTTAGCATGTCTTTCATAGGGATAGGGGATAATATTTATTTAGTTCACACTTAACAGTGAGCTGACCTAATTCACGCATTCTGAAGCAATAGGCAAACCGAAAAAAACAACCACTCTTTGACATTTGCACCTCCCTGAATATTGCAGAGAATGTACACAGCCAAGTAATGTCTGCAAAAAATGCATGTACAGTGGTACCTGGGGTTACATATGCTTCAGGTTACATACACTTCAGGTTACAGACTCTGCTAACCCAGAAATAGTACCTCGGGTTAAGAACTTTGCTTCAGGATGAGAACAGAAATCGGGCAGCGGCAGCAGCGGGAAGCCCCATTAGCTAAAGTGGTGCTTCAGGTTAAGAACAGTTTCAGGTTAAGAACGGACCTCCGGAACGAATTAAGTACTTAACCAGAGGTACCACTGTACTAGGATAAAGTGTGCACATAACGAAAATAGCACACAGAAGTCGAAGGAGCGAAAATTGCTTCGTGACAATCTGTGTACTAGGCTAAAATCACATGTGTATGTTCAGATAAATATGTACTGAAGTGCTGCTGAATTTTTGTGAGGATGTGTTAATTGATCAAGCAATCATTCTTCAGAGTGCCCTCCAAACTAGCCAAATTTATAATCTGGAAAAATATATCAATGTTGCAAATCTATGTACGTCTACTCAGAAGTGAGTCCCATTGAGTTCAGTGATGCTGTATATGAATGTTGCAAATCTATGTATGTCTACTCAGAAGTGAGTCCCATTGAGTTCAGTAAAGGATTGCAACCTGAAGGAACCCTGCAACCAACAAACCTCCAATGTCAATTCTGTACAGAGATGTAATACCAATTTAGTTGTATTTCTGGCAGTGTGCTTCTGTTCACCATGGGCCTAATCTTACAGTCTAGATGCTCTTGTGTCTGTTATGGACTGTACTACTTCTTACTACAGGGGATCACTAGTATTGTACATAGTGATACATTTAAAAATTTCATTCCCTCCCTCCCTCCCAGGGAAGCCAGAAATTGTGCCGTGCCACAATAGATGATACATCCAGTCACTCTGGTAATCTTGCATTTAACCTCTTTAAAATACCACATAATACTGTATGTTCAATTTTAATCTCCTTTCCTACGGAAAGGAAAATCTACTAGATCTGTACCTTGACTCCTTTTAAGAAGAGTTAACTTTTAAATAAAAAGGTCAATGTGAAACTGATAAGTTTATTTCTGTTTGGTTTGATTTTGCCACCTATGTCAACATTAAAGAACACAGTTGATCTTCGCCAGGGCTTTATTTTTTTTTCCAGCCAGAACTCACTGGAACTAAGTTCCGGCACTTCTCAGGTAGGCGCCATTGCCATTAAAAGAGAACAAGGGAGGCGTTCATGGTGAGTTCTGGCACCTTTTCCTAGAAAAATAGCAATTTTTGCCCAAAACAGATATGACAGGTTCCTATCCAAAGGGACTTAAGAATCTAAAACAGATCTAAAATAGACACTAGTAAACAACAGAGGAAGGGGTTGTTCAGCCGCATAAGCCAGGGGTCAGCAAAGATTTGGGACATGGGCTGGTTTGTGATCCTGCAGACGCTGTAGTAGGCCAGAGTGCGCATGCACACACAAACGCTATTTCCGGTGCTCCTTCCGGTGCAGAGGAAGCGTACACAGCTTCACATTAGCTGCAGGAGCTTCCTGCAGCCAATGGGAAGCCGCCCAGCGTCGCAGAAGGCGGTCCCCGCTCAACTCCATGCCGGTTTAGCATGGTGCACAGGAGCCAACCAAGCGGGTAGGAGGGATCCCCGAGCGGGTGGGGGGGGTCCATGGACCGGTTAAATGACCCCCATTGGCCGCTTCCGGCCCATGAGCCTTAGGTTGCCTATGCATGGTATAAGCTCTGTAAAAGTAGCTCTCCAATTCTGGTCTTAGCATGGTGCAACTGAAGTGTTTCTGTGTGTCACTTATGGCGTAATACTCCTACTGAACCATTGAAAAGATAATAGGATTTGATGGAAGCCCTGCTATGCTACCCAAGGCTGTGATGGTCACCACAAACCTTCAGGGTGGCTTAAGGGGTATGATTAAGTGCAACATCACAGGTATGCCTAAATGATGAAAAATGACCTCTGGTGATTTAGCCAGTGGTGCTAAATAAATGTGAAACAGTAGAAGTGTTAATGTGGAAGGCCTTGTCCTGGTTTATGGATTTGGCAATACTGAACAGTGATGACTCTTTACTTGCTCCCAGTGTCTACATTTAGAATGTAAGAATCTCCAGTTGCCTGCCTTTTGCAAAAGAATTCTGTGGTTTTTTCCCCCAGTATTAAAAGAAAAGAAAGGAAATACTATTACAATTTCCTTCTATTTAAGTGAGATAATTTTGACATGCTTCTTTCTAATGTACTAGGTTAACTCTAATAAAATATGTGTTTAGTCATCTCTTCTTTAGAGGAAGGAAGGCCATTTGGGAATATCAGAAAATGGGTGTAGCCAACCATTATAAATTTTAAGTAGGTGCCACTGTGGTTACTACTTAGCTATGAGGCAATGGTGTAATTATACCTGCTTGTTACTCCGTGCTCTTTTTCCGGGATGTTTTAAAATCATTATTGTGTTGCAGTGAACACAATACTTCCAGCAGTGAAGCATTTGACATCAGCTGATCTGCCCTGCGATGCCTGCTATTACGCATAAGCCAAGGACTTCAAAGATAAAGTTGCTTGCCTCTGTGGAGATGTGATGCCATAGTTGAAATTGGTCCATTTTATCTAGTCTCCTGCCACCTCTTTATATCTTGTAATAGTGCCACTGAAGTAATAGTGCCACTGTATTCTGCTCTGGTCAGACCTCACCTGGAGTACTGTGTCCAGTTCTGGGCACCACAGTTCAAGAAGGACATTGACAAACTGGAACGTGTCCAGAGGAGGGCAACCAAAATGGTCAAAGGCCTGGAAACGATGCCTTATGAGGAACGGCTAAGGGAGCTGGGCATGTTTAGCCTGGAGAAGAGGAGGTTAAGGGGTGATATGATAGCCATGTTCAAATATATAAAAGGATGTCACATAGAGGAGGGAGAAAGGTTGTTTTCTGCTGCTCCAGAGAAGCGGACACGGAGCAATGGATCCAAACTACAAGAAAGAAGATTCCACCTAAACATTAGGAAGAACTTCCTGACAGTAAGAGCTGTTGGACAGTGGAATTTGCTGCCAAGGAGTGTGGTGGAGTCTCCTTCTTTGGAGGTCTTTAAGCAGAGGCTTGACAACCATATGTCAGGAGTGCTCTGATGGTGTTTCCTGCTCGGCAGGGGGTTGGACTCGATGGCCCTTGTGGTCTCTTCCAACTCTATGATTCTATGATTCTACCTCCACCTACCCTGCCACATTCACCGCTGGCAGAGTAGCGCCGTTGACATTGGTGGCAAGACTGCACTGATTTGGGGTGAGATTCGACCCAAATTGCAGGTCTTGTGCGCTCCGCTAGTGTTATGTACTGAAGTTCCCACCCTGGGCCAGCAGGGGGATACTGTAGATAGTTTTCATTCAGGTCCATGTCAGTTATTTTAGGCGGGAAACCCTGGGTTGTTGTTGCTACAATGTTGACAGCCGGCTGCCTATAAAAGCAGGCCGGCTGAGCTGTTTGCTGTTCAGTTCTGTTCCAGCTTACAAAATAAAGAGCTGCTTTGCTGGCTGAAAGAATGGCTGCTTCTTGAGAACACAGACATTTTGGATTTAGAAGGTTTTAATAACGTTTTTGGGTGGCATGCATATCTGTGGTATGACAAGGTTGAAACACATAAAGCATTTAAAAATCATATTGTCAGAAGAGCATTGTTTAATGTCTGGACAAGATATAAAGACTTACTTGAAAATAAAACCCCAAGGTGGCTATCACCGATGGAGGCGAAGGCTCAGAAAAAACTCAATATGGAGGCCAAATGGCCAAAATATTGGGAGATTTTGGAACAGGAGGGTGACAAACTGAAATTGCAGAGTTTTGAGAAATTAAAAAACAAAGTGCGAGACTGGCTTCATTATTATCAGATAATGGAGGCATACAATTTGGACAAAAAATTGGCTTCCAGGTGGAAAAATCAAAATTAGAAACAGAACTGTTTGAACCCAAAACTAAGACTTTGTCAAGGATGTATAACTTGCTGTTGAAATGGAATACACAGGATGAAACGGTGAAATCTGCTATGATTAAATGGGCACAAGATGTTGGACATAACATAATGATGGCTGACTGGGAACAGTTATGGACCACAGGTATGAAGTTTACGGCATGCAATGCCTTAAGAGAGAATATTATGAAAATGATATACAGGTGGTACATGACCCCAGTCAAGCTTGCAAAAATCTAGCATTTGCCTGATAATAAATGTTGGAAATGTAAAGAAACTGAAGGTACATTCTTTCACCTTTGGTGGATGTGCCCAAGGATTAAGGCTTTCTGGGAGATGATCTATAATGAAATGAAAAAGGTATTTAAATATACCTTCCTGAAGAAACCAGAGGCCTTTCTCCTGGGCATTGTCGGCCAATTGGTGCCAAAGAAGGATAGAATTTTCTTTATGTATGCCACAACAGCAGCAAGAATACTCATTGCAAAGTATTGGAAGACACAAGATCTACCCACCTTGGAAGAATGGCAGATGAAAGTGATAGACTACATGGAACTGGCGGAAATGTCTGGCAGAATCCGAGACCAGGGAGAAGAGGTGGTGGAAGAAGATTGGAAGAAATTTAAAGACTATTTGCAGAAATATTGTAAAATTAATGAATGTTAAAATGATGTTGGATTGAAATGAAACGGCTTTAGCAATAAGGTTAAAAAGAATATGTAAAAATGGATTGATAACTAGATGAAAATACGAAGTTATGTTAAGATTTAAAATTAAGATAAAAACAAAGAGGGAAGGGATTTGCTGAATTAACCATGTGAACTGGAATACAAAAAAGGGAGGTGTGAGGAGGTCAGGAAACAAGTAAATGAAATATAAGACATGAAAATATTGATTTGTTTTTAATTGTTTTTTACTTTTCATGTATTTTGTCTTCGTATTTTTGTATCTTTTCTTCTTTTATTATTGTTATTCTTTTTTTTCTTTTTAATTCTGTAACTTTTGATTGTCTGTAAAATTTCAATAAATATCATTTAAAAAAAAACAAAAAACAAAATAAAGAGCTGCTTTGAAGAAATCGCTGTGTCGTCTGCCATGTCTACCCACTATTCAACAGCTAGATCTCGCCCAAAATGGATGTGATCTTGCTGAGGTGGAAGTGGGGGGCAGGCAGGGTAAGCATGGACGTTCTTCCTGGGGCATTTCTGTCGCCTGAGGCAGTGGCCTCACCCTGTTTAATGGCTGGTCTGCCTCAGTATCTGCAGTGAGTGTGACATTTAGCTTAGAATCAGGCCTGCAAAAAAGTCTACAAAAGTTACTAATCCACCTGCCAGCAGGTGTTTACGTTAGCCATTTGCAGCCTAAGAAAAAAGAAAGTTCCAGCTCTGCTCTGCTGAGCCAAGTCAATTTGTGCCATAACTTGGTGGGGGGGTGTTGAAGTGGCTGCAATCTCCTCTCCCAAAGCCTGCACACTCATGTGAACGTGGCCACTATGTTACTTGTGCGTGACAAATGTGATCAAATGGGTAAAATGTAAAATAATCAATGGTCAACTGATACCATAGCTTTATTTCAATTATGAAACATGGGAGTTGGAAAAATAATTCCATTAAAAAGTTAATTGTTAGCTGCCTTTGTTCTTTGCTGCCTGCAGAATTCAATTCCCAACACCGGACTGCCCCATTTCTGCTGTGGTTGTAGAGACTGATACAGGAGAGACATGTTTTGCTGCAGCTGGGGCTGAGGAAGGCGTCAGGCTCAGATGACACAGGCGTGCCGTGGCATTTCTTTCTGCGCCCACACTACCCTAAATCTGGCACTGCCTGAGGCAGAAACAATGCAGGCAAAAATCTTCAGTAAATAATAATAATAATAATAAATTCAAGCTTCAGTTGAGATTCCTGCATTGCTGGGGGTTGGACTAGATGACCTTATGGGGTACCCTTCCAACTCTACAATTTTATGAGTCTTGGCTAGGGCGTATGACTATCTACACGGTTCAAACAGGAGAAGACAACATTCCCCCCACCTTCCCCGGAAGCTGAGGGGGGGCGTGGCCTAGCCGTGCCTTCTCTAGCAACCCACCGCTCTGTGATCCTTAACCCCTTCCTTCACTACCTAGCCAAGACAGGCTTGGCTGCGGTTATTGTACGCCGCGCTCCCCAACGACGCACGCGCGGCCTTTACGCCGCGCTTGTGACACGCCGCGCCTCGCCGCGCTCGGGGAGAACTCTTCTCCTGTGACGCTCCCCTGGCGAGGAGGCCGCTGAGGGGGACGGGCTGTGACGCGAAGAAACCTCCAGGGGGAGCCCGCGGCAAGGCCGCAGCGGGCCCTGGCTACCGGGAGCCCGCTGGGCCCGTTCCTTCTCTCTCTTTCCTCTCTATCGCTCTCTCTCTCTCTCTCTCTCTCCCTCCGCCCCCACGTTCTCCGGCTTGCGTCACGCCCCGCCTGCGTCACCCGGACAAGATGGAGACCGCCGAGGAAGGTAACGGCCTGGAGCCTCGGGCGGCTTGTGTGAGGGGGGCGGGGGGGCGAGCGGAGGGGCGGGGAGGAGCCCGGGCCGTCGGCCTGAGGGTCGCGGGTGGGAGTGGGAAATAGCCTGGCCTGCGTCGGGGAGGCGTCCCGTGGGGGGTTGTGCGCGCCTCACCTGAGCTTCCCTCCCTTGGCCCGCCGGGGCGCCTCAGGTGCCGCTTCGGGGACGGTTGGCGTCGCGGGGTGGGGGTGGGGCTGTCAGGGAGGGGTGTCTCTCTGTGTATATATATATATATTTGGTATGCGTGTGGAGGTGTGTTGTTGTCGGTCGCTGTGTGATTTGTGTGTGTCGGTGGCGTGCATGGCAGTTGTGTGTGGTCGTGGTTGGCAAAACCTTGAACATCGGGGTGCCGCAGGTTGTGGGTTGTTGTTATTTTGGGAGGGGAGGGAGGCATGTTGTTGCTCTCGTGTGTGTGTGTGTGTGTGTGTGGGAACTTAGCACGCGAGGGGCGAGCGATTTCATCTCGGCAGATGCGGCACGGAGGGTCTTTTGTGTGTGTTTATTGACAGCTGTGTGTTGTTGTTGTTGGGGGAGGTGGGGATGCTGGTTCGGGATTCTCAAAAAAGACCCAACAAACACCGCATCAGAAACGGAACGCTCTGTGTGTGTGTGTGTGTGTGTGTGTTGTGTTGAAGTGTGCGTGTGTGTGAAAGGTGGTTGTGATTGTTGACATTTGTATTCCGCCCCCCCCCTTCAGATCTTGGGTCCCTTCACAGCGCAAAAACATAATATTAGAAAAAACCAACCAACCACAAAATACATGAAACCAAAAACAAATCAATGTCCCCTCCTTGGTAGCAATGTCCAATAGGGTTGGATTGAGCTAGGCGTCAGTCCTCTGGGATAGCTCAGTCAGTAGATCTTGAGACTCTTATCTCTGGGGCAAGTACATCCCTGCATTGCAGGGGTTGGACTAGATGACCCTCATGGTCCCTTCCGACTCTACAATTCCCTGATTCTATGACTGGGGTGATGTGTGTGAGCTGGCTACACTCCCCTCCTCTTCCCCCATGGTAGTGTGGATCTTAGGTAACCTTTCAGAGAGGTGAGGCTACAGTTGTAGGCAGCTGCAGTGAGCTTTGACAGCTGCTTGGTTTTTGTTTTCTTTTTCCGCTGCAAAGTAGGGCATGTTTTTTTACAGCTCACCCTCCAAAAGCTGCTGGGTGGGACATGTTCCAGAATAGTAGGTGCATAGCTGTCAACTTTTCCCTTTTCTTGCAAGGAATCCTATTCGGAATAAGGGAATTTCCCTTTTAAAAAGGGAAAAGTTGACAGCTGTTAAGCATTTTCTTGTAGGAAATGGTAACAGGGTCCTGGGGTACCTTAGAAGACTAAATGGCATGAGTTTTTATAAGTAGGAGCCAACTGCATCAGAAAGTTTGTGCCACAGTAATTCCTTTGCTGCTACAGCTATAGGCTTTTGGTAAACTTTTCTTCTTTCACTTTGTAAAGGGAAATAAGAGGCCTAACTCTGTGTTGAAAACATGGCGTTATTTCCCATCTTCTGTTTCAAAATATGATTCGGAAAATGTAGTGGATTCACCTGGTGAGATGTTTGTTGCTTACTTTTAATAATGTTTGCACTCCTGGGTAAATTGTGCATCTTTGCATTGTTCAGCTTGTCGTGGTAGAAAAATGATCGTCTCACCATAAAACTTTTCTTTTTTTCCTATTGATTTCTCTTATCCCTTTTCTCCTGCTAAACTAGTTCTGAATTAAAAATGTCATATGCTGTACCTGCTTATGTAAACAGCTTAACAGTCACAAGGGTAATTGGAAGAGAAAGGTTTGGATGCTTATTTAGGTAAAAGTTAGACAAGCGGCACACGTCCTCTAAAAAAACAACTTTCTGAACATCTAATCCATATCCATGTCACCACCCAAAAGTGATCAATAAATTAAGAACATTCTATGGTGTCACAGAAACATGTTTTGCTCAGATGAGATTTCCTTTAATTGGAAAAAAAGAGTACTGAAATTGTATATGTTTTTAAATACAATTCATTCTATGTAAAATACAGCAACATTTGCTCATAAGCCAATTGAGTAGTTCCTGATTCAGAAGATATTAAATTAGATTGCTGGCACGTGAGCTTTTTGGGGACATGTATCCCCAGAACCTCTTACTTGCTGTATCATTGCTCTGATAATTTATTCTTGATGTCTGATTTACTTTTGGGCTTAGGAGGGGTTTTGCATACCTTGAGGTTGATGTTAAGAAGAGACCGGAATGAAGCGTAAATGAACTGGTAGTGTTGGCACCTATGATGTATTCCTAACCCCTATTTGAAAATGTAAGCTGCTACAACAGCCCTCCAGGAGCCGCAGTGCTAAAATTGGACACCCAAAAATCTTGACAGATAGGTCTGCTTTCCTTAAAGTTGTTGTCTGTTTAAAAATATTTTATTGTTTTTAAATTTATGTAACAACAATAATAAAAAAGCATAATCAAAGTCTTCTTAAAAAGCTTGAACAGTGCAGTCTTCTGATGATTCTGCAAGTCTGTGCCAGGAGTTCATCCTAACATTGTAAAGATTGTAACCCAAATGAATCTGAGACATTTTGTCCCAGTTATTGGTCATTAAGACCTAACTTCATTTAATTGCTGAGGTGCTGAGGAGGGTAGAAGAAACTGCAAAGTTAGTGTTTAACATTGCAGCATAGTGAATACAAGAATGGACAAAAAGGAGTGTGGTGACTTGAAAACTTAGCTGAAGGCCTAATCTGCACTTTCACAGTTTCCCTGGACAAGTAGAAAGTCGTGTATGCCCAAACCCTTTCTTCAACAAGGTTTGGCCAGATTGTTTTCCTTGCTGTCTCACTAACTGAATGGGGCCCCATAGGATGAGACTCCAATATCACTCTTCTATAATATTAAAAACAGAGGCCTAATAAGCTGACTCGTATATAAAACCCAAATATGTAGATTTTGGGTCTCTGCAACTTGGTCTGGCAAATCACCACCTTGAAACATGTTCCACTGTTAATTTTAAAAACATTTAATTAACCCCTCCCACCACAGTGTTAAAGGATGTATTAGAGCTGGGGTGGTTAATTGTTTTTGCCCACCTTCACATTTGTTTATCTCCCTGGAGGGGTTATATGCCACCCACTTTTTCACAAATCCTGTCTCATACATTCACATACTTGGGACATACAACTCTCTTCTTCAGTACAGATCAGCCAAAAAGTGGCTTATCATCCCATGTCTGCCTACTTCATTTTTTTCATGTTCCCTACTGCTGCCAAAATTGGTGAGCTGTTAGGGTTCAGAAAAATTTGCCTGGGGAACTGTATTAGGTCTTCTGGTTTCCCACTCCTGTACTGAGGAGTAACATGGACCTTTATCAGAGAGCATTGTGAGATTTTCATGCTCCAAGAAACCTGTAAGATACCACAAACACAAACCTTGTTTCAAAGAACAATTTGTTACTTCTGGAAAAGAGAGTGGTGACTGTTATACTCACTGCTTCTCTTAGATTCACAGTCCAGTATATTCTAACAGATGACAGAGACTGATTTCTCTTGTTTTGGATTCCATGTAGGACATTTGTAAATGTTTTATAGCTACTGTTAATGTTTTCACTACCAGATGGACATATTCTCTCCCCTCTCCCAAACACTGGAAGCCTTTAGGTGAATGTATTTTAATTCTTAGACAATATTTTAATATAGTTTTAGATAATTCAGAAGGTAGGTCTTAGAGAGGGAACATGTTGTGTGTTCATGTGCTCCCTCACATGCCAAGCTTAATTAAACTGCTGTTGCTTTGATGTCCAAACCTGGTTACTGTGCTTTGAATGCCTCCTACAAAGCAGGATCGTGTACCAGGATCTGGCTTGCAAATCAGTCTCAGAATGTATCTGGGGTACTATGTCATTTTGTTTCTTTGGCTGAATTGCAGCTGGGGGATGTAGGCAAGGTGCTTGGAGTGTGGCCGACTACCTGTTTATGCAACCCTTGCTCTTTCTGGCTTACAACACAGCAGCTAAGGGAGGAATGGCCTCTTGGATTTGGGAGATGATTAAGGCCTTGTTTCACAAGGGAATTGTCCACGCTTCCTTGAAGGAGGTATTTGCAAGATCACACCTAAAGAAACACTCCATTAACCTGAAGATAGTGCCAAATTTGACCAGTTGCAAATCTTACCTTTTTTGGCAAGATGCTTAAGTGGTTGGTGACTGTACCAGGCATTTTTGTACAATACTAATTATCGAGATCCATTTCATTCTGGGAATTTTCTGTGATTTTGGAATCCCTCTACATTAAAAAGCATGGTGGAAGAGACAGGTTTTCTACAGTTGCCTGAAGATAAACAACACTGCTTTATTGTTACTGTTTTATCTTTTTTTGTAAAATGCTTTGAGGTTTTTTTTACACTCAAGCAGTGTATGCATTTAATGACATAAATAAATAATAAACTGGTGCCAGCAGAACCTCCAGGAGGAGTGTACCCAAGAACCAGGGTGCTATTACTGAGGTGGTCCTTCAGCAGGTCATGGAGCACCAAACTTCCTTTGAAGTTGGAGCTACCAGCAAGGCTTCCCCATTAGATTTCAGATTACAGGCAGACTGATATGGGGAACAGCTTCCCTCAGACTGGCCATCACCTACCTGGGAGGCGAATCAAACACTACAAGAATATCTTATCTAGATTCATTTTCATTTTATTAGTTCTCATTAGCAACAGATAGAGAGGAGAAACAAAGTTGGGTGTCATCAGCATACTGTTAACACTGCGCTCCAAATCTCCCTATGACCTTACACAGTAGTTTCATGGAAGGAAGGAGGTCCAACCATCTATGCCTTTCTCACAAATGAGTATAGCTGTAAGACAGCAGAGGTTTAGGACCAGTTTTCCTTCTCCTAAATGAGCCATTTTCCCTGGTTGATGAGCCCCATCTGCCCCTCGTTTCCCTCTACAGCGTGTGCTGTAACTGCCTTCTTGACTGTTGGACCCGCTATTGGTCTCATGCGCTCAATCTGCTGTAGCCTGTCTTCACATGCAGGGGAAGTCCCTAACTCACTGAGGGTGTAGCTGAAGTCCCTAACTCCTGGGGGGTAGCTGCTGTCTCATGCTGACAGCCTCTAGGAGCCACAGGTGAGAGCTGAGTACAAGATGGGCAAACTACCGCAGAAGGAGAATGAAGTGTGCCTCCCCGAAGTACAACCCCTCCCCTGCACTCCATGCATCCCACTCTTATCAGTACTCCTAAATCCATTTTTCCTTGTAAGGGGACAAAAAGTCGGCATGTGTGGGGTAAGGAAACCTTGTAGGTAATTTGGTCCCAAGTTATTAAGGGCTTCATATACTTCATACACCTTGAACTTGTCCTGGTAGCATATCAACAGCCAGTGCATAGGTGTTACGTTTCTAACTTCTGTCGGAAATCATGCTGCATCCAGAGTAGGCAATTGATCGGTTTCTCAGTTGTAGGAGCTACTCACTCACAGTGCTTCTGTCTTGCCAGGATTCAAGCTCAGCTTATTTTCCCTCATCCATTTCACCACTGCATCCAGGCAATGGCCTCTCCTGAGTAAGATTTTATGGAGAAACAGAGCTAAGTGTCATTAGCATACTGATGACACCTCACTGTGAAACTTCTAACATCCGCTCCCTGCAGCTTCATGTAGATATTAAATATCACTGGAGATAGTCGCCTCCAGGAGGCTGAAAGGCACTTGCCCCGATTGGATCCACTACAATACATTGCCCCCAGTTCCCAATCCTTGAAGCTGTTCCAGAAGGATACCATGGTCAGTGGTATCAAAAGCCAATGAGGGATCAAGAAACTGGAGTAAAGTTGCGCTCCCCCGTCCTGCCCTCTGCAAAGGTCATCCGTCAGAGTGACCAAGGCTGACTCAATTCCATGGCCAGACCTGTATCCAGATTGAAAAGGATCTAAATAATCTGGGTCCTCCAAGAATGCTTCCACCACATCCCTCTCCACCATATTCCCCTAAAAGGGGACATTAGCAACTGGTTGATAGTTGTTCCAATCCAAAGGTCCAGAGGCGGTTTCTTTAGGAGTGGTCACATCAGTGCCCTTTTCAGTGCAGCTTAATAAGCGAGGAGGAACAGGATTTGATGGGGCACGTGGTTAGATGCATGGCTGCCGCCACCATGATCACATGAGCTGATTGCCTAAGGTGAAACTGATCCCACAAAACATTCTTAATACTGACACTGGGTACTTCATCTGGAGCTGCAACAGGTGCAGAGTGAAGATCACTCCAAAGACAAGTGACTTTATCCTCAAAGTGTGTTGTCAGTTGGTCACAGCGGGTCTTTGAGTGCTCCAGAGGGTTGTGTTGGACCAATGGCCATCTGAGAGAGACCCATAGTTGTCATGGAGGCCATGTTGTCTCAAGTTGGCCCGACAACAGCCTCTGCGTGACTATTGAAGTCACCCAGGATTATTGTTTTAGGGTCCTCCAACAATACCCCAGAGACTACCTTGGCAAGCTGGATCAGGGATACCATTAGGCAACAGGGTGGTTAGTAGCCCAGCAGCACCCCTGATCTGTCTCTCTGGCCCAATACCAGGTGCAGACCCTAAATGGGTGGGGTATAAATATAATAATAAATGATGATGATGATGTCAAGAGGCTTCCTGATCAAAGATATGGTATTCTTATAGACAATAGCAACACTCCAACCCTAGTCTAGCCTGGTACAGTACTGAAAATCCAAGTGGTCACAGCTGAGTAAGGTCAGGCCCACTTTGCATTTCTGTACTGGGACTGAGGCAAGGCCAGGGAGTCATGCAGTAAACAAGAAGAAGCAGAAGTGAAACCAGAAACAATAACACTGGAAAGAAAAGAATGCAACTGTTTTCATGCTTTGCCATACAACAAAGCAGACATGGCTGCTGCAAATGAGTAGCTGCCTTTTTTTTTTTTTTAAAGTATGAGTCTTATACAATGCGTACTGGCCTGGATTGTATAAACGCTCTATTAAATTCTGAATTAATGAACAAGTTAAACTGGTTAGACTAACCTTTTCACTTGTGTCACTGTTTAGGAAAATACATGAAATGCCTACAGGCAACTAGATTTAATCCAGCCTTTCTGTCTTTCCCTTTTTCTTTTCTTGGTACAGTGGTACCTCGCAAGACGAATGCCTTGCAAGACAAAAAACTCGCTAGACGAAAGGGTTTTTTGTTTTTTGAGCTGCTTCGCAAGACGATTTTCCCTATGGGCTTGCTTCGCAAGACTGAAACGTCTTGCAAGTTTGTTTCCTTTTTCTTAACACCGTTAATACAGTTGTGACTTGACTTTGAGGAGCAACTCATAGAATGTGGTGTGGTAGCCTTTTTTGAGGTTTTTAAAGACTTTGGTGATTTTTGAAGCTTTTCCAAAACTTTCCCGACACTGTGCTTCACAAGACGAAAAAAATCGCAAGACGACAAAACTCGTGGAACGAATTAATTTCGTCTTGCGAGGCACCACTGTAATGTAAATTCCCTTGGTTTACATTACATAGCTTTTCCAGGGTGGATTATAGACCCTTTGGCTTTCTCCCCACATATATGTTCAGAACGTGAATAGGAAAGATACATGGGTAAAGTGCCCTTTTAGAGTTATAGTATGTATGAGAGTGTTGTGTGGAACTGAGAGTGTACTGGCTTTCCTGGAGAGCTGCCACATGGTGTGAAGCCAGCAAATAGGTCAACCTTTCTGTTAGTGCATTCATTTGGTAGTTCACAACATTATCAAGTTCTGAACCGTTGCTTCTAGTTTTTCAATTTCTTGCCAGGTAAGGCAGTGATAGTGATGTCTATCTCTCCACTCTCATGTAGATCTTTTCCATGCACATTATTTCATTTTTGTCACAGCTGTTAAGCTATCATAGAGCTGTCATATAAAGGACACGTTTTCCTACGGTTCTGCTGTGTTACACAAAGTGCTGTTAGGCATCCAATGATTGGTCAAGAATTGAAAACACTTAAATAATTATAGGTTTTCTTGTCACCTATGAGGATGAGCTAAGGAGATTTCATTTCTGTTTTAGGTTAGCTACAAATTGTGACACCTGAACCTGGACAAAGTTTGGTTAATCTTAATTATGGTTTTCTGAAACAAGCCAACTTCAAAGCATTGTTTGTGAAGCTGGCTTGTTTCAACAAATGGTAGCTAAGATTGCATTTAAGGTTTGAATATAATGCTAAACCGCAGTTATTGTGAAACTGAAGTTTACGACCTTTGACATTTTGTGGGGAGCGTGTAAACCCAAGGCTCGCTTTGGCTTGTCTACCCTAATGCTAAACCATGGCTTAAGTTAGCATTGTATATGAATGAAGCCTTGAAAATGGATATTGGGGCTGTATTCCATCGATGCCTGTTACAAATTAAACCCTGTTATTAGGGAAACTTGGATCTATACCAGTCTTTGCCAACATTGAGGAGACTGCTGTATTTGGGAGTATTTTAATATTCTTCCTGTGTTAGTGTTAGATTAATAAGAGCCACGGCTGAATAGTAGAACACTTTCTTTACATGCGAAAGATTCAAGGTTCAGTCCCTGGCATTTTCAGGTAGGGCTGGGAATGAGCCCTGCTGGAAATGCTAGTGAGCAGCTGCTAGTCAGCATAGAATGCTAAACAAGGTGGACCAGTGGTCTGACTCAGTAGGAGGCAGCTTCCTATGTTCTTGACTGAAGCCCCATGCGATGTGAATTGCTGCAGTGTTTTTCAGATTATAGGAGAATGCCCAATGAAGCATCTAGGCTTCAACACTGGACTGGTCAATATAAGAGCCAGGAGTAGAACTTGCTATTGTTACTTCCTTTGTGGCTTGTTAGAACATCCTGCATTTGAAGAGTACACTTGCAAAATTGCTTGTTTAAGAACATCTGCCAAAAAGTATTTTTAATGCTCTTGTTTTAAATATAGTATTTCACCTATTTTTGTTATCTTAAAATAATAACAATGCACCAATGACAGATTCAGGGGATAAAAGCTGACACTTATTGATCTTCCTTTTTTTTTACGATTTAGGAAAAGTTGATACACCAGGAAACTTAAAGAAGTATCTTATTATAATGGAAAGCATTTCTATTAGTTTTATTCTGTATTCTATTTGTGTTTAACAGACATATGCAGAGTATGTCGGTCTGAAGGAACTCCTGAGAAACCTCTCTATCATCCGTGTGTATGCACTGGCAGTATTAAATTCATTCATCAAGAATGGTAAGTTTCAAAATATGTCAATGCCTATTCATATATGCTTACGGCATGAAATTGCTATGAACATTTTGGGAATCTGGCAGATAAATAATGCTCTGTGGTTCCCAATTGGTGGACCACGAACCCATAAGCATAGGTTTACATGTTAAGGAAGTATTGAGGTGTGGAGAAGAAAAACTGCATATATTATTTTTAATCCCTGTGTAATTAATGGGATTACACAAGAAGTAGCTGAAACCCCTTTATAGAATTGCAAGATATTAAGGGTATATTGTTTTTTATTAGAAGGGTTAGATCTATGTATTAATAGTGTTTAGTGTTTTAAATGCTTGCTCCTTTTTGTCATTTCTGTGGTTGTATCCATAGCTGTTTGTGTGAGACTTTAACTTTCCTCATTGCTTCCCATGTGCCCTTAAAATCTGTTCTGAAGTGTTGGGGGACCCTCTGGTATAGAGTTAGGGGGACTTTCAAGGTGCTACAGGGATGAGAAGAGGAAGGTGAAGGGCCAACTGCAATAGTAGAAGACATGTAATGCGGTGTGAGCTTCTGCCCTGTAAATTTACTTTGTATGCAAACCAAGGAGATATGTCAGTTTCTCCCTTGATGGCATAGTCCCTTGAATAATATAGGAAGCCTCTATAGAGGGTCCCTTCACATTTGAGAACAGAGAAATGTGGAGCAGAAGCCTGCTTCTAGAAAGGGGTTGCTGAAGAAAGCCTTGCACATGTAGCACATGGTCCTTTGCCCTTTGCATTAGTCTTTTTTGATTTGAAAACTTGCATGCTACCTTTCTGCTCTAGTTGGCATTTAAGAATGCCTTTCATAACTGTAGCCAAGTAGCTGTATTTGCAGTTTCTGGAGAGCAGTGCTCTTGAACTGTATGCCTATGCTTTTCAAACATGTTCACTATCAACAAAGCAAGAGTACTTAAAGAAAGGCATTATCTCTGTTTTTCTATCCCTCTGAATTTGAATTATTAATGTTTTTCTTAAAAGTATATTTTACTGATTATTTTACTGCATTTTCTTAATTTCTGACACTCAAAAAATAACTTGTAGATTTTAAACTGTAGATATACTGTACTCATGTTTCTTTTTAATTGCAGCTTAGTTCAGTGGCTCAAACACAGCAGAAAAGAATACTGTGAATTATGTAAACATAGATTTGCTTTCACACCAAGTAAGTATATGGTGAGAGTTTGTGATGTGTTTAAACAAAGACTTTTCTTTATGGTGGTTTTAGGCTACAGAGAGTCTTCATGGGAATTTGCAGGTTCACCAGCAGTGTGCTTGCCTCCAGTAAACTAAATATTATAGGCACTGCACTGTCTCTACGCTGTGTATCTGAGATATGGCCAAGTCATTGTAACCCCTTCTGAAACAATGGTTTGACTGGCTTGGTTGAAATCCGACAACAGCCCTAGAAAATCCTTCATGTAAATAGCATCCCATATGATACCACATTGTTTTCATTTTAAAATAACACCCATACTGCTAGTGAGCATTTTGGAGTTTATGGATGTGCCACCTGACACAGCAACACTTTCATAAGCAAGGCACATTGCAGATTGGATTTATCTAAATTGGTCTCTGTCATTATTTTGCTTTAAACCTATAATGATAGATGACCATGTAGTATTTTCAGTTCATTGTCATGGGAAATTTTGCATGAATACTATGATGTTTCTCATAAAAACAATTCAGAGTGGCAGAAGTAAAATTGCAATCCTTTCTGTTCTTTCTTTTCTTAGTTTATTCCCCAGATATGCCTTCTCGGCTTCCAATCCAAGACATATGTGCTGGACTGGTTACAAGTATTGGCACAGCAATACGATACTGGTTTCACTATACACTTGTGGCCTTTGCATGGTTAGGAGTTGTACCTCTTACAGCATGTAAGTATCTCATTTTGTGGACGTATAATATGCATATGGCTGAGCAGTACAAGAGGGAGGGGAAACGTTTTATTGTCAGGGAGCTCTCAGAACCATGGTTAACAGTAAGCTAGTTAAGGGGCAAAGTATTAGAAGCTCCAACCTTCATCATATCCAGTTCTTAATCACTGAATTTCAGAAAAAGCAGCTATGAATGCTGTGTGCATAATTCTTCAAAGGTGATTGGAAAACACAAACATCACTAGTGTTTGCACAGAGAACAATGCTTCACCTGGACCTTTTAAGCTGCCTTCTAAGGCACTTTGTGTAGGAGTTCACAGTAAGTTTGCTTTTCTTCTAGTTTAGCCATGTTGGTATTATAGATGCTGACAGAATGGCAAGAGCTGGATTTCCTCTTGCCTGTGTTAAAATTCTTATAGACTGTAGTCTTAGATGTTAATTGGCGAAAAGATGGTGAAGGTTATTCTCTGGCTTGCATGTGCCTTTTAATCCTCACAGCTTTAACAGTTTCTTCTACTGTGGTCTGTTTGCCTGCATCTCTTAGAATCATAGAGTTGGAAGGGACCCCAATGGTCATCTAGTCCAACCCCTTGTGATGCAGGAATCTCAACTAAGCCATACATGACAGATGGCCACCCAACCTTTGCTTAAAAACCTCCCAAGGGAATCCAAGTCCTACCCTCCAGAGTAGGAAAAACAAGCTTGCTCCATTTTCCATGTGACAGCCCTTTAGATATGTTTAGATGGGAATCATATCTGTTCTCAGACATACCCAACTCCCTCAGCTGTTCCTCATAAGCCTTGGTTTCCAGATCCTTTATCTGACCACGTTCCAGCTTGTCAATATCCTTCTTAAAATGTGTTGCCCAGAACTGGACACAGTACTCCAGGTGTGGTATTTGCATATGTTCCCAGGTTCTACAAGAAACATCTGTAGCAACTTTGTTAAAGTTAAGAATAGTTTGGGTAATTGGATCGAATATGATTCTCTGTTCCTTTGAAATCACACATAGATGCAAATGCTCACAGATTCTAAAATATTCACTGCTTAAGAACCTGATACAAGGAAGTTTGGAGCTTCTGATGCCTTTCCCCTAAAAATTATCTTAACGTGCTATTAACGAGACAGCTCTGGTTGCCCTAACAGACGATCTCCGTAGACAGCTGGATGGAGGCGGGTCGGGACTGGTGATTCTTTTAGATTTGTCAGCAGCCTTCGACATGGTCGATCATGATCTTCTGGACCACCGCCTCGCAGACGTGGGGATACAGGGCATAGCCCGTAACTGGCTGTGCTCTTTTATCTCTGGTCGGGGACAGAGGGTGGCACTAGGGAGGGAAATGTCGTCGCGCCACTCCTTGGTGTGTGGAGTGCCGCAGGGCACAATCCTCTCACCAATGCTTTTTAACATCTTTATGCGCCCCCTTGCCCAGATTATCCGGAGCTTTGGGCTGGGTTGTCACCAATATGATGATGACACTCAGCTCTATCTGCTGATGGATGGCCACACCGACTCGGCCCCGAACACACTGACCAGATGCTTGGAAGCTGTGGCTGGATGGTTTCGTGGGAGCCGATTGAAACTAAATCCTTCGAAGACAGAGGTCCTGTGGCTGGGTCGGGATGGCATGGGGATGAGGGACCAACTCCCTTCTCTTGCGGGGGCCCAATTAGTGCCATTGCCTTCTGTTAAGAGTTTGGGTGTAATCCTTGATGCCTCCCTTTCCATGGAGGCGCAAGTTACAGCAACAGCCAAGGCGACATTTTTCCACCTTCGCCGCATCAAGCAGTTGGTCCCTTACCTTTCCCGCCCCGACCTGGCCACAGTGATCCATGCGACGGTCATCTCCAGGCTTGACTACTGTAATTCGCTCTACGCAGGCTGCCCTTGAAGCTGTCCCAGAAACTCCAGCGGGTGCAGAATGCTGCAGCGAGGCTCCTCACGGGGTCTCTGCCATGGGAGCATATTCACCCAGTGCTTTTCAAGCTGCACTGGCTCCCGGTGGAGTACAGGATCAGATTTAAGGTGCTGGTTTTGACCTTTAGAGCCCTTCACGGCCTAGGACCCTCGTACCTACGGGACCGTCTCTCCCGGTATGCCCCACGGAGAGCCTCAAGGTCCATAAATAGCAACACCCTAGTGGTCCCGGGCCCTAAGGAAGTTAGATTGGCTTCAACCAGAGCCAGGGCCTTTTCAACTCTGGCTCCGGTCTGGTGGAACGCTCTGCCTCATGAGACCAGGGCCCTGCAGGATCTGATTTCTTTCCGCAGGGCCTGTAAAACAGAGTTGTTCCGCCTGGCCTTTGGCTTGGAGCCAATTTGATTCCCTCCCTCTCTTTATTTTTTCTTTTCCTTCTCCTCCTGCGATGAGGCTACATTTTAATATTTTAATGTTTCAATATTTTAATGTTGTATTTTTAATTTTGTTTTTAAGTTGTAATCATTTAACTTGTTTTTATTATTGCTTGTAAGCCGCTCTGAGCCCGGCCTTGGCTGGGAAGGGCGGGGTATAAATAAAAATTATTATTATTATTATTATTATTATTATTATTATTATTTGAAATCAAGGTCTGAAGCAAATGGAACTTTTTCCAGACTTAAGGGATGAGGGATTGGTCTGCAAGAACACACTCCTCTCCACCCCAAACCTGGTTTGAATTCCCTCATCTTACTAGGCTTGTTACTGAAGCATTGTTAACCTGTTAAAATGAACTTTAGGATGCTTCTAACTCCCCCAAAGAACCCAGGTTTAATTGGCGGAAACTGCATTTTATTGTCAATTTTTACTCCTTTAGGCCGTATCTACAAGTGCTTGTTTACTGGCTCTGTGAGCTCACTACTGACACTGCCATTAGATATGCTGTCAACGTAAGTATTGGCTAATATTATAGATATTTCTACGAAATTATTTATTCCTCTTTATGGTCCAGTCTGTGTGTTTTAATATACTGTAAGTGAACAAATTTAATAACTAGCCTGGGAATAGTGCTTCTGGGTAATTCAGTAATAGAGAAAGCGATCACTGTACAAAATAAATATTTTCCAGTTTTAGTATGAATAAAATATGTTTTTGTATATAGCCTCTGCTTTAATCTATCTGTGTGAAAAGATACCACTTTTGTTTTGTGAAAATGTAAGTATTCACATGTAGGATCCCAGCCTAACTTGTCTTAAGATGAGACTGTCTGCTTCTCTGCCTGGCCAGTACAGCAGTTATTCAGCTTATGCTTGTAGAACACACTACATTATTATGTACATTTTAAAAGTATTGTTTATTTTAATTGTTTGAGAGCCCGTAGCAGAAAGGCAACCTTTTAATTAAAAATAAATAGTATCTTGGAATGGAATAGAAAATTCATGCAAAAAATTATAATGTAGAAATAAAATGAGATGTATTTATTTATCAGTGTATTAAATAATTGAGCTTAATGCAAAAATATACAGGGAAGCTATCTATGGCCTGTAATGATCCCCAGTGTTAATTCCTACAGCATCTCACCAACCTCTGATATCTTACTCAGTGCACTTTTCTGTTCAGCTCAAAACCTCCAGGACGTAATAAATAATAAAGTAAAAGAAAGTACCGGTAAATGTCTTACACTGCCTTATTTTAAATGCTTCATCACAAAATAAAGGATCAGATTAGTATCATCAGGTGAATGAAGATGCTGGAGAAACTTCTAAGTGATAATTTTGTGCAGATAGCAAGTAGCTTGAGATCAGCATGACACATTGAATAGATTTAAATTGAAATAACTAAAGGCTTCCACAGCGAGATCTTCTACTGGAGATCTTGACTTGTTCTTTTGTTCAAAATCAAGTAAATTTGGTACCATTAAGGAGGTCTTACTTAAGCGTGGGTGACTGATTGCAGAGTGAGTCGACAATGATGTTGCATTTGGAACGTAACAGTTGTGATAATGAGTGTAAAGAATGTGTTGGTTGTCTCTTCAATAGAGAGAATTTACTGGCAGACTGTTTGCAAGGTTGTTTTGTGGTGACGTGCACACTCTGTGCATTTATCAGCCTTGTATGGTTACGTGAACAAATTGTCCACGGAGGAGCACCACAGTGGCTGGAACAAAATCAGCAGCAAGCCATCAATGGTGTTGGGCAACAGAATGAGGTAATATGTCCTTCAGTTTTTCAGTTGTAACTTTCAGCTTGAATTCCTCTCTGTTGCACGTTAGCTTTTTCTCTACTCCCCGCCCCCACCCCCCAATATAGAATTGTCTAACACTAGGTAGATAAATACACATATCCTGTTGCATAATGCATTCTTCTGGCAGAAGCTTCATTGACTTGTGGATTGCACTTAGTACCAGCAACTTTCCTACTGCAGTGGTACCTTGGGTTACAAACTTAATTTGTTCCAGAGGTCCATTCTTAACTGGAAACCGTTCTTAACCTGAGGTGTGCTTTCGCTAATGGGGCCTCCCACTGTGCCATCACTGCACAATTTCCGTTCTCATCCTAGGGCAAAGTTCGCAACCTGAGGCAACTACTTCCGGGTTAGCAGAGTTTGTAACCCGAAGCGTTTGTAACCCGAGGTATCACTGTATAGTGTTTTGTTCTGTACCTTTATCAGATATCTTAAGAGTCTTTGAATGACTGCATTCAGATAGATCATTAAGCTGTGCAACACTGTTTGTGAAACTGACATAGCAGCTGTAATACCAGAAATATTTAGCAGGATATTTGCAACAGGAGATAATGTGCCTTATTTCTACAAGAAAGATCCTAGCTTAGGATGCTGATATTACAGAGGTGTCTGTAGAAAGTTGTGTAGTGTAGTCTCCATGGTTTTACTTCTAAAGGTGCATATGTTACAAGTTCTATTCCCTGTCCTGTTTTCACAGTAAGGATATGAGAGCAAAGAGGGAACATGTTAAACTCCTTGTTATTGCCTCAAAATCTGAGATCAACATCTAAAGTAGCATCTGGAAGCTAATCTAAAACATGGTTCTTCTCAATTATCACAGTGAAATGGGGTCCCTCCCCCTTCAGCCTGCATCATCTTTCTTTAAACACCCGGAATAATTTTCCTATTTTAGACTGTACCTGCCCAGGCTTGATCAGATTGAAAAGACTGGCATCCTCTGAATTTTTGAGAATAGATTTATTCCAGTTGCTCCTCTTCACCTCTCAGTTTAAGATGCTGTTCCCCAGGGAAGTCACTCAGGTACATCCTGAGAAATGGACTTTATTTGCTGTAGCTAATGTCTCATACAGGTATGGATTTGTGTATATCAGGGAGACCAAGCTGCAGATGTTTCTGACAAGCAGAAGATACCACAATGTGTTGATATTTTAATAAGCATCTTGCTCTGGGGCAAGGCAGTCTTTACAGTCTTTACTAGATTCCTTGTAGCCATCTTTCTAGATAGGATAAAGTTGGACAAAGAAGGAAATCATAATTTTTAATGGACATTAGTTTTCACTCCATGGCAGTAGAGGCCTGCCACACACTCAACCATCTTTGTTTTATCTAACAATTTTCATGCACACGAAGCTGACGCTTACATGCTTTATTAAAACATTTCTTTAAATTCTGAAGAGCTGTATCATTCTCACCTTCTATTATTTTTTTTTTTTGCAAATGTATGATAAAAACAATTTAAATGAATTTTCTTAACACTCAAATGTGTTGCCTGACATTTCTAATGATGCAGGAACTCATCATAGTATAGCAGAATTCTTTAAATTGTGTGGGTTTTTTCCTTCTGTGCCAGGTTCAGGGTGTTGGAAATGGTGGTGCTGAAAACGCTGCACTTGACCAGCCTGCAGACCAGCCAGCTGAGAATGCAGTTGTAGGTGAAAATCCAGAAATCCAGGAAGAACAACCAGATGAAGAAGAGGAAGACAATGAAGATGAAGAAGATGTTGTAGTAGAAGATGCTGCAGATGCCAACAATGGAGGACAAGGTATATTACTTACTTTTTAACGACCATATTTGTACCCTGTTCCAGGATAATAGGGTTGTGTTTTAGCTATTTGATTTCATGACTTGCTTCCTGGAAATTTGTAAAACCTGCCACACATCAGTAAAATGCAAACTTGGCCTTATGTTTCCTTATGTGAACCTTAAAAAACCAATCCATTGTAATTTGGTGAATTGTGGGAACAATGCATTAGGTTTTCAGGGTGGTTGGTTACACTTAACCTACTACAAGCAACAAACTTGACAACCATTTTATCTGAACATGCAGAACATATTTTATTTTATTGTTAAAACACTTGTGTACCTTAAATTGCCCGTAAGAGGCCTGTCCAGTTATTCAGTGTTACTACCCTGGTTGAGCTTTACTTCTAGCTATTTTAAAATTTAATTATCTGTTTAGATGATATGAACTGGAATGCTTTGGAATGGGATCGAGCAGCAGAAGAGCTTACATGGGAGAGAGTGAGTAAGGACTATATATTTTGGAAATGCTGTTTGCTTTGAGTCATTCAGACATGGTATGGCTTTAATAATGTCCATGATCTTGGAACCAGTTCAGGATGCTTTTCTGTACTTTGACCTTGGACAGATATATCTGAACCAGCATCCACTACCATGGCCTTTCCTCATAGCAGGAAACCATGGTTGTTGAATGATAGGATGATGGCTCCTTTTTAACAAGGAAAGCGTTCTGTGGGGTGGATGTGGTTGAAATGGGTATGTTTGAGAGGAGAAATATATAGTGTGAAAAAGCTGCTTGTGAAGACAAATTGGGAATTGGGAAGTGGTGAACAATGACAAAATTGAGTGTCCCCTTCCCCCATGCTGCTTCTCTGATCTCAGTTACCTCTTGAAGTTACAAAAGAAAAAGAGGTTTCAGAGGTGGCATGCCATGCTTTGTCAGAGTAAAATTCATTTTTCTTGCGTAACTAGGCAACTGTGTTCCTAGTTCCTGTGTATCACTGCTTAATACAGTTTCTTAAGGCACATGGCAGTCCTTGGAGAATATAGAAAAAATATTGTCAAGGTTATTTTGAGAGAGATTTCAAAGCCGGCAGTCATGAATGATTTCTGTTGGACATCTAGAAACTCATGTGAGCTTTCACACACACACACACACACACACACACACACACACACCCTCATTTGTGTGAGCTGTTATACCTACCACTTAACATTTTATTCTGTTGCACTGCAGAGAACATAAAAGTAACACATTTCCTATATGTGCTAAATTCTTTGAACTTGGTCCACAGTTTTAAGCTAGTTATATATTTAGGGAATCCCCTAAGCACCAGCTGTTTGGCAGGTGTGTGCAGGTTCATGTAACATCTGACTGGTGGATCTTAAAGCTTATTCTTATATGAGTTTGACTCATTCTTCTTATCTGTTCTTTGCCACAGTATTGCCTGGCAGCAGATCCAGCCTGACATTGTCAAGTTTGAAAAGCTGCTGCCTAATTGTCCCAGTTGGATGAACTGGCTAGATAGCCATGTAGTGAGGAATGGCATAAGGGCAGGGCTAAACAGACCATGCCAACCTGCTCTTCACTAAATCCTCTTTCCAAAAATGTGAAAAAGTGGAAGAGAGCCTAGGGGACTTTGTGGTTCCCTGCAACCTCTCCCACGTATTGTAAAAAATGATGGGGGATAACAGGTCCTTGACGCTTCAGAGACTGCTGAATCTTACGTGAATGTAGATTATTCTGGTTACTGACAGCAAAATCATCTCTTACTTCTAGATGCTTGGACTTGATGGATCCCTAGTTTTTTTAGTAAGTGAAGCTTTATTGCACTAAAACTCTGTAGTTGGATTGTGTCTCTCATCATCTGTTTGTCTTCTTGATCTATAATCTTCAGTATATTTTCTTACTATATCAGATACTTTCAGTTCATTTTATTACTGAATCAGAAGAAGTAATAGGACCTTTATTCCTGTGTGATTATGCTAGGCATTTTTTGGGGGAAATGTGCTTTATATTGTGTCTCTGTGAAAATTTGAACCTGCAATATCCTTTGTCCTGTTAGGAGGAAAACTAATACACATGGGCCAAAAATTATTATTAATTTTTATTTGAGAAAATCTTTAACATTTCATTACCTACAAATTAGTGGCAAAATGGGGTGATTGATGAGAACACAAGATAAGAAATTAAAGTTATTTCTCAAATACTTTGATATTGCCATTTCTGAAGTGTTTCCCTCTTTCTTTCTTAGGAACATGTATTCTGGGTGGTGTCATTAAACACACTGTTCATACTTGTCTTTGGTAAGTGACTGCATTTACAGTTCTTTCAGGATAATTGCTGTGCATATGGGCCCAAATTAGAGTAGAGCTGGATTAGTTTAAAGCAACATTTCTGTAATATTCTCAAGAGACAAAATTCTGATTTTCTTTGCATGCGTATCCCAATGTGCTATGTTTCCAGTAATCAAACTAAAAGTTTGGTTGCCTGTGAAAGAATCTGTACATTAAGAAAGCACTTGAAATATTTCAAATTTCTTTTGTTTTAACATGTGTAAGTCTGTGTAAATGACAGTACACAAATTGACAGTATCAATTTGACATCACAGCCCTAACATCTTAGAATTATTTTTTATTTTACTTACCAGAGGTATCCCTTAGCTGAACAAGTGAAGCATGGAGTGCTTTTGTAGTGTTTTATAGATGGATTAGATAACAGTAGAAGATGATTTCAGTAATGGCCTCCTGTTTATGTCAGTCTGCCATCATTTTGTGACTGGTGGGGACCTCTGCCAACTTGTGGGCCCTAGGGGTAGAATGATGGAAAACTTTTTGTGTAGCTTTTGTGTAGCTGGCTGAACGGATAACACATAAAGATTTCTATCCTTTTGCTAGCTCATTAAAAATTATTTTAAGCCACACATCAGAGAATTGTTGAAAAGAGTAAACTCCATTAGGTTTTTTTTCTTCCTTCTCCCTTCTAGCGTTTTGTCCCTATCATATTGGTCACTTCTCTATTGTTGGGCTAGGCTTTGAAGAATATGTAAGTATATCATTTATTTATTTATTTATTTATTTATTTAAGCATTTATTTAAAACTCAACATGCGGGAGACAAACTACACAGTTTGTCCCACAACATGACTTTTGCAGAAAGCAGCAGCAGGGTTTTGCTGCTGCTGCTGCTGTCATTGCCCACAAAAGCTCAGCAGGAAGGGATAGAAATCACCCCTTGTTGAAAGGAGTAGTTTATTTCCCTCCCAATGAGACTTATACGGAAGGCAACCACAGCAAGGTGCTTCCACCTTTTGCAAAAGTCCAACCCAAAGCCTCTCTTACTCAAGTTCTCTGCATATACTATAGGACTTGGGAAAGAGGAAGAATTGGTGGCAACCACAAAGTATGGCTTAGCCAGTAAACCAGGCCAAAATTTGTGGAACTGTATATGGAATATTAAATCCTTCTTCATGTGTGAACCTGTATTTTAAACCAAGCTTTATTTCTGAGACTTCTGATTCTATCTCATTCACAGTAATATTCCCCACCCCCCATTAACAGTGATCTTGTTATGTTGGAAATATGTGACTCCTTCATAGATAACAGTTAAAATTTGTGATTGATCCATGGTAGCTGGCTGGGGATGGTGAGGTTGGAAGTATAAAATAATGATGATAACATGCAAATATCAACACATTTTGGTAGTCACAAGTGGTATTGAAATATTTTATTCTACCCTATCAGTGTACTTGGTGCTTTACAAACCTTCGAAAGCAAAAATGACAGATTTTTACTCCAAGGAGTTCACAGTCTAAACATGTTTTTGTTTTCTTTAGGTTCAAGCATCTCACTTTGAAGGCCTAATCACGACAATAGTTGGCTATGTACTGCTGGCAGTATCACTAATAGTTTGTCATGTATCCTTTCATAAGTACTGACTGCACATGTTTTCAGTGTTTGATCTATGGATGGTCATTGTTAAGTACACAGGGTGGAATTCAGTGTTGCACTATGATGAACATTTTGTCTCCACAAGCATTTCAGCTTGCTAGATGGTGCAATCCCTCGTGTGCTATTTTTTGGGTTCCCCCAACCCCCAGAGACAGTCTCAGGTGCGTGGGGAGGAGAGGGGAGAAAGCCCCATTGCATAAGTGGAAGTCCTCATTCAGGGCCTCTGCTGATGGGGCTGGGTAGGTGAATCACAACCTTTGCCTAAGAAACAATGATTTTATGCTCTTTATCTCTTTATGGGAGCAGTGTGGGCGCACCATTGGGAAACTCATAATTGTAAGTAAGATATTAGGATCATTCTGTAGGATTGGAGCAACCTCATTCCTGTTGAGGCACAAATTCCTTCTACTCTTGCCCTGATTTCTTACATCAGTAGCAGTGTTAACCACTGTCAAGCTTACCAGGGTTCCTTCTTAAGAAGGCTTTCGTACTCCAAAACCTGATTCCAAGTTTTAGTTAAGAAGGAACTCTTGATAACTTTTATCATTAACAATGTTGGGGTTGGTGTAAGAATTAAGAGCGGGTCTGGGCAAAGGAAGCGTGCGTTCCTGTGGTCGATTTCAGATCTCCCAACTGTAGTTAAGGGGTACCAAGTGTTGGGTCCACAGTGACCATATGTGTTTGTGAGGAATATCTTATGGTTTTTAAACATTGCTTAAATCTATTTGTTGTTGTTGTTGTTTAGTCGTTTAGTCATGTCCGACTCTTCGTGACCCCATGGACCATAGCACGCCAGGCACTTCTGTCCTCCACTGCCTCCCGCAGTTTGATCAAACTCATGCTGGTAGCTTCAAGAACACCATCCAACCATCTCATCCTCTGTCGTCCCCTTCTCCTTGTGCCCTCCATCTTTCCCAACACCAGGGTCTTTTCCAGGGAGTCTTCTCTTCTCATGAGGTGGCCAAAGTATTGGAGCCTCAGCTTCACGATCTGTCCTTCCAGTGAGCACTCAGGGGTGATTTCCTTAAGAATGGATACGTTTATCTTCTTGCAGTCCATGGGACTCTCAAGAGTCTCCTCCAGCATCATAATTCAAAAGCCGGCAAGCCACTCCAGTATCCCTGCCAAGAAAACTCCATGGACAAAGACAACAGGCTTAAATCTATATTTAAGTGAATACTTTCCCCTTGAACCAGTTTCCTACTTCCAGGCTTCTAGTTGCTCAGTACTCATTCCTATGAACTTCTTCTGCATTCTGCTTCACAAATCAGTATTTCACTTTCCTTGACCATATTTATACAGGGCTTGGCAGCACTTGTAAAATTTCAGAGATCACGTCGCTTGCTTGGAGTTTGCTATATAGTTGTCAAGGTATTCTAGCCTTAAAGAGCAGGTCTATTTAATATAACAAATCAATATTCAGTAGTTGGTCCAAATAAAAAAATCAACCTGTCTTTCCCCCTCTGCAGGTGTCATTGTTAGTGGTGGTAGAAATTGGTGTTTTCCCCCTCATCTGTGGCTGGTGGCTGGACATATGCTCTCTGGTAAGATTAGCATTTATTAGGAGACAGACATTTATCACTGCATTCTAAGGGGCAGTCAGGAGGAGGGTTGCTTATGTAGGTTGTGTCTGTTAAATAGGACCATTAATGCAAAAAGAAGTTATGACTATTAAGAAATTATCGGACCCATCTTTTTGCAGCGGAAGTGCTGTTCTGCTGGTGGAGAAGAGAGAGTTAAAGGGTCCACTGCTGTCCTGCTAGTGATGGAGGCAAAAACCAGCTGTGTAAAGGGAGGTAGTGAGTCCACAGGATCCTAAGCCTCCTTGTTCTCCAGGCATAGTTCAAACAGGTTATTATGACTATTATGAGATTAAAGGAACAATCCTATGCTTCCCAGGAAGGATGCTGGAATCGAGGTAGTTAATCCCCTCCCATTGCATTCAGTTTGGCAGAGGAGGATGGGTGGAAGAAAATGGAATATGACAGCGGGGAATCCATCCCCATCTCCTGGCCTGGCCTCATTGAGCCTGCAAGACATAGGAAGTGGCAGTAGCCCCGTCACAGATTCTCCCATCTCCCCCTACCATCTCCATAAGGTTGTTGCACCTTAATCGTTAGCTAGTTTTGCTGCAAATGTGGTTGACCATCTCCAAAGACTACGAATCCTCCATCTCCAATAGCTTTCTTAGTGATTTTATACCAAAGGTGATTCATTTTAAAAGGCTACAGTTCTGTGCTGAAAACTGACATATATAAGCTATGGAAAATCTTATAGAATATACTGCTGTCTGTTAAGATTTATTGTGCAAGGGCTGCATTATTTTTTCACCATTGCTAAATGCTGTCTACAAATATATATTTAGAACTTCGCTGTTATGTACAAATAAAAGATGATGCAATTTTACTAGTTGCTGAGAGTTAAAAAGAATTACTTCCCTGTTTTAATTTTTTCATAGGAAATGTTTGATGCTACTTTGAAGGATAGAGAATTGAGCTTTCAGTCAGCCCCCGGCACTACAATGTTCTTACACTGGCTAGTGGGAATGGTGTATGTCTTCTACTTTGCTTCCTTCATTCTCTTGCTGAGAGAGGTATGGTTTGACTGAAGTGTGATTTTCTAAAACCATATGTTGTAAGAATGTGGCTCTGGAATGGCTAATGTCATCCGCATTTCTGTTTTTGTGTTCATCTCTGTTCACCAGCCTTTGCTGACAGGTAATAATTGATAGGGTGGGACAAGGTGTTGCCCTACAACTTGTACTGGCTTAATAAAGAGTGTCAGTCTTGTATATGCTTGCTATTCTGCAGCAGAACAAGAGCAGTCCCAACGGCTGCTGCTTGCAGATTCTATGTGTGAGCGAAAATTGCACAAATTGCTTGTAAGAGCAGGCAGCAGAGTTGGCTGCTGGGGGGGAACTGCAGGGAACCATCTCTTGCTGAGCCATGGCCGGCTGTGTAAGAACATGCATCGTATAGCTGAAGGTGTAGGGGGTATTTCATGCAGACACTGCTTCTCGGAACTGAATGTGAGAACTGGGAACCCTCAAGGTCCCCCCCCCCATGCATAGAACCTCTGCACCTTGTGGTCCATGTGCCATTGGCTGAAGGACAGGAATAGGCCTAGTAAGCCATGGAAGGGGAGGGGGGAATTGACATGAACAGAGGGAGCATGAGAGCCATGTTCGACACAATTCAGCCGTGTAATTCTCTTGGACATAACTCAGCTGTTTTTAAACCAGTTTGAGAGGAGGTAGGTAGTGTTTTGGTTAACATGCAGACCATATTGAACATAAATGAGGAGTCTTTAAGGTCTCTATAATGTTAATTTACTGGGGGAGAAATGTCAAAACTTGTAATCCTTCAAATGTCAACCTACTTATACTTATTTTTCTTTCAAATGTTAATATTCTCTTTTCAGGTACTGAGACCTGGCGTCCTCTGGTTTTTGAGGAACTTAAATGATCCAGACTTTAATCCAGTTCAAGAAATGATTCACCTGCCTATTTATAGACATCTCAGGAGGTTTATTTTATCAGTGGTAAATACATGTTTCCCGTTTCTCTTCAAAAAGTTTATATTTTTATAGCAACTAATGTTTTCTATTCAGTTACTATTTAGAATTTTAATGTTTGTTTCTCTGTTTATTAGCAAACAAAATAACTAACTGCATGTAAAGATATTGGGTTGTATTCAGTTCATGTTTACATAGAGTAGACACATTGAAATAGACCTGAATCTTGGTAACTAATTTCAGTTAATCTATTCTGAGTTAAAGTTAGTTGAATACAACCCATGGGGGCCAGAAGTCTCTTTTCCTTTCTATAAATATTTGCTGGTATCATAGTTTTCTTCTGTGTAACTTACTGATGAAATAAGTTTCACTTGTATCAATAATACAGAAGTATGATGATTCAGCAAGAACGAGCTTAGACTGTTCAGCAGTGCCAAGGAAAAGTAGATCATGTTACAGGAAAATAACATAAATGTTACTTAAAAGCAAGTATGTGGGGCTTCTTGTGTGGAAAATGTCTAATCTTCAGGTCACTTAGATTACTAGCAAGCATACAATTGCAGAGAATAATATTTTGTTACAACAATATATTATACTCCAAGCAGACATGGCACAAGACATTTTGGTTCCTGGGGCAAAATATCCAATCCTTTTCAGCTTGCTGCCCCAAAAATTGATGCTGGGAGAAGAGTCAGAAATAAATCCAGTGGCTTCAGTTTTATAGATTGTCTAAAATTTAGTGCGTACATATCCCAGGCAGAAGTGACAACCCAGCCTAAATAGTAAACATTCCTGATTCATTTTCCAATAATTTTGTATCCAGATTTTGACGTAAATAGGTTTTTCCCTTTGATAACCCACATCTACAGATAAATTATCCAAGTGCCAATGCAGACACTATATTTAGCCAGTTCTTTTTCTCTTTGGCATCTCATATTAGTAGCAGGCCCATAATGTAACTTGTGAGCCAGAAAATTCCAAAATGTACTTTCAGGTTGTTGCAATGGAGCTCTGATTCATAGATTCTCTGATTCATGGATAGCTCTGATTCATGGAGCTTATTGATTCATAGATTATGTTGCTTAGGTATGTGAACAACTTGTGCAAACTGAAAAGAAAAAAAGAAGAAACAAAACAGTTTTTTGATGCGGGGAGTTATCAAAACCATAGTTTGCAAGACTAGAAACAATCAGCTAGCTAGTATGCTCCCTCTTCTCCTAGCTTCCATGTCTTGGGCTAACCATGGTTTACCATGGCATTCAGAAATTAATGTGTTACTGGGCTGGCTCTCAGACAGGAGCTCATACCTGATTTGCTCCTCCTTAGGCTTTTTAGGTCATCTTGGGGCAACAGTTAAGCCAAGGGATTGTGGTTAAGGTCTCTCCTTCCTAAGCACCATCTGTGGCCAAGATTTGTTCTATGATTGCAGGTTTTGGATAAGGAGGAAAGGCGTTAACCATCATGTCAGGTTTAGACAACACACTAAGCCAAACCTTTGCTTAGCTGTTACCTAAAAACCTCACTGAGGAACAAAGCAGTTTTGATCTGCTCCTCAGGAACCAGCACATTCACTCTGCTATGGTTTGGCCTAGCACGATGTGCAAATGTGGCATATGGCTAGCTAGCACTTGTTCGCAACAAGAATGGGAAATCATGGCTTGAAAATGGTTGCTGAGTCTTACTGTTAAGTTCAGTGCTGGCCAGATTGTTCTGATTTCAGTGTCATGGCAAACTATGATTAGCAGCAGATAGGAACAGAGAATGCACAGAGCAGAGGAGGAAGTGCACAACCTCATAACTTGTTCATGATTGTCCAGTCCATGCATTTTGCTAGTGTATAAATAGACTTTAAATTAAGGCTATCACACAGAGTATCTTCCTCGTTGCAGATTGTCTTCGGGTCGATCGTCTTGCTCATGCTTTGGCTTCCTATACGAATTATTAAATATCTGCTGCCTCATTTTCTTCCATATAATGTAATGCTTTACAGGTAATTTATTTTTGGAATATTTTCTGTCTTCCATAGTATGTTCTCTTACTGCAAATGCATATGTGCATATTTTTAACAAACAGTTGGCTGTGTAGCTGTAAACTTTGTTCCAGTATACCAACTACAGTGGTACCTCGGGTTACATACGCTTTAGGTTACAGACTCCACTAACCCAGAAATAGTACCTTGGGTTAAGAACTTTGCTTCAGGATGAGAACAGAAATCGAGGCGTGGCGGCAGCGGGAGGCCCCATTAACTAAAGTGGTGCTTCAGGTTAAGAACAGTTTCAGGTTAAGAACAGACCTCCGGAACGAATTAAGTACTTAACCCGAGGTACCACTGTATACAATGATCTTGTTCAGACATAATGCTAAACCTTGGGTATTCATTACATGAATGGTTCTTAGGTTTGTGAGCTTTCTTTCCACTCCTCCGGCATGGACACAACTAACCACTGTTTGTTATGTCTGAATCAGGACAAACTGTTATTAGTCTTAACTGTACTTTAACTAAACAGACGTAGTTTACAATCCTAGCTTTTCTAAATTACCATTAGGATTAACCATAGTTTTGAATTTGGACATGATGAACCAGATAAAAACAGATGATAGCTTCTGATCTCCTAGTAGCCAGATCAGTGGTGGTAGAAGAGAATATGGAGAGCACAGGGTGAGTTGTTCTAACCATAGTTCAGTATTGCTTTCAAACCAGGCAAGAATCCTAGCTATAAAACAGGTGGACGACATTTTTTCTGTTGAGGGCATGCATTCAGATGGTGCTTTTTATGGTGTTTCATGTTTCAGTTTTCACTATGGCCACGTCAAATTAGAATTTCCAGTCCTACTCAGAAGTAAACCTTACTTGGTTTGTTGGGGTTACTCTCAATAAGTATGCAGATGATTTTAAAAATACAATAGCTACTGTTTTGGAAAGCAAGTAATGCCCTTCTGACGTTAGTGTGCTACCCCACCACCTTTCCCTCCAAGTAATAAAACCAGGGGAAACCATCAATTTATTTTTATTCAAATAAAATACTGTCCTTTACCATTTACCTGAAACTAGTAAAGGGAAAAGACAGGGAGGAAATGAGGAAACAAACAGGAAGAAAGGAACTCTAATGGGATGGAAGAATAGGGCAACTTTGGGGGTTACTGGGACTGCACAAAATGGGGTTGGGAACCAACTTGAGGGAATGGTAGGATATAAACAAACAGTGGCCCTAGGCTGCAGGTTGTTTAATGCCTTACAGAATACCAGTTTTATATGTATGTATAACGGGTATTTGTTCATGACATCCCTGCTTTATTTGTTTCCCAGTGATGCTCCTGTGAGTGAACTTTCCCTAGAACTACTCTTGCTTCAGGTGGTGCTTCCAGCTTTGCTTGAACAAGGACACACAAGGCAGTGGTTGAAGGGTCTTGTACGAGCATGGACTGTTACTGCCGGGTACTTACTGTAAGTGTAAAGAACCCATAAAGCACAAATAACCCACATGTCTTTAATGTTTTTGGTTGACTAGACAATATAAATGGAATGTTTAGATACTGCAGAATAAGTGTTTATAGCAAAAATTCAGAGGTTTGTAATGACCTATATTTTAAAAAGCTACTCTATATAAGTGTATCAATGGAAATTGTTGTGCAGCTTTACTAATATTTATCTGTTTGATGGTTATACAAGAGGGGAAATAGTTTCGTTAATTAAAAACCATAATTATTTTGTTTTTGCGTTCTCTACTCTTACCTATAATGCCTCAAATAGCCTGGGCGCAGCTTCCGATGTGATCACCCCAGGTATAAGAGGCTAAGCTCTTCTAGGTGTCTTGCTCTTTGGAAGTCCATTTTTGGGGGTGCTCAGTAGTGTCAATTATAAATCTCACTTCCATGGAACTTCATGACCTATTTGAGGGACCTATTTTTCTCAGGCAGGGAAGGAGGAAGCAACATAAAAAAAATTATAAATATATATCAAAATTCTGATATATTATAAAATGAGACTTTTAGCTGGTTTCTGCAATCTGTGAGGGTAGGAATGACTAATAATTTATGTTCATAGGATGTTTGATGTCAGAGCTTGGTGTGAAAGCTAACCAACTCCTGAAGAAACTTAGCATGCACACATACAGATGAGAGGGAAAACGACCATCTGATCCTAAGATTTGCTCAATCTTAATTGCGAATGGCCTATGGCCCAAACATTAATGAAGTACTACTTCTAATTATTTCAAGACTTCATTCCATCGGGCTGAAGCCGAGGAAGAACAGGACTATTTCATCTTTGGCTCTTTTACTCCTTCTTTCACCATCTATCAATGGCTATTCCATCAGGCTACCAGAGCAGTTTCCCTCCCTGCTGTAAGAACTGTACAGTAGACCCTTGGGTTACGTTACTCTCAAGTAATGTAAGCTTTGGGTTGCTGCTTGCGCATGGATCCCCGGAACGAATTAAGTTCGTATCCAGAGGGTCCACTGTACCTTAAAAAACTGGTGCTTGAGTTTGTTTTCCTTCTTACCTCCCCATCGCTTTTACCTTTTGTTTCTGTATTTTTTACCTTTTTTATTGTAAGCCTGAGGGAGGGAACTCTTTTGTTTCTTACTGATGTGCTAGCCGCTCTAGGCTCCTTTTCGGTTGAAGAAGAATTAAAAAATGCTTAAAATACTAATCATTAGATAGGACTAGTTATCCTGCCCTGTAAGGCTTGGAATTAGAGATGTCACTCACATTGCTTATTTGAATCCTATTCCATGTAGGGTGTGTGATCATCTTCATTCCAGATCTGTGATGTTGCATTTAGGACTGTTGTTTTTCTTTTGATGTTCCAATCAGTTAGTAATGAGACGTTTGGTTTCAGAACCATGTAGCATGTTAAAAACAGTTGTGAAAGCACAACAGATTTCAGTGGCCTTTGATAGCTATTCTGTGCCATTACAGTGGTACCTCTGGTTGCGGACGGGATCCGTTCCAGAGCTCCGGTAGGATCCTGAGGTTTCCGCAACCGGAGGTGCCTGTTCTGCGCACGCGCTTGATAGACTGCTACTGCGCATGTGCGTGCGGCGAAACCCAGAAATATACTTCCGGGTTTGCTGCGTGCGTATCCTGAAGGATACATAACAAGAGGGGTACCACTGTATTATGGTGCTTTTAATCATCATACCTATACATTCATTAAACACTAATAGGAACATTTATGGTAGCCAAGATGGTTCACAATTTTTTAAAAAAATGTTTTTTCAGGGATCTGCATTCTTACTTACTTGGAGACCAGGAAGAGAATGAAAACAATGCAAACCAACAGCCTAATAACCAACCTGCTCGCAATAATAATGCCATTCCAGTTGTGGGAGAAGGTCTTCATGCAGCCCACCAAGCCATACTACAACAAGGAGGACCTGTTGGCTTTCAACCTTACCGTCGGCCTTTAAAATTTCCACTCAGGGTGAGTTGTTCTAACTGTCCATTTAAAGCAGGGATGGCTAACCTGTGGCCCTCTAGATCAGAGTTTTCCAAACTGTGTGTCATGACATGTTAGTGTGTCGGCTGCAGTGTGTAGGTGTATCTTGCGAATGCTTCCGGGGCTGGAAAGGGGTTAGTTTAACCTCCGGTTTGCAAGTAAAACTGAATTACTGTGTCATGAATTGATGCACGTCTCAAAAGTGTGTCACCAGCATGAAACGTTTGGAAAGCTCTGCTCTGGATGTTGGACTCAACAGCCATCAGTCCCAGCTCACATGGTCGGTAGTTAGGCATGATGGGAGTTGTAGTCTAGCAACATCAGATGGTGGCACAGGTTAGCTAATCCTGCATTAATACAGTGGTACCTCGATTTACAAAGGCTTCAGGTTACAAACTCCACTAACCTGGAAGAGTTACCTCGGGTTGAGAACTTTGCCTCAGGATGAGAACAGAAATCGTGTGCCAGCAGTGCAGCGACAGCAAGAGGCCCCATTAGCAAAAGCACGCCTCTAGTTAAGAACAGTTTTCAGGTTAAGAACGGACCTCCGGAACGAATTAAGTTCGTAACTCGAGTTACCACTGTACTTAATTTAGTTCACTGGCATCTAGTTAATTAATTCCCCATTTCTCTTCAATATCTGGAACAAGTAATTCTAAAGGCAGTATTTGTGTGAGTGTTCAGTATCTTGTTCCCTTCATTTGCCCATTCGATTCTTACAGAAAGGAATGACTTCCCACCACTCTGGGGCTTATTGGCATCACATAAAGGAACAACGATAAAAGGGATGTGTGACTTTTATTTCAGGAAGTATATTATGGAAGCAGTCTGAAAACAAAATGTGTAATTGTAGGTATTGGGTGTGATCCTTCACACCCATAAAGCCACTTTATGTTCAGTTAGCCTTGAGGTCTGCCTCTCCAGGTTGAATGTATATGTGGAGGTCTAAAATTCTGTATCTCATGGAGAGAAAGCTAACATGATTCTCTGAAGACTACATACAGTAGTTTTCGAGTAAAAAAATAAATGCTTAAGATCCGGGCATTAGAAGAATCAGAAGCCTGTTGCTTTGTCAAAATGCTTTCAGTGACTTCTAGGCACACAGGGTATTTCATGAATATATTTTCTACTTTTGACTGCAGGCTCTCATACAATTGAAATAAAATTGCTAAATTTTAAGGTGTCTTCCAAATGTCCTTTTTATTGCTTTTTTTCTTTGTAAATAGATTTTACAATTTTTCCACTTCGTTTTTGTGTTTTTCAGATATTTTTGTTAATCATTTTCATGTGTATAACACTACTGATAGCAAGTCTTATCTGCCTAACGTTACCAGGTATGTATTTCACAGTAGCAAGTTGCTGCTGCTTATTAACATGTCCTTGTTTATTTAATTTTAAATTGCTTGAATGGAAAAATAAAATAGGAAAATGTAATGCAGAAAACAGCGTATCTTCTGTTGTGTGGACTTTGAATATGCTGATATTTTTTCATAAATCAATAACTAGACCAGTGCTATTTCAGTAAAAATGAAAGTAAATGGTCATTTTGGCATCTTTCATATTTACGGTACATTTGGCTGTTACGGTGTGTGCTTACTAAAATACCATGTTGACGCCTTAAAGCTTTTAGAAATTGCTTCAACTTGCTGACTTCATATAATGTGAATATGAATTTTTATTGGGCCAGCTAGTTAATTTAAAGCTACAGTCCTAGGCATATTTACTTGGAAGTAAGTCCCATTTAACATGGGCAGATTTAACATCCAAGTAAATATATGTAAGATTGGGCTTCCTGCCCCCCCAGTGCCTTAAATCTTGTAGCACAGCTGAAAAATTAAATAGAAGATAAAACTCTTTTACTTGCCATGAGCCTGTAGCTCAGGGGCGGGGAAAATTTTTGGACAACCAGGCCATATTTTTAGCTCCCAACCCACCACGCAGTACAACTTTGACAGTTTGCTGGACCTGCCCACCTGTCAAAGTTGACTGGTGGGATAGAGATCTGCTTCACCAACATGCTCCCCACAGGGAATGTGGTGGTGAAGCAGCACCAAGCAGGATTGAAATGAGCAGGATTTCCCCCCTCCAAACAGCTGATGAGTAAGGGTTAAATCCTGCTGCTTTGGCTGCATGTGACAGTTCCCCATGGGAAACTGGGGGTGTGTGGCACAGCCAATGCATAATGGAACTCTGCCCATCTATTGACCTCACCACCCTTCAGAGTGACATTAGTTGATTGACAGGTGGGTGTCGTTTGGGTAAAATGGCCTTGTGGCCCAAGATTGGCCCCCGACCTCTGCTCTAACCATAGGTGGTTTAATCAAAATATCTGTACGTGCAGATACTGGGGATGGGGCTATTCAGTATGGCCCTGCTATTTACTCCTATATACAACTTCACACAGGGACGCGGGTGGCGCTGTGGGTTAAACCACAGAGCCTAGGACTTGCCGATCAGAAGGTCAGCTGTTCGAATCCCCATGACGGGGTGAGCTCCCGTTGCTTGGTCCCTGCTCCTGCCAACCTAGCAGTTCAAAAACATGTCAAAGTGCAAGTAGATACATAGGTACCGCTCCAGCGGGAAGGTAAACGGCGTTTCCGTGTGCTACTATGGTTCGCCAGAAGCCGCTTAGTCATGCTGGCCACATGACCCGGAAGCTGTCTCCAGACAAACACTGGCTCACTTGGCCGATAAAGCGAGATGAGGGCCGCAACCCCAGAGTTGGTCACGACTGGACCTAATGGTCAGGGGTCCCTTTACCTTTACCTTTACAGCTTCACATGGGCTAATAATACCTTAAGGGAGCTAAACTTATGTAGTTACTTTGTCTGGAAGTTTCACATTTTTATCCTGCCGTTCCCATAAAGAGTTTGTAGTGGCATACATGGTACTCCTCTCTGCCCCCCCTTCCAACTGTTTTCACAACAACGCTCAGGGAGAGGCTGTAGGCTGAGACACCGTGACTAGCCCTAGGCCACACAGTAAGCTTTGTGGCTGGTCAGGAATTTGAACCCAGATCTCCTGATGCAAGCACCAAATAACCACCGTCCACATCTCTTTTCTAAAGAAAAATGAATTCAGGCACTATTTGTTTGGTACACATCATTTTAACAGTTATCATTGTCTTTGGGTGAACTTAAAGCAGGGATTGTTTTTGACCTGACTTTTGTTAGCTCCTGAAGTGGGGCAAATGCTTTGCAGATTTTAGTGAACTTGGTTTTTCTTTGTGCAAGGTGGTTAATAAATTTAATACTGGGGTTAAAACAAAATTGGATCTATTCAAATTAGTGTCTGGGATGTAATCAGCTTGTGAAAACGTAATGTAACTTTTTACTTTACTTTCTTTGAACAAGTAGTTCCCATTCAGTATTATGAATTGCTTTTTAAACTGCCCTCTGTTCAAAAGCGGTTGTCATGCACCACTGGGGGCTGCAATTGAGTGCGAGAAAACTCTGAAGCTACTTTGATTATGAGTTCTCTGGGCCCATATCATTTTATGGCTGTCTGGCAGTGTGTGTTTCTTTTAAATATTCATTAATGTTTCTGGTTTTAGTATTCGCTGGCCGTTGGCTGATGTCCTTTTGGACAGGGACCGCCAAAATCCATGAACTGTACACAGCTGCTTGTGGGCTCTACGTTTGCTGGCTTACCATTCGGGCGGTGACGGTGCTTGTTGCTTGGATGCCACAGGGCCGCCAAGTGATTTTTCAGAAAGTTAAGGAATGGTCCCTCATGGTAAGTCATCTGAAAAAATGCATTTTTTAAAAGTTTCGGGAAGCACTTAATTGATGTGGAGGGAGTGTTTGTCTAACTATTCAAGAAGCAACGGTGACAAATATGTTTCCTCCCCTATGGGCCTTCTCTAGAAAGAGGAAATCAAAGAAATAATTAGTTGTAGCATTTCCCTCCCCCCCCCCAAACTGCCATAGACTTCATGGCCTTCAGTTATTCACCAGATCTGGGCGACCAAGGCTGGAGGGTAATGAATGACCAGAGCCACTCTTTAATTTCTTGAAGGAGAGAGCCTAGGTCTCTCAAACCTGCCTTTGAACTCTTGTCCTCTGAGCATAAGCTAGAGTGGAGAATTTGGCAAAGAGTATTAGTGCTGAACCTCACTCAGCACACGGTAGCACAAACGTCCTTACTTTGCCTTCACTTTGGGGAAGAGTTGTAGCATTGACAACTGACCCCGGGTATGAACCCTAGTGAGCTCTCGTTCATATGTGCCAGCTGAAGGAAAGTAGACTTCCTTTCCTTCATTACTCTCTTCGCTTTCTCTGATATATTTTGTCAGAGGCAGCTGCCTTAGAAATTACTGCTCCAGAGGGGACCCACTAAATCTTTTCTAAATCTGGTTCTGTGTATTTGTTTCTCTTTGCACTCCCGTTTTATTGTGATGTTGTGTAAGTACAGCCACAAGGTTTTGAAGTGTCACTAAATTAAGTTTTCTCTTTTTTTTACTTTTTAGATAATGAAGACATTAATAGTTGCTATATTGCTGGCAGGTGTAGTTCCACTTTTGCTTGGACTTTTGTTTGAGCTGGTTATTGTTGCTCCTTTGAGAGTTCCCCTGGACCAGACACCGCTATTCTACCCATGGCAGGTTAGCTCTGTACTTTTTGCTTTGAGTGCTGTTGTAGAAATTAGGCTTCTCAGCTCCGCCAGGGAAAAAGGCAGGGAAATGAATGAATGAATAAAACTTCAATAGTTCCAACTGTTGTCTTTTGCAGGAAATTAAACTAATGAATGTGGCCTTAGAACTGTGAGCTTCATTGTAACTGAAAGCAAACTGAAAGCGAACATAGGGCTAATTTTATATATTCCCTGCCTTTTCACAAAAAAAGTATTTAAGGTGATATACATAAAATCAAGCGACATTCACATTTGTAACTTAACTCTAAATATGCGTGATGAAAATAACACACGTTCATTTCATATATGTCCCTGCATCTATTTTCCTCCCCTTCCTTTGTATTAGCAAATTCCCTACATTTTCCCTACAATTATAGGCAACAGTTTTGGGTGTGTATGTAAGAGCCTGCCCCCTTTTACTCTACAATCACTGTGCATATTGACGATGGTATAGAAATAATAATCATTTTCGTTTTGACTTAGGACTGGGCTCTTGGTGTTCTGCATGCCAAAATAATTGCTGCCATAACTCTGATGGGCCCTCAGTGGTGGCTGAAAACTGTTATTGAACAGGTAAGAACTGCTTCTTTGGTGCAAGGGAAGCAAACAAAACATACAGACCATTAAATTGCCCATACTAGGGAACCTGTGGCCTTTCAGAGCTTGTTGGTCTGCAACTTGCACCGTCCCTGACATTTTGGCTATGTTGGCTGCGGCTGATGGGAGTTGGAGTCTAATAGCATCTGGAGGACTCTAGGTCCCTTATCCCTGGTTTATTCTGTTTACTTCTTCCTTAGCTACCTCTAAAACTTAGCATCTTTCCTCTCGCTTGGGAGACTTTGGCTTGATACCCATAAAGTATTACTGAATTTTCAGTTTGGAACTGTGTTTTCCTGACTAAGAAACTACAAAATAGCTCTCATCTCTCCCCACTCCCCAAAAGCATAACATTACAATGGGTTACCACTTAGAGGAGCATGTGACAAAAGTTGACAGAGGTTTTGCACAGAAGGGATGTCACTAGTGTTAAGGGAAAAAGCAGGGAGAAAATATAAGTAAATTTTACAGGGCTACTTTTCGTTAGGTTTTTCAAAGCAAATATAACAACCAAATTAAGTGTTAAACAAATTGCAACAAATAACACTATAGAAACCTTTCTTACTATATAAGGCACACTTTTATCAAATATTTTCCCCCAAAGGATGTTTCTTATTGATTCCATGAGTTGAACATGCCTTGTCTCTGTACCTTATAAGTTTTATTTCTGCTTTTACTGTTACCTTGTTCAGATGATCATATCCTGGCTCAATGAGATGCTTTGTTCCTCAGTATAACCTAGCAAACAACTGAGGAAGTCTTAAGTTACCTATAATTTCCGTTTTGTCTGAACTGGGAAACTTTGACAAACAATTTTGGAATAATCTAGAAGCCCACTTGAAACCGTGACTTCATATTCTGCCTTGCTGCAGAGTCATTAGCCACAGTTTCCTTCTTCAGATATAAATATCTGTAGATTTCCTGGTTTGGTTATGGGAAGGTTTATTCACACCTCTGCTAAGCCATTATCATCTGAACATGGCAAATGTGAAAAAGATCACCCTTATTATAGCATCTTCAACATATAGTACCCTTGCTTGTATCATTTTAAAAACTAAAATGGCAATATGGGTTAAATCCAACTGTATTATAATTTTACAGTGGTTTTCTAATGGTCACATGGTATAAGCCACAACCAAACCTTGCACACACACAGTACAAAACATACTTTCATTTTATTACATATGCACTATAATAGAGGCATCTACAGTACCAAGAAGCACGTATTATAGACTTAAAAACAACTTGAAATTATTAAAGTGTATTTATTTTATTTAAACAATTTATATACTACTTAACTACAGTCATCTCTGAATGGTGTGCAGTGCAGAAGGGTAAAAGTCAGTTAAAACTATAAAATAAGACTTCAATTAAAATCCCTGCTGGAATAAAAAAAGAAGTCTTCAGTTGGTGTTGGATGATCAGTAGGAAGAGGAGCTGTCTGACTTCAACTGGGAGTTCCACAGAATTGGGCCCATAATACAGAATGCACAGCTCCTTGGAAACACATGCCTGTTTCCTTGTACATTTTTTTCCTGTTTATATAAACAAATGAGGCAACACCTAACACATACTCTGTTCCCAGGTGTCCCCACTCCCCCAATTTTGGGTTTCTATCTGTGTTGAGCTTTTCGTTTAATTACTGTATATTTTTATTTCTATATATTGGGAGAAAAAATGATCTTGATTATTAGGACATAAATAATGGGTTGTGTCCAGCCAGGTTGTCCCATTTGCACAGAGGTTTCTGCCTGTGCAACAAAACCTCTCCCTCTCCTTCCCAAATCTGCTTTAGTTGATTTATATACTAAAACACCTGTTTAGTGATACAGTCATACCTTGGGATGAATACGCTTCAGCTTAAATATTTTTGGGTTGCGCTCCGCGGTGACCCGGATGTAACGGAGCACGTTACTTCCGGGTTTCGCCGCTCGCACATGCGCAGACGCTCAAAATGATGTCACGTGCATGCGTGGAAGCGGCGAATCGTGATCCACGCAGATGCTTCTTACGTTCGCTTCAGGATGCGAACGGGGCTCCGGAACGGATCCCATTCACATCCAGAGGTACCACTGTACGTGGAAACTCACCTGTGGTTTAGCTCTATGTGGATGAGATAACAGTGTGCCCAAGCAAAGTGTCTGCAAACGATAGCTTTGCTTTTAAAGAATGAAGAATGCTGAGTCCTATGAACCAGGGATACAGTTCCTGGCTTGCAGCAAACTGTATTAAGTTTCAAAACAAGTTAACTTCAACTCATGGGTTATGAAACTGGCTTCATAAACTAATAGAGTTTGTTGTAAGCCAGGATTCCTGGTTTGTTGGAGGCAGCAAGCCAACCTTAATTTGTAAGTGAAACTACTTTCTGCAGAACTGCTCCTGGCTGTGCATGGAGGGGGAGATATGCAGGCTCAGTAATTTGTTTGGGCTTGCTTCAGCCTGCAGCTCATCTAGATAGCACTAAACCATCGTTTACATGCTAATGCTGATATTAAAATTTTAACTGCCACATTTAATGCTAATATTTTAATGCTATAATGCTGTCATTCCTTCCTAATCATAAATATGGAGATTTTTGTATGTAATACATTTAATGTCAGGGCCCGGGCAGCCATCCTTCATGCATCTTGACTGTGGTCTTATTTTTTCAGGTTTATGCAAATGGAATTAGGAATATTGACTTACACTTTATAATACGGAAGCTTGCAGCGCCTGTTATCTCAGTTCTGTTGCTTTCTCTTTGTGTACCTTACATCATAGCTTCTGGTATTGTACCTTTACTAGGTAAGTGCAGATGGGCATACAGATTTCATTGTGTGGGTCCCAGCTTAAGATACGAATCGGGGAAAATCTTTTGTTAGAACGTCAAATGAGTGTTCTGTCAAGCATGTCCATTAGGTAGCTGTACTTCATTTACCACATACTGTATCTTGCCCAAAGGTTCAAGAAGTATTTCGTTTGCTAGCTTCAGTGAAAACATCATGTTACATCATTTGGAGAGTTACATAGTTTTGGCCCACACATAGATCCTGAAGCTGTTTAGCAGCTGGTAGGCTTTAGCTGAAATTTAGAGATTCCCAGCTTTTGTTTTCAAAGAAATGTACTTCTAGGTCATTAAAAATGAAATAGAAGTATGTACTAAATTTGAAGGTGGTGGCTAAAATATCACCCTAAAAAGAATCATTTCAGGTAAACAAAGATAGCCTATTAAATATGTGAATATTTATACAGAAGAAATTGTACAAAATACATAAAACAACAATCAGATGGGGAGTAGGGCTACTACCACGAAATAGCTAGTATTTTAGAGTTCCGTGACAATGCAATATTGGGCAGCCCTACTCAGAAGGGACGCGGGTGGCGCTGTGGGTTAAACCACAGAGCCTAGGACTTGCCGATCAGAAGGTCAACCTGCCAACCTAGCAGTTCAAAAGCACCTCAAAGTGCAAGTAGATAAATAGGTACTTCTCCGGCGGGAAGGTAAACGGCGTTTCCGTGCGCTGCTCTGGTTTGCCAGAAGCGGCTTAGTCCTGCTGGCCACATGACCTGGAAGTGGTACGCCGGCTCCCTCGGCCAATAAAGCGAGATGAGCGCCGCAACCCCAGAGTTGGTCACGACTGGACCTAATGGTCAGGGGTCCCTTTACCTTACTTAGAAGAAAGACCTAATGAGTGGGATTCACCAAACCAGCAGCGTTGGTGGAAACTCTGCACACGGGCTTCCGCTTGTGCAACTGGGCTCCTTTCCCCCTCACCCTATGCATTTCTGAAATTGGCTTGGGGTGGTGGTGTCAGGAGAACCCCTGAACCACACATGAGGGGAGGAGAAGGGAGATTGTTCCATCTGGCAAGCTGAAATGCTTGTGCAGATGGAAGAATTGGAAGAGTGTGATGTTGAATTCCACCCATTGTCATTTGTCACCTTGGAAGTACCGTATTTTTCCATCTATAAGATGCCCCCATGTATAAGACGACCTCTATTTTTTGAGCCCCAAATTAAGAAAGAAATATTTTAAACATTTCATGTATAAGACGACCCACAATTTTAAACTTAAAAAATATGGTGGAAACACAGAAAAATATGGCATATCTAGGATATAATGAGCTTAAAGGTAAAGGGACCCCTGACCATTAGGTCCAGTCGTGGCTGACTCTGGGGTTGCAGCGCTCATCTCGCTTTATTGGCCGAGGGAGCCGGCATACAGCTTCTGGGTCATGTGGCCAGCATGACTAAGCCGCTTCTGGCGAACCAGAGCAGCGCACAGAAACTCCATTTACCTTCCCGCCGGAGCAGTACCTATTTATCTACTTGCATTTTGACGTGCTTTTGAACTGCTAGGTTGGCAGGAGCAGGGACTGAGCAACGGGAGCTCACCCCGTTGCGGGGATTCGAACCGCGACCTTCTGATCGGCAAATCCTAGGCTCTGCGGTTTAACCCACAGCGCCACCCGCATCCCATGCATAATGAGCTTACAATCACTCAAATAAAAACATGGCTGCAGCATTCAAGATTGAATTATTGATTCAGAATTATTTGTATTTCGAATTCTCCATTTCAGAGCTGTTCAGGTGAATCATACAACTAAATTACAAATACTAGTTGGAAGACTTTACAGCGTTTACAGTGTGGCTGCAATCAGTGGCTTCTCCTTGTAGATAAGCAATGTGTCCTTCCCCAGAAAACACTGCATTACTTATTTTGTTCTGTATGTGGCAGTAGCTTGCTAGAGGGTAGTGGAGAATGGCTCATTGAGCAACAACAAATGTGTTCATGTTCTGAGCTTCCATTATAAAATATGGTTGTTCCTACAGAGTATGTGGGGTGTGTGACACGGTAATAAACCAAACATGAAACTGGATATTAAATAGGCCAAAATTTTATTAGCTCCAGCTTCTGTGAATTCAGCTTTGCAAAGACAGGAATGTTCTGATACTCTGGCAGCCTATTTGCTGACAAAAATCTGAATACCAGTAAGCAGAAGAGGTTTCAGGAAAAATTCTTCTCTGTTCACATAAACCAGCAGCCACTGAACACCCAAAGCAAAGAGACAAGCCTTGCAACATAAGGCAGTATCACTTGGTGGGATGAAAGGCAAGAATCAAGAGGCTGATATTGGTAGAGTTTTGCTTGTTGGTTGCTCCAGTTCCAATATTTGAAATGCAAAGCCTTTATTTTAACTTTTAGCTCATTTGCTCTTGTTAACTTTTTTGCAGGTGTCACTCCTGAAATGCAAAACCTAGTGCAACGTCGAATTTATCCTTTTCTGCTCATGGTGGTGGTTTTGATGGGGATCTTATCTTTCCAGGTCCGTCAGTTCAAGCGCCTTTATGAACACATTAAAAATGACAAGTGAGTACCTACATTAGTAAAGTTCATCAGTTCTGGGGCAGTAATACTAGTATGCTAAAGTTTTAGGAAGCTAGAAGTGATGGATAGATTTTGGAGCATTGTGAAAGTGGTATTTTAAACCTTTTCTGAAGCATCTGGGATGAACAGTAAGGTGACAGAATACTGGATCAGATTTGCAGTGCTTTGAGACTAAATAGAGATGATAATGTCACTGCCGCTGGAAACACTGAAAGCTTTTCTTCAAAACCAGAAATTCTGTGAAGCGATTCATGTTGGTATGCCATTGCCTGCCTCCTCCCATTGCCTGCCCATTTGGAATTTGCAAAGGGGTGTTCAGAATAAAAATATTTGTAACTTTCTGTACTTTGAATGTCCATCCCTTTTATATAAGCTTTAAAAATGTATTCTATATTTTTACATACTACTATACATATCGGGATCTTAATGACTGCAAGCAAATTTTCCATCAGCAAAGTATTTTAAATAAAATACTTCCCCATTTACTCTGCCCACTATTTTTTTTTAACGGCATGTGATGACCAAACATAATGGTGTGTTTGTTTGTTTTTTAAATCATAGGTACCTTGTTGGGCAGCGACTTGTGAATTACGAAAGGAAAACTGGAAAACAAGGGACACCAGCCCCACCCCCTCAGTCTTCACAAGAATAGAAACGCTCACATGGAATTACTTGATCTTCCCTTGCCTTTGTGTCCTTTTTCATTGACTGGTCTTCATTCTTTGGGTGTCTTTCCCAACAATCCTCTCAGCTGGGTTTTTATCTTTTAATTTTGGCTTACTTTTTTCATGGCGTTCAGAAAGCAGTCAAGGCTGTGCACCTTTTACCTGCAACTTCTGAAGTTATCAGCGCTGAGATCTGTAAATGTGTAAATAGCAATACCCTAATACCCTGAATTAAAAAATGAATGTTCATTGTACATCTTTAAAAGAATATTAATTTATTAAATCTAGTTGCCACTTTGTTTTGGACTGCTGTTCTGTTGACATATGTGCCACAAAGCAATACTGCAATAGGCAAGACACTTTTTTTTTTGGAAGAAAAAAACAACAACAGTTGCATTTTTATGGTGGCTCTGGCCATTTCCCAAATGTAATTTTTGCAAAGCTGGGGGCTCATCAATATAAAAACAAAATGACCATTACAGTCAGCAGTGAAGTGGCTGCGGCAAGAACACATAAGCTTCATTTTTTTATCATTTTATATAACATCAAAGCTGATGTAAATTTTCTATTGCCTGATTATCTTTTTCCATGTGTAAGTTTATAATATTGTACAGTAACTGGTAAATCAAGATGAATTTTTCTCCTTCAAGCAGTTTTGGCATTGCTTGTTTGGCTGGAAGGCATTAATTCCTTGGCACTGAAAGACAGAATTTTAATGAATTTCTAAGCACTTAAATCAAAGTTCATTAGAGCTAAGTGGCAGGAATACTTAAATCTGCTAATTGAGAGGTTTGTGGAAGAATGCATTTCCAATGCATAAGCCAATATTTCCTTTTTACATCTTTGAAGCTATACAGTTTAAATGCTTACAAGGATTTATTTACTCTCTAGAGAATAGTGCAGAAGGTTATCTGACAAGTTTATTCAAGAGCACAGAGAACTTAAAGGCTGGAACATGTTACGAAAGACCCTCCTTTTTTCTTGAGTGGCCTGAAACCTCCTTACAACCAAAGTTGCAATTTGTACTATGGACTTTATACCATATCATATTAAAAATGAACATCTGTAATTCTAGAAATGGTTAGCATTAATTTTGCATGGCAGTAATGCTAGAGGTTTTGGGGGAAAATTTGTAGATTCTATGGGAGAAAACCTTTATAGTATTAACAACAGCAGAAAGAGAACCAAAAATAAAATAAAGAGCTGATCTTTACAATGATAGCGCTAAGGAAGAGGCCCCCCCAATCAAGTTCACCAATTCTCATATTTTTATACGTGTACTTATTTTCTGCAGGTAGATATGCATTTTTAATGTAAATAGTTCTGAGACAGACAAATGGAACTATGCTGAAGCTTTAAGTACAGTTCAGTTGTGTGCTTAAAACACACAACATCCTATTCAAAAACAGTGAGAAATTGATTTAGGTTTATTGTATTGAGAAACATTAATGCTATGCAGTTGTGTGGCCACTCAGGACTGTGTCCTTGAACATCATGTATATTTAATTATGTGTATTGAATAGATTACCAAGGAATTTGTCTACTGTCTTCAGGATATGTCTTTGTGCTTGAAAGAAAAAGCAGAAATATGTCGAGAGCTGTTCTGGTTCCATGTTTGGGGGGCAGAGGCGGTGGTTAAGATTTCTGACAATCTACGCTCATGCCCAGTAGAATAGTAGAATTGTGTAATAGAAGTGGAACTGGACTATCCAACTGGACTATCTAACAAGAGGTCCATCTTTGGTATTTTGCAGCATTACCTCATTTTAGACATTCTGGGCTATAAAATGTGTTGATACACTTGAGGTTTATTTCTAAATAAATATTTCACAAAATTCCAAATAAAAAGAGCATAGTAATGAGAGATGGCCAAAAACACTTCTAATTCACTGTACAAAGATCTTAATTTTGAGTCTTTTGTGCCTGATCCTCTGGGACATGCAAATATTACACATTTCAATATTTATAATGGTGTACTTTTCTGTACAGGAGCATATTTTACCCCCAAATACTGCATTTTCTGGTAATACATGTGTTTGGTTGCACAATTATCTGTCATTGATGGTCTTTGTTTTTGTTTTTAATATCCAAGCAGTCTTACCACTGGGATATTGCCAGCGATGCTGTGCTTTTTCCTGTAGCATTTTGCAGAAATGCAGTATCTTGTAATTTTTGTTTTTATCCTGGACAACCTGATCTGCAAAGATTATTAAAGTTTATTAAGAAAAAGCCTTGACACTTGCTATCTTATTGCAGCACAAAGCAGGGCTGTGTGTATTCTTTTCTAAAGGGAGTGGAGTGGGTAGAACCAATGGCTGCCAACATGAAACTGGATTCTCTTTACTTGCATCAATTACACAAATTAAGTGCACTTACTCCAAGTTTATGTATTGTGCTTCTATTAGTAATGGGAAAGGAAGTATGTGAGGTGCTTCATACTCGCGATCCATATCTCACCACCCATTTCCTATATGTTTCGCTGTTGCCTCCAAGGACTAGAAACGTACTTTAAAATGAAAAAGAAGAAAAGCCCAAGTTTGCAAGCCCAAGAATACTTGCCAAAGGAAGGTGATATTTGTAGGGGTTTTTTTATATAACCATAAACAATGGCATGGGACTGACATCTTATCAATAAATCAAAATATAAGGTAATACTGTAGGAACAAAACAGTGTTCAGATTAAGCTGTTCAGCTATCTATATATTCCAGGTGCTAGTAGGATGGTAACTTTCTGTGGTGCCACGAGAACGTTATTCAGTACCTGGTGCATGGAGCGTCTGAGCAAGTTTCCAGTCTTCAAGGCTGTAGAGATTAGTTTTGAGTCACAGCACATAGTTTTGAGACACAGTGCATTCTGACTGAATGCAGGTCTCTTCTGTGCAAGGAGCTGTCCCCATTAGTTTCAGTGGAGACACCTGCCTATGTCTCCCTTTCTCTGCTTGGAGTTTTTCCATTCTTTGAAGCAAGGGATCCTTGTGGATGGACCTCAGAGAATTCCATACCTAAAAGCGACAGCTGAAAGGCAAACCAGGATTTACGAGGTGCGGAAACTTATGTGCCCTGTCATAGGCTTGCTCCAGTAATCTCTCCTTAGCCACCCAACTCTGGCACCGTTTTGGGATCCTTAAAGGTGTGAATCTCTTGTTACAAGTCACTGCTGTGAACACCATGAATGTGAAGATTACACACATCAAAGTGCAATGTTCAGTTCCAATAATAATTGGAATAATGATTATTCTGCATTGCAGGAGGTTGGATTAGAATAGATGATCCTCAGGGTCCCTTCCAACTCAACAGTTCTATGATCCTATAATATGCTATGTTTACTTTTTAAAACAAAAAACTGGCCCTTCTTAAAGATCAAAGCAGTACTGAAAATGGGAACAATTGCTTGAATCTCTGTCTTGCTTCCAAAGAATGGGGAGAGCGCTGATTGATGCTTTTGAAATCGCCCCAATGCACCCCATTTTTTTTGAAACAAGCCATATACTGTATTCGAGAATATATAATATAGTGCATTATTTATAAATATATAAAATATGCTATATTTAATATACATGTATTTATATTATGTGTTATTTATACCCCGCCTTTTTTTCTCTGACAAGACTTGAGGCGGCTTCTATGCACAAAACCCCCCAAAAAAGGACCCACCTTGGTAGTTGGGCGCCCTAAACGCACCTTCCCTTCCCTTCCTACTGCGCCTGCGTCCCCGACGTCCCCGCCCACAGAACGTCGAATCAACACAGAGACTGCAGTTCCGGCCCGAAGCTCGAAGGCTTTTTCTATCCCAGCTCCCACAGCGAAACACCCGAGGGGTTTCCACCATAGAGTTTTTTCCCCTTCTCCCCCGCCCCTTTCGCGTCCTCGCGGAACGCGTCTTTTCAAGGGTCGCTCTAGGCGTTCCGCCGAACAACCATTCCCCCCACCCACCCACACGCGCTTCTCTATGGTTCTCGCGGTTGCTACGAGACGGCGAGGCGCGAGCGCGCTGCCATAGCAACTCAACGGCGGCGGCGGCGGCGGGCCGCCTCGTCCCTTTCGAGAAAGAGCGCGAGGGAGGGCGAGGGGTTTAAAAGCCCCGGCGAGGTAAATGGCCTCCGCTTCTGCCGCTTCTCCTCGAGTCGCCGGGGGCCGTTTCAACCCCGGAGGGGAGGGGACATTCGCGAGGCAAAAAACTGCATAATACATATATATATATCCATTTGTGATAAGTCATTGTGGTATTAATCCTGCCGTCTCTTTCCCAAACTCAGAGGGCACAGTTTGTTGGTGGGTAGGTGTATATATATATATATATGTATATGTGTGTGTGTGTGTGTGTGTGTGTGTGTATATATATATATATGTGTGTGTGTGTGTGTGTACGGAAGTAGCCAAGGGGGGCAGTGACCCTCCTCCAAATCAAATAAATCAATAGAAATCCTTAACTAACTGAGGTTCTGCCCGCCCCCAACATAAATCCTGGCTATGCCCGTGTCCAGAATCTCTTGCACAGCCAGGATTAATCCTGTGCGATCACAGCCCTCCCCCCCGCCAATCGTGTACAGTGCACAGTTGTACACGGGTGAGCTTTTACCACTTTTTTGTTGTTGAAAGCAGTAGATGTTAGATGCAGAGAACAGTCCGTAACCTACACACATACATAAAGGTAAAGGGAGCCCTGACCATTAGGTCCAGTCGTGGTCGACTTGGGTTGCGGCGCTCATCTCGCTTTACTGGCCAGCATGACTAAGCCGCTTCTGGCAAACCAGAGCAGCGCACGGAAACACCGTTTACCTTCCCGTCGGAGCGGTACCTATTTATCAAACTGCTAGGTTGGCAGGAGCAGGGACCAAGCAACGGGAGCTCACCCCGTTGCGGGGATTCAAACCGCCGACCTTCTGATTGGTAAGTCCTAGGCTCAGTGGTTTAACCCACAGCACCACCCACGTCCCATGACACACATACATACTCATTTTTAAAAGCCTGCTGGATGTGTGAACAGATTTTTTTTTTCATGTACAAGCAGGGACATTTTCAGGATCAGCCGTCTGCTTTAGGCTCCTGTAGTTGACACTCAATGGTACCCCATAGCTACAATGCTTCTCTCTCTCTCTCTCTCTCCCACCCACCCACTTCAATTCAGACTTCCAGTATGTTTGCTTGAAAGCAATTCCCAGTGAATTCAATAGTATTCATTCCTAAGAGATAATGGCAACAAGCCTAACACCTCATTGAACTCAGTGGGATTTACTTCCAAGTAGGTAGGCACGTGATTGAGTTTTATATGTAGGATTGCAGCCCTTTAAGACAAGCATCTACTTGATTAGCTATGCTTCTTGACCTTGACCTTGACCCAGTGTGGTGTAGTGGTTAAGAGCGGTAGTCTCCTAATCTGGGGAACCGGGTTCGCGTCTCTGCTCCTCCACATGCAGCTGCTGGGTGACCTTGGGCCAGTCACACTTCTTTGAAGTCTCTCAGCCCCACTCACCTCACAGAGTGTTTGTTGTGGGGGAGGAAGGGAAAGGAGAATGTTAGCCGCTTTGAGACTCCTGAAGGGGAGTGAAAGGCGGGATATCAAATCCAAACTCCTCCTCTTCTTCTTCTTTGGTGACTTTTGGTCTCTTTTTGTGTTAGTATTGATGCTGCAATATACAAATTTTGCGCTGAGAACAAATCTGAAGGAAATGTTCTAGAAAGGGAAATTGTTACGTATGTGTGGGGAAATTTGACCAGGGAGGGAGGATCAACAAACAGCGATGCTGCTGCTGCTGCCATGTTCAAGAAGATCAGGCGCTGTGGCAAGGCCAGTACATGTCTTTTGAGTTATCCAGGTAAATCTTCATTATCCAAAGTAAGACAGCTTGAAATAGCTTCATAGAATTGTATAGTTGGAAGGGGTCCTGAGGGTCATTTGTTTAGGAATAATGTTCTTTTTAGTTTTCTTAGCTTTCTGGTTTTGGACCTAGTACAACCATGCCTGTTCCAGATGTTATGTTCTGTGCGCAGCAGATCCATGTTCCTCCTGAACTGCCAGATATTATGAAACAATTTACCAAGGCTGCTATCAGGACCCAACCGCGTGATGTACTTCAGTGGTCTTATGCGTGAGTAGAAAACTGAAACTAATGGCCCTGATACAGAAGTCTTCACATAACAATCACTATTGGATAGCATCTCTGTGGGAGTGGCCAACTGGCAACACAGGCAAAGCCCCCTTGCACAACTTCCAAAGCCAACTGGTTATCAGGAGCTTCTGAAGCTTTCTGCAAAGCAGGATTATACTTTGTCATTCTTGCTTGGTCCAGGAGCATAAGAATGTTTCCTGCAGAGAACTCTCACTCACCTGCACCCAGCGCTAATCAGGACTGACCTCCCCATGCATTGCCTGATGCAAGGGGAGGTCAGCCCAGCAGGTGTGCTAGAGAACTTTTGTGTACAGAAATCTGCTCAGTTTAGCAGGTTATGAGCCAATTTGGCAGGTTTGGCTCATGAATGTTACTGTCTCGCTTAGACAAAATGATAATAAAAACAGTGAGTTGAAAAAAGACAGTTCCTGAGGATGGAGAAATGGCAGTCCACTCAAAGTCCTAACCAAATTGGCATTCTTGAGCATTTTGGCCTAAACAACATTAATACATTGGTGTGCAATGGCAGCTGAACAACCTCTAAGAATGAGAAAATAAATGTTTCCCAATAGGTAGCAGAATTGTGGCAGAGAGAGATGCTTAGTTATTTTACCATTAGTAGTTTTCTACCTGCAAGGCCTCATCCCATGGGATTTTAAATCCATGTTTCCCTGCATTATGGGAGGAAAAGTCTCCCTACTCCCTTCCACCCTAACAGGAAGTGGCTTTTTCTCCTTGAAAGGGCCTATTGGGCCACCATTATACACATCTGACCTTTAAATTCATTTCCTGATTTTGAATATTTATTTATTTGACCTGAACCATATTTTTGCATTTGTGCTATCATAGGTATTTCTATGCTTTGTCAAAGGGAGAACCTCTTCCTGTGAAGGACCGTCTTGAAAGGCCAGTAGCCACACAGAAAAATGACACTGGTCTGACTCCAGGACTCCTTAAAATTTTGCATAAACAGGTAAAAGTCTTTGCAGAATGTGCCCTCAGTATTCCTATGAAACATCTTTAATTTTTTTTAAAAAAACAGCTCGCAACCTAGGGAGAATGCTGTATAGATTTTAAAATGATTTAAACATCTAATATTAATGTTCTTTTAGAAGTAACTTTTCGTGCTGTTTTCTTATGGTTTATTTATGATGTACATGTGTTTTTAAAGCTCTCTGAAAAGGAAACTGTGGAAATATCGGACCTTCAGAGAAAGTGGAAAAACTTGTGCTTGCCAATGGAACAGCTCCGCAACCTTCTTCGACTGGGCAATTTTGCAGAAGGAGTGGAATGGATGAAGTTCTTTGCCCTTGCATGTAGCGCTCTTGGTGGGGTATGTAGGCCTGTCAAACATAGTGTGTACCTGTTTGCAGTGTTTAGAATTTTGAAAGATCAAGATTCCTATATTTATGTTCTCTCTCTCTCTCTGGAGTTTGAGACATGGCTTAGCTCACAGTTTTTCAACTTTGTATTGGAAATCTACTTTTCAAAATTTGGAAACAGTTTCACATTCATCATTCATTACAGAGGTGACATGTTTCTTCCTTAACAGTATCATTTATTTGGTTCCTAATATTCACCAAGAGCAAATTATCTGAAATTTTCAGTTTGAGTAGAAATTAAGAGACCAGGTCATAGCAGAAATTAGGAGTAATGTGTACCTGAATTGCAGATTCATTTCATGGTGCCATTCAATTATGCCTGTTTAGTTGCACTGGATGTAATTATTTTTTTTAATGTTATACTGAGTTTCTTTTTGGTTTATAAACAGATTACCTATCACCTTTTAGGATTACACTAGTAAACTGAGGAGTGCTTCAGATTTTATGAATACATTAATCAGAAAACATGTATGTGAATGTAAAAGCATGTGAATCCTAGTAGATTGTTACAGCCTGCTGATGGCACATGCTTCTGTGCAGTTTTCCAGCACATCTCTGTGCAATTAGCCATGACTTCCTGGCAGATGCAATAAATTAGAAACATGCAGCATCATCACACATGATAATTTCTACACAATTTCCATACTTTTTGCTAATATATCATTGGTGTTTGATCTGGCTCTTGCAGTGGCTATGCACAGATCACTCTGTACTTTCATCACTTCACTTTATTGTAGCGCATGACTGCTAATGTATGCTTGCCTTTTATCTTTTTCAGTCCTTACTCAGTTCTATGAAACATGCCTGTGAAATTCTTACAAATGATCCAGAAGGTGGAGCAGCCCGCATTCCATATGACACTTTTGCATTTATCTATAGCTACTTGGCTAGCTTAGATGAGGAGATAACGGAGGAATCTACTGAGAAATTCCTCAAGGCTCTTAAAGAACAAGTGTAAGTATTAATTGGATGTCTGAATGTAATAGAATCCAGATTTGGCTTGGAACTGCATTTTAGTCAAGCAGGCTCTTTTTATTTGTTCTTCTGAAGCTATGGTTTTCACGAGCAGATTAACATATTTTTTCACCAGTTTTGAAGGAGAATTGCTCTTTGAAGTTTCCCCTGTAGCTGCTTCTTGCGGCTTCTTACAATGTAGTTTGTACAGTTGAGTTGAGAATTTGGTTACCGAAAGAAAAAATAAAACAGCAATAAAAAGTTTTAAAATATTAATAATATTTGCCTGTTTTAAATTGAGAATTAAATTAGAGTGGAAATATTAATCTGCACTGAGGCTTATGCTAACCATGGTTACCTTTAATCCTAGCTTGCAAACCAGTTTCAAATTCTGTTTAAAGTCAGCTACGGTTAGGCTTGCTGCAAACGTAATTCTACTCAATACTTTAGGCTGAAAAATGAAGGGATAAGGAGATTAATGTGGCAGTCGAGAGGAGAAAACGTGCCTTTGTCCTGATCTTTTAACCATGGTTACGAGATTGGGAAACTGGCTGCGGTCAGATCTAACAGTAAGCAGTGGTTCAGTGTAATGAAAATGTGCCTAGCCTCCCCCATGCTTGTGTATGTTCCCTGCACCCCATCCACTCCTCCAACATGGCGATAATTAGGACACTGGAAGCTTAGGTTCATAGAGAGCTGGGTCCTACTAGTCCATCGAGTATTGTCTATACTGCTTGGCTTTGGCTCTCAAACACTTCAGGCAGGGAGTCTTTCCCTACTTGGGTATGCCAGGAATTGAACCTGGAGCCTTCTAACGCAAAGCAGAAGCTTGAGTTGCTGTCCTTCCCCAGCCCTCCTGCTTCCCTTTTAGATTAACCATAGCGTAGCGTGTGGTCCAAACTCTTGTGTGGTTAATTTTAACTATGGTTAGTGAAAACAAGCCAGCTTCACAAACTATGGCTTGAAGTTGGCTCATTTCCCCTAGCTGTAGTTCAGATTATGCACACAGTTAATCTAAAATAGTGAAAGTTTCTAAACTCATGTCCGAGAAAATTGAGTCCATGTGTGAGCCCAGGGGCAGGCCGTTACATTTGCAATGGGTCAAGATGTTAGACTATTACATCTATGCAGTACTGTGGTAGCTAGCATATAATTATGGGGATGGCCATGCTTAGAGAAATATATTCAAACTACTTTTCACCTCCAAATACACACTTTCTTTTAGTAAAGGCTGGATATGATACGACCTTAACAGTTCACTACATTATAACCCACCTTATTAATAGGGTTATATTAATATATTAATTTGACTGTTATATTATAATGCTGGTATCCTAGCTTATGGTTGATGTACACGATTTAAACAAGAAGGTACATACATATAGAGATTTGAGGATCTAGCTTGTGGAATAGAAATATCCCTATACACATCTCTGAAAATATTACCGTGAGTTCCTCTTATTTTATGCAAATGTTTTCATGTTAGAATTGCATCCAAATGGGATGAGAGGAAGTACCACAGAATGAATGTAAACTGAAATTAAGTTTCTTTGGGCATTAATAATGAAAAGTAATACATTTTCTTGTAATTTTAGGTCACGCAAGGAAGATATGGTTGGAGTTGCAGATTTCCGTCCGCTAAAGAAACCTTAAATCAGGACTTAAGAGAATGTGGAATAACATAACATTATCTGACATAAAGTACAGATTTTTAAAGTTAATAATATGCTACCTGTAGTAGTGTCCTTTATGTTCATGAAATTGTGAAGGAGTCTCAAAGCGGCTAACATTCTCCTTTCCCTTACTCCCCCACAACAAACACTCTGTGAGGTGAGTGGGGTTGAGAGACTTCAGAGAAGTGTGACTGGCCCAAGGTCACCCAGCAGCTGCATGTGGAGGAGCGGGGAAGAGAATCCGGCTCACCAGATTACAAGTCTATTGCTCTTAACCACTACACTACACTGGCTGTCTTCTAAACGTCATGTTTATTCCTTTGATATCACCAGCTCAATATGTATTCAACTTTGAACTTGCACAAGGCTGTCTTGAGTCAGCTGATTCAGACCTTCACTCTCATAAAGAAATGGATTAATTGCTTTAGAGTGCAGGTGATTTAATTTAGGGGAAATAAGATGACATGTTTCCTGTTTTTGTAGGATCAGCAAGTTAGTAATTAATAATCTTGAAAAGATGCTGACTTAGTTTATGATCACGTCTGCAAAATACTTAAGCCTTGTTTTCTTCCCAAGTATTTCAACATGCTAGCTAGCCCCAATCCAGTATCGTTAGCATGATGCCCTTCATGTTCTATTGAAGCAGGTCTAGGTGGGAAGAGGAGAGTATTTGTTTTACAAAAGAGGGACATGTTTGTGTCTCCCACTCCTTATGAAAGAGGAAACGTGTAGTAAGATCATATGTGGCACCCCTGGAAACATCAGCATCCAAAGAGACATAAAAAGACATTCATAGAATGGTGGAGCAGGAGTAGCAGAGCCGATTCCCCCCCAAACTGCTATTATGTTAGTAAAAGAGGATGGGTGCTCTGTGAACGAGCCCCAAAGGGCCTCTGGCCTCATGTACTCTAGTCTCCCACCCTTCTTCCAGGGTCATTATGGGATTTGTGTGCAAGTGCAAGCCAGTTTGCTGGTTTTCTCAAATTGCAAACTCTAGTTTGCTACAGGTAGACGTCTGTGAATGTTGTCAATTTTGGTTTTTCATTTTTCAAATCTTAATCAGTTCTTCACATTTATGCTCAGCCCCTCCTGTGGTTGCCTATCCTGCTACCCTCTCCCTCTGCTGCCACAGGGCAATCCGACAGACTGCTTCATCAAATTTAAGAAACTACCATCTGTCTTGGAAGGAAGAAGTGGCTCTCAAATGTTCCTGCAAATATACTTGATTTAATACATGCAAGTTTGATGTTTTGAGTCCTGCAAGAATTTACATTCTTCCAAGCTACTCAGAACTCGCCTGAATGTAGTAGTAGTTGTTGTTTGGTAATAAGAACATTCTTAACTCTGCAGGGCTGCCGCCATCTTTTAATAATCCTGTATCTGTAAAATAATTTCCAGATGGGACTTCAGACCTTTCTGACCATCATCTAAAAACACAAAAACCAAAGAAGTTATGGGTGAAAAATAGCACTGGCTAAGATCAGCATAGGGCCACAGTTTATACTGCCATTACATCAGGGTAAGTGTTCACAGGTGGGACTTGTAGCACAATGCTACAACTTCTTAGCAATGGAACCAGGCCTGAAAGCAATTTCTTCTCACCATAGGTGACTAGATAACTGCATAATTGCAATGTCCACTGGCTGTAATTCAGCCCAGAGCAGCCAAGTCCCAATAACTGTAATGTGACTTAAAACATGCAAACATAGGCTTCCACCTTTTTGCTAGCTTTACACAGTCTTTAATCAAAGGGTGTCATCATGCACAAAGCAATATGTGGACTGGGGGAAAGGGTGGAGTAATTCAAGATAGGAGGGAGGGGATGATTATGCCTCAGCAAGAGTACCAAATCATTTCATATGTTTTGTGATTTTCAAATATCACACAGTACAGCTGTAACAATTTTCTCCAGACCTTAGTTGACTTTTGCTGCCAAATCTGCAAAGCGATCACTCATTGTCTTTCAGCTGGGATCTTGACCTCTGTTTCTTTGTTTCTGCAAGGATACATCATAAATTGCAATGTTTGTGTTAGGTTGCAGATGTAACATGGTTTTGTGGACATTCAAGTGGTAGGGAGGAATAAGCCCCTGAAGCATGCAAATGATCAAAACAAATGAGTGTTCTAAACCAGAGAGTCATGAAGAACATAAGATTTATTTAGACCAAGGCAATTTAGGCTACAATCCTAATTCCACTTACCTGGAGAGGAAGGCCCATTGATTTGATAGAACTTAGACATGGTTAAAATTTTGCTGTTAAACCATGCCCCAACCATGTTTTAAAACATCAAGAAACTAATTAATTTGGAGTTCAGCCAATTATCTATTTTGAAATTCATAATTATTTTTTTAACAAGTATGCTTACTAACCAATTCCTATGTCTCAGGGATGGGAAACGATCTGGCCAAGTTAGATCCTTATCCCCCCAACACCCCCACACCTTGGGGCATATAAAAGCCAGCCAGCCAGCCCCAGTCCCAAGTTGTGGGAGCAACGTTGGTGGTTCTCAGTCCCTGCCTGAACCCTGCCCAGCACCCAGCTTTGACTTTTACAAACTGCCTTCATATTGCTTCATCGACCACGGACTGGAGTTGGACCTTGCCTCTTGATTAACCCCTGGGACCAGCACACATTTCTTCATCTGTTTGTGATTATATCTATACAGTGGTACCTCCGGTTGCGGACAGGATCCGTTCCCGAGCTCTGGTCGGATCCCGAGGTTTCTGCAACTGGAGGGACTGTTTCTGCACATGCACGCATGGCGAAACCTGGAAAAATACGGGTTTGCCGCGTTCGCATCCTGAAGGATACGCAACTGGAGGTGTGCGTATCTAGAGGTACTACTGTATATCTCTAAATTTATTAACAGTAAAATATTTTGAATTTCTCCTAATATACACATTTCTATATGCAATTTTCCCATATGTAACTATGTTTGAATGCTATTTTTATGCATACATGCGCAGTTTACCTTAGTATATGCATTTTTGCACATATTACTTGGCCGGAAAAATACATTGCAAAATTTGGAGAAGTGAGAATTTCAAAGGATGATCGTGTTCCAATTAATGTATATTCACCTTTAATGCAAACTGAATCAAATTTTGCCCTGCTGAATCTCTAATGCCTAAGGAGGATGGGGAACTTGTAGCACTTTTGACGTTAGACTGCAATTCCCATCGTGCCTGACTGCTGGCCATGCTGACTGAGGCTGCTAAGAGTTGGAGGTCATTAGCATCTGAAGGACCATAGGTTTCCCCTCCTTGCTATAAAAAAGTGAAGGTGAATGGATGCCCCAATGATGATAAACCTCTTGGTAGGAAACCTGGATTTCCAAGTCACACAGCAAAGGAAATGGGCATTTTTTCTCAGGGGTCCCTGTACCAGCAGCAATGCTTAGTAGGTACAGCCTCACTTCTATTTGCTCTGGATGGATAATTTTGTGAAGTGATACCATTTTTTGCTCCTGGCGAAACAATGTCCTAGTTTAATCCATTCCTGAGTTTCATGCAATAACAGAGTGAAAACTAGTTCATATAATCTCAAAAGGTTTCAAATAAATTAATCAGCAGCCACCATAACTCAATCAAGGTAGTTACTATTTTTTTAGCAGGTAGCAAAGTCTTGAGATACCTGTGGCTTCCCCTGTAGACCCGCGAGACAGAATAAGCTAGACGTTCTGCTGGCAGGATGAGGTACTGCAGGTGACTCCAGAATATTTGCAACTTCCCATCACTACAATTTTCCAGCACAACCAGGATAACAAATTATCAGCTTGTCAAAAATGTAAGAAGCTATGGTGTTAGGTCAGTGGCATTTTCTGTGTGGCTACTGGGATTTGAAAAGGACCCTTTACAGGAAGAGTCTTTACAGAGTAGCCAAATAGCTAAGGTACACCAATGCAGGCTTGCCCACTCCCTGATTTCTTTAGACATTAAAAATCAAAAGCATACAAAGATATCCTGAAAAGTCAAATATTAATGTTTTCTTTCAGACTTCTGAAGCAGATAACATTATCTTCGCTAAGCAAGTGTGCATGCATAATTTTCATGCATAATTTTATGAAAAAAATGCATTTTGTTATATTGAATTCAAATAAAAAACAAAACAAGTGAGAGTCAGAAAGTGCATTTAAAAAAAAATAAACACTGCTATCTGATTTACATTTATTTAGTTTAAACTGCACTTAGCTACCAGCATTCATACACGCCCGTAGGGATAAAGAAGTGTTTGTCAAGGCCAGGGAATCCGGAGGTGAAAAAAGAAAGACAATGCTCAGAATACCTTACATAGCTTCCTAGTTTTCACTCTCAGTGTTAATGTTTAAAGGTAAAGGTACCCCTGCCCTTATGGGCCAGTCGTGTCCGACTCTAGGGTTGTGCGCCCATCTCACTTAAGAGGCCGGGGGCCAGCGCTGTCCGGAGACACTTCCGGGTCACGTGGCCAGCGTGACCAAGCTGCTCTGGCGAGCCAGCACCAGCGCAGCACACGGAAACACCGTTTACCTTCCCGCTATAAAGCGGTACCTATTTATCTACTTGCACTTAGGGGTGCTTTCGAACTGCTAGGTGGGCAGGAGCTGGGACCGAAAGACGGGAGCTCACCCCGCCGCGGGGATTCGAACCGCCGACCATACGATCGGCAAGTCCTAGGCACTGAGGTTTTACCCACAGCGCCACCCGCGTCCCTGTTAATGTTTAGGTGACTATTAAAAGCAGTCCTGCTGACACTTGAATGCTGCTATCCTATACATACTTACCTGGAAGTAAGTCTGATTGAACATAGTGTTACAAAGGTTGCATGCCATGTCCAATCTCTCCTGAGATTCGAGGCGTCTTACCCAGGGTCATGTTTCTGTAGGCAATCAAGATGTGGTGGAGACTGTCGTGGCTTTATGATACAGTTTATTTTTCACATATTTACACCAGAAGCTTTCAATGGAGGGAGTGCAGCATTTATAACATTCACATCTCAATAGGGGCTTGTTCACCCAGTAGTACAGTACTAGATACTCAAGGCTTCTCAAATGCCATCTTCGTGGCTTTGTCCCAGCCTGACAAGATGGATCTGATCTTCAGCTCCCGCATGGAGTTCTGCCTCCTTCCTCCTCCTTCCCAGAAAACCCTTTGCAAAACAACTCCTCCCCTTCTGTCTGCTCCCCCCCCCATTCTCACTATTCCAAGCCTACTTTTAAAAGGTGTCAATTTTTCCTGCAGCCTATATCATTGCTCAGCGTAACTTTGGCAACCTCTATTGGCAAAGACCCAATGATTTATCTGTGATGGACCATCCACACCTCATCCCAGGTGAGGCTCTGGCCTGGAAAGGAAGCTTAATCTGTATTTTGTCCCACTGGCCTGGGATCTTGACTGCGGTTTTCTTCTGGAGTGCCTTGCCAGGAAGGGGCTAGGGAGCACAATGTTGCAGTGGTTCTTGTGTCATCAGAATGCTAATGATATCCAACTCTGTCTTTCTTGTCAATTAGATTTTAGGGAGGCAATGGAGGTCCTGAACTGTTGTCTGTCAGTGATTGACTAGATGTGAACTAACAAGATAAAACGTAATCCAGATAAGACAGAAGTGCTTTAGGTCAGTAGGAAAGCTGATCTCGGATTAGGTGTACAATCTGTTCTGGACAGGGTTGCTCTCCTCTTGAAGGATCCAGTTCACATCTTGGGAATGGGCCTAGGTCTAGTCTTGTTAATGGATGATCCATTGACCACTGTAGCCAGGAGTATATTTGCTCAGCTTCTGCTAATGCACCAGCGGCCCACTTTTGCTGGAGATGTCAGATCTGGCTACTACTGGGCAAACTGGATTAGTACCACACAGTACCTTTGAAAGGTATTCATAAACTTCAAGTACTTTGAAATACTCCAATTAGAATGGCAATGAGGGCTAGTTTCTCAGAGTACAACATTTCAATATTATACTCCCAATATTGGCTTCTGGTCCATTTCTGGGCTTAATTCAAAATGATGGTCACAACCAGCACAAAGGAAGGATGGTAACTCAGTGGTAGAGCATCTGTGTTGCATACAGAAGGTCCCAAGCTCAATTTCCCAGCATCTCCAGGTGTCCTGAAGCACATTCCCAGCTGGGAGTGTCCTGTCTGAAACTTTGGAAAGTCATGGCCATTTAGTGTGGGCAATACAGAGCTACATGGGCCACTGTTCTGAGTCAGTGTAAGGCAGCTTCCTGTGTCCCTAACCTTTGAATCTCTAAATGGGACACGGTTGGTAGGTATATGGGGCAGGGTCTTCTTGGCTATAACATTAAGACTGGGGGCGGGGGGTGGGGAGTTAGTGAACCAGGTCTGGTTTTAATTGATAGAAAAGCAGTAACTAATTACAGAATGATCTAACTAGAAAGCAGGTAAAGATAATCCACTCTAGCTCCTAAATTACGGTAAGCAAGAACACGCTATGTTGAGTTAAAGTATACCCAACCAATATATTTATACTTGTCAGATTAATCTGTTAAGGATAATTAGCTCAATCATTTTGAATTCCTAATGTTTTTTTAGTCCCATCTATAAGTGAGAACAATCTGTTTGTTGTTTATACATATATGTGTGTGTGTGTGTGTGTGTGTGTGTGTATGTATATGTATGCATAGTGTTGACCCTTCTGCCGGAGAAGTAATTAAGTATTATACTTGTTTCAGGATTAATTCCTCATGAGGCTGTTTCTGTTCTTGGTTAATTTTATTACGGTAGCCAATATGAAACATATGAAGGACGTCTCGCTATTTCAACATAATGTTTTCAGTCTTGTAATTTCCCAAATGGGGATGTAGCAGATGTAGGTGAAGGCAGTTGGCGGATGGACAGACTCGACCACGTCTGGAAATGGTACACCCACACCTGACAGGGGATTTGTTTCCTCAAAGCAGTGATCTGCATAAGGACTCCTGCTGGCAGCCATCCAGGTGTAGATAAGGTTCCAAATGCTGAAGAGGCGGAGAACCTGCTGTAAAAATGACACAGTTCAGCAGGACGTTCTGCACAATTCCCAGTTAAATCAATAGGAACTCCATGAAAATATTGTACATTTTGTTGGCATCCGTCTGTCTTGAGACAATGGAGTGCACCTCCACGAGTGAAGTCAAACTGCTGCATTAGCAGCACCAAAAATGACCTCCCCAGGATGCAAGCCTGAGCAGTGTATATGGAGGTCATGGGCTGCCCAGACAATAAGACCCTCTTCCCAGAATACGTTTGGCGCCAGCTTGGCTGCAGGAGTTATCAGAAGGAGGCGTACAAGGCACCATCCAACCGGCATAGGAACTCCACTCTGGATTTGTGTAGGGTTTATTCCTTAGCCTTTTCTTCTCCTGAAGATATGCCGCAAGACAGTAGAGGTTTAGGATGAGTTTTCCTTCTCCTAGACGGGCTACCTTCCCAGGTGGGTGAGTCCCATCTGCGCCTCACTTCCCTCTACAGCCCATGCAGAAACCATCTTCTTGACCGTTGGACCCATTATTGGTCTCATATGCTCAAGCCACTGGAGCCTTTGTATGCAGGGGAAGTCCCTAACACACTGAGGGTTTGCGACCCATCAGCTGCAAAAATCAAAGGCTCACCTCGAAATCAGTGTATCTTACTTCCAGGTAACTATGTGATTTGGCTTTTATGTTATTGTTTAGATATTTTACTTGTCCTGTCTAGAAAATATGAAAACTACACAAAGTATACTCTATAAACAAAAAAAATATATTTCTGGTTTAGGGGTTTTTGTGACTGTGAATTGGCAGTACAGCAACAAAATCTGTTCCAGGAACAAAATGGGTTTCACAACCTCTGGAACTTCAGGGATTCCGTTCAGGTATGGTTGAGGTGTGCCTGGTTAGCTGCCTGTATCATGGATATAACAGAATGTGTGGGATACTGTACCCTAATTTAATTAATTCAATATTTGCAAAGCACATTTTACCTCTCCAATCATATTTTTAAAATAACATTTTAAAGACAAAACCATGTAAGTGTGCAGTTATCAAATCAGCTTTGATGCCCAGTAGTTTGCATTCTAACTTTGATGGAAATAAGGTTGGGTTTTTGAAAATTGCCTTTGCTACACCTGTTGTTGACAGTATCCCCTTGTCCCGCCATTAACTATTCAGGCCAATTTTACAAAGCAAAAACAGTTTGTAGAAGCAGCTGGATATTCATGAAATAAACATATTTTGCAGTAATTATTTTAATTAATGTTAAACTTTGTCTTACTACTGAGTCTTTTGGTGTTATCCGACACCCCTTGAAGTTCCGTGGTGGAGTGCATCCAAGACTGCCTCTCTAGGGCACAGTCTCACCATATTGTCTTGGAATGAGACAAAGGTTTTCTTATGCTCTAGGGTTTATTTTTAAAACACTCTCCTGCTTGCAGAAATAATGAACTCAGACAGCTCCATCTGCATTGGATATATTATCAGTAAAATTCTGTCTCATTATAAAATTGGGCAAGAGCATAACTGGTGCAACATCCCAGAGGCAGAGATTCTCAATAATTCACGCTGTCTCCATTCTAGGTCTGGGTCCTTGGCCGGCTAAGGGGGAAAGGAGAATATTTCCTTCAATAAATGTTCCATCTTCTTATGTTCTTACTGCTGGTCCTGCTTCTGCTCTTTCCATTGTTGTGGGCTTGGAGTACTTGGAGGACATATACCATACCATACCATACCATACCATACCATACCATACCTATAAAGGTCCTTGGGATGTTGATTACAATATAGAATCTATATTGAGTCTATACCTGAAGGAACATCTCCACCCCCATCGTCCAGCCCAGACACTGAGGTCCAGCTCTGAGGGCCTTCTGGAGGTTCCCTCACTGTGAGAAGTGAAGCTACAGAGACCTAGGCAGAGGGCCTTCTCGGTAGTGGCACCTGCCCTGTGGAATGCCCTCCCATCAGATGTCAAGGAAATAAACAACTATCTGACTTTTAGAAGACATCTGAAGGTAGCCCTGTTTAGGGACGTTTTTAATGTTTGATGTCACTTTTTTATTATTAATATTCTGTTAGGAGCTGCCCAGAGTGGCTGGGGAAACCCAGCCAGATGGGTGATGTATAAATAATAAATAATAATAATAATAATAATAATAATAATAATAATAGTTGTAGAGTTGGAAGAACAACAACAACCAAAACCAATCTATATGAAAGGGTCGCATTATTAACACTGCCCGGCACCTTACATTTTATATTACATTGGAAAGAGGGGGGCTTTCTCAGTTGCCACCTGCAATTCTGGTTCCTCTTCTCACTGCTCCACTTTGAAATATGGTTCATAGCCTTAAAGCCTTTTTTCTGTATTATTTCCTGCCTGTTTTGCATTTTCTGGATATTTTATACTATTTTTAGATGGTAGAGGGAGGATATGTTTATTGGGTAAGAGGGACTAGGCCTCGCAATTATGAGTGTAGTGGTCTGAAGGAGATGGCAGTAAAAGGTTAGGCTCTTCCAGGGGAGCAAAGGTTAAGAATGTAAGAGAATTTCCCTTTCCAATTCTTCTCCCAACCTATGGTGACTTCCCTCCTAGCCTACTGTTGAATGCCTGGTCACTAAATGGACCTTGGCCAACCAGGGCTTGATCTTGAATTAGGATGCTGATGGAGACACTTGGATCAAGTAGGAGCAGTTCACTTTGTGTGCCTGCTCACTTGCTGAGAACTTTGGAGGGGGCACTGTTCTGTATCCTACCATTAGGTTGGTGGGTATGTGAGACTAGACTTTCTCCATGGTGACTTTGGAACTGCATTCCTTAGGAAACACATTTGATTTATTCATTCTCTCCCTCGTGGCAGATGTTAAGCCTTTTATGAGAACTGAGCCTGTTGCTACTGACCTCTTGGCGTTGTGCATTTTCAGTCTTTTAAAAAACTGTGCTGGTAGCAGTATATTAAAATGCAACATACATTCATTTGCAATGATTTGTATTTTACTATGCAATCTGTGTTTTAATTTTTGTTAGGCGCTTCAGGGACCTTTGCCTAAAAAGTATAGAAATAAACTATGACATGACATAATATGTAAAAATGTGGGGGAAAGACAGTGACCATTCAGCTCTTTCACTCAGTTTCTCATTTTCCAAACATTTAACAGCTCTCATTTCCTATGAGACATAAATTATTTGAATTCTTGACTAGGCTCATTTATGGTTACATTTAGCACACCTGCTGATCATGGCAGTTGCTAATTATTATCACTATGTAATTTTTGTTGCTAAGTGGCTCATAGGTTTTTCCAAGACTTTCTCTACCTTTGGCCTTTCTGCCCACCAGTCAGAGTTATCACTTCTTTTTTTAAAAAAAGGAAAAACTGCTCCTGCTCCTATGGTTTTAACTACAAGCCCCTATACAAAAATTCACCAAACAACTGAGTTTTTTCAGGTATCCTTCTACTTATCTCCATTCCATACCTTTTAAAGCTTTACTTACATGTGAACATTTTAAGGAACGAAGCATTATCTAATCCCTGCGGCTTACATCGAAAGAGCTCCTAGTAGTGTGGGAGGAAGAGGTTTACCATTTCCTGCTGATTCTCCCCACCACCCTTCAGTTACAGCCTGTGTCATGCTGTTCAGGAGGGTATACCAACCCAGGGAACAGATTTCAGCAGGCGTAAAGAGTTGAAGCAGGAAAGGGAGCAGCAAAAGCTCTTTGCATGAGCAGAATTCCTCTTGCTGTTCTTTGGATAGTAGTGTGTGCTGGGCTGTTGTTAAAGTATGTGAGCGAAAAAATGCCAGTCCTCCTACCAGTTAAAATAATGCTGTTGGACTAATCCAGAAAAGGGTTTTCTAAAATGCCTGGATGTTTTTTTTTTCTGAAATCAACTGGCAATGCTTCATCTGCTAAGGCTTAGCCTAACTATGTTCATTGTTCTTGGAGTATTTGATTAAAGATACACCTGTGACTACAACCCTGAGAGTAAGCCCCAATGACTTAAATGGGACTCACTTGTAAGTAGACACATATAGGATTATTCTGTGTGTCAATGAAGTTTCACCCAAATCCTCTTCATATATATTTTATACTAGCAAGCTCTTACCTATAGTTGCTTGGGCACTCTAAGAAACCACAAAATCAGTGAAGTTTTGAAATAAGTGGTTAAAATCAATTCAGATTTGGAAGATTCACTTCGCCATCTTAATTCAAGATGAAAGCACAGAGGCTCTCTTAAAGCGGCAAAGCAACCTTTGAACCAGCTTCTCTCTTCCTTTAAAGGCGGAGGGAGCTTGGTGGAAATGGTGCTTAAAGGCAGTCTTTGTGCTGTGCTTCCATTGGAAGCATGGAGACTGACTTACAGTGGCAAAGCATCCTTTGAAGCAACTTCTTTCCTTGCCTCCACCCCAAGGGAACAGCACCTTGCTCTGCTTCTCCTTTAAGCAGGTAGAAAGTAGCATTGGCGCCACCCCATTACCTGCTGAAAGGAGAAGACAAATGACTTTAATCTCTGCTCATCAGCTGAAAAGCGGAGATTAGATCCTGCTGCCTGGCAGCATGATCCTGTTCCCTGCTGGGAGCACTGCCAACTCATGATTAAACCCTGTCTTCCTGCCCATCAGCTGACAGCAGTGACACCAGCTGGTGGGTGGGTAGGTGTGGGGCTTTTTGGGGGGGGGTGGAATAGCCTGGAGGACCAAAGTGGAACCCCTGGTTGGTCAAGTTGGCCCGTGGGCCAAAGATTCCCCACCCCTGCAGTTAGAACTTATATGATCCCATTTTAAAATAGCCACATTAGTTACCTGTTTGTTTCTAGGACCTATTTGAGGTGCACACATTAGTGTCTAAAAGTCCTGAATGACAGGTTCCAAACATGTGAAAGACTGTCTCCATCTTGACCAATACTCTTGGGTGTTAAGATGTGCACAGGGGGTTCTATTGGTAGTTCTGAGACACCCTCAGAAGTGTGGGGCATGGCAGTCCAGAAGAGGGCTTTATCTGTGGAACTCCCTCTCCACAGAGGTGCTTCACTGTACAGCTTTCACTATATGCTGAGGACACACTTCTCTACCCTGGCCTTTGACATCCAAGGTATATTGTTTTGTGGGACCCCCATCTTTTGCTGAATGAACAGCATCTGAAAGTGATCACTATGTAATAATCCACAAACAGTGCAAATCTCTCTGTTGCAGTTTGTGTAAGAAGTGGGTGATTGTTGTGAACAGCTGCGCTGTGCCACAGTACAATACCCAAGGCCCAGAGCTCAAACAACACTCCCACAACAATATTTAATATCAATGCTGTTGTAACCTTATTGAACCCAAGGGAACATACTGTTTTATATATACAATAAAAAAATTAGATTGTTACTCTGAAAGCACAGTTCACTTCTTTTAAGTAATGTTCAGTGCATGGTATAAAATATATGCTTTATAAATTATAAATAGCAAATATAAACAAAGGAAGAAAGAAGTAGGCATTTTGCAGGCACGTTATACCTTTTAAGACTATTAGCAACAGCTAAAATAAACTGCTTGCTGTTCATGAAATTTCTGCTGGATCCTGCTTCTTGCCTGCCAATTATATTAATGTCAAAACATCCAAGCATTCTTATAAAATACAGTCTTTTAAATGTTTGATCATCAAAAAATGTTTGCAGAGCTTGTTATTAAATGGGATCTTTGATGATAGGAATATTATTTGTCTGTAAGAGATCATGTAGGCATGAGTAATATTGGGTTCATTTAACTATTACAATATATTAGCGTCTTCCTTGACAGCATTTACAGAGTTCCAAGCACCCTCCCATTTAATTACCAGTCAAGGCCAGTTCTATTTAGGTGGAGAGAGAGAACCAGAAGAGCAGCTTTCAGACTAATAACAGCAGATCAGCATTTTGCCACAGTTATATTCACCTCTGCTTGCTCATTTCAGAAGCTCCAGAAACCATGGAACACTATTATGCTATACTTTCTATAGAAACAGGAGATGGAAAGTCCTGGTTAAAGTCTGACAAGCCATACTGAAGAGATGTTATTATCTTTGCTATTTCACAGAGGATGGAATGAATCCAGAACTAAGTGAATGGCAGAAGTAGTAACTTACATCTGTTCTGTGCACCCCAACATATTAGCTACCTTACAAGGGAAACAACTATTATATAATTTCCATGGTCCTCCCTGACTGCTCACCCTAAAGCTTTTACTACTGGCATAAATAGATATGTCTAGTTACAAATGTTGACTTTCAAAAGTACTGTTGTATTTGTGTTTTTTAATTACCGGATGCACACCTTAATTAATAGTACAGAAGGGAGTGAGGCCATCTGGGCAATGGGTTGTGTCAGAGATGAAGTGGAATTTCATAATGCCAGTGGATACGGTAATTTAAGAGGTGTAGTAATTAGTTGCACACGGAGTTCCCTGAACAGGCAATTGATACATCTAAAGTCTAAGAGGGCAGAACTGAGGCTAAGGATCCCCTACTGGTGGAGCCATTGCACAAAGCACATTGCTCTTTGCATTCTTCCAAGTTTTATTGAAAATCAATACATATTGCGAATCCCATCCATTTTAATGAAATCTGTATGGGAGAAGTTCCTAGTGAATTGTGCCCATATCATTAAGGATAATGAAAAAAACTATCTAAGCTTCACTGAATGCAGGAGTAATTAGACTTCCAAATTTATTTAATGATGCTTGGCATCACACTGCAAGAAGAACATGTGCATCTTGGAACATGGAAATCCCTTCAGTGAAAGAACTGATGCTGCCTGAGGCTTTGCTGTTCCTTCATCATCTATACTTCAAACTTAGGAGTCCAGATAAAACACCATGAGAATCATAAAACATAACAAATATATTTCTTTAGAATGTAAACAGGCTTCCAAAATACTCACCTGCTAACTGCTTTTTTTTGGCACACCCTGACTATAATGCTAAAACAAATTTCCACTGATGGCAGATCTTAATATAAACTAGTTAATCTCAACACATAAACCTGAAGCATATGAATCACAATAAAGGCAGCACCTCTGAGCACATGCAGAGTGATTTTCATCTCTGAGTAATCACAGCCGCATGACACATATCTGGGATTAGTGAATGATTTTCAAGTTAAATGTTTTGAATTCTATGTCAAGATTCAGCTCAAGCACACCCCACACTACAAATTAAGCATATCTAAAAGACTACTTAGATCTAGCGGTGGCACCAGGGAGAAAACACTTTTCTTCTCCTGCCACAATCTGCCAACACCACTATCAAATGCTCATATCTAGATCAACCAATGTGTATGGTCCTAAAGAAAAATGGAAAGCACAACATGGGAAGTTCTCTTTTACCAGGTCTCACTCCATGTCACAAAAAGCAGGACGTAGGGTATGCTTTCAAAATAACTTTTGAGACTGCCTATATTGTTTCAAGAAACACTGTTACGATGAAAACAGTAATTAAAGCAAACAGGGTATCTGGATACAACATTTCACTGTCAAGTGAGGAGAAACTGGCAAGTGTTTACTGTTTAAGGCAACACACATTTTTGTTGCTTTTCTTTTAGATTATTTCCCCTCTTCCTTGGCTTTTCCTTGCTGTATTTTTTGCTATACTGTATTTACCGTATTTTACCTTTTTTTCTTCACCAATTTATCCCTTGCTCCCCCTCCAATGAAGTTCCCTTGATAGCTTTGTTAGAGCACACATAAATGACAGATTCAAACTATTTTAAAATTGGTTTACTGTTACAGCTTCTTCCAAAGAACCATGGGAACTGTGGTTGAGTCCAACACTGGTACTCCTTTGATACAGAACAATCCTGTGGTGTTTACTTAGTTTCCGTTGTGTTTAATGGGGTTAGGGATAGCCAAGATGATGCTTTTCCATGTTTTGGAACTACAACTCCCATCATCCCTGACCAATGACCATGTTGGCAGGGGCTGATGGGAGCTGTAATCCAACAGCAGTATAGAGCACACCACGTTGCTTACACCTTGTTTCCAGGCAAGGCAAGCTTGAGGATAATAAGTATAAACTGACCATGTCACAAAAGTCCTAATCTCACCAATAAATGATGGGTCATATTTGTCAGTAGCTCTGGCAAGTTGCTTGCAGGGAAGGAATTGTTACTTGCCCTGAACAAGTTGTGCAAATAATTATTTGCAAGGATGATCTAAACTTACCCTGGAAATCCATTTATGTATATGTCTTCCTTACAGCGTTTTAATATGGTCATGAAAATACTAAAATTCTTGAATTTTAAATACCTGCTTACTTTCCCTTCACTCACAAGCAGCAGCAGCAGGGAAAACAAGAAGGATTGAATCTATGTCAATTTGCAGGAAAACTTGCAAGAAAAAAAAGGTCCACTGGCAACAGACAAGCATCCAATAGAGAGTTCTAAATATAGATCACTCAAAGACAAGATGAATGGAACAGATCACAGGCATTTAAAACTATAATCCTATTAAATAGCTATGCTTGAAACTGCTACCTTGCAACCCTACAAAGGTCTTTACTCTGACGTATTTATTACACTGCTCCCTTTGAGAAAGCCCCCCCCTACTTCTGTGATTGTTGTTGTTCTTGGTATTACTTTTAAAAATGCCACAGAACCACTGCCTCCTTGGCGTAAACTCAATTGACTATTGTCTCTGTATTGACTAGCTCCTGCGACTATTTCAAGGGATTTACTACATTCAAATAGGCGATTCCAAGAAAGCAGGTTCCGTGTGATTACTTTTCAAACGCATCTTTCACTCTATACCACTAAAACATGTATAAAATGTACTTGTGTCTCTTCATACAATGGATTTGTACTTTTCCCGCAGCGATGTTAACTCAAAGCTCCGTCCCGCAAAAGTTACGGGTTCCCGAATAGCTGTATTCAGCAACTGTAACAACTCCAATTATGTTTTAATTTACTATTCCCCACCCCGATTTTTCACACCCGCCGCCCAGAAAGTATGGGGACATCTGACGACGAGCCTGAGGAAACTTGGAGGTGGGGTCGTGTAAAACATTAGCGAAGCCATACATGTCTGCAAAACTACTGAACTAAGAAAAGGAGAAGAAGCCCGGCAGGAGATAAAGTTGAAGGTACTCAGGGAATTCAAATTACTCACCTGTCAATAGCAATTTTCTTCGCTGGTGCATAAAACCCCAACATGGACAGCTGCATGTAAATCGCTTTGCAAATGTGTCCCTGATGTCAACATGCTAAGCTGGAGCCTCAATCTTCTGGTGATCGGATTAAGAGTCACTGCCAGGAGTTTTCTAAACGTGTCGGTCGCTCTGTCTCTTCCCGCAGTCTTCCCCGGACCATATTTGGAACAAGATCTATCGCCGGAAATATTGCTTATTGTTGTGGTTTTTCTCCAGCACCGCCCCCCTCCCTCGTTTTCGCCACAAGGGCTTACGAAAGAGTGGCTGGCCTTCTGAAAAGCAGCCGGCGGCGCGGAGAAATTTTGCTTTAGCTCATCCGACCGTTACAATAAAATTTCAGGAAATCGGATGGTCCCCGAGGGGAGGCTCTCGGTTCAGCCGCCCCCAGTTTTGCCGCGTGTGCGAACAAACTTCGGTTTCGCTTTCTGGCGGGGAAAAAGCACCCTCCTGGTTGCAAAAGTCACCCTTTTGGTAAAAGCGAGGAGCTTTGGAAACCTTTTCGGAGTATTGTGCTCGGTTGAAACAGGATAGCGTGAGAAGTGCTGCTTTTGGTTTTTTGCTGGAGATCAGCGAGCGCCTTGCCCAGAAAAGCAAGAGGAAAAGAAAGTTTGTTGCATTCTCGTTCGCCTCGGCGTTTTGCAGCCCCGCTTGGAAAGGAACGAGCCTGGGTTTTCCCGCTTTGCAATAGCGTCAGGAGCGACCGCTCGTGTTTCCCCAAAACTTTCCACCGCCGTGTCACCCACGCGCATCAGGAAGCTGCGGCGGGAAAGGAGGTGGGGTGAGACGCTGCTCAGTCCCCCTTGGGGAGAAATGCCTTGTCATCCCAACGGCTAGGATAGCCTGGAGTCGCCAATGCCTGGTTTTTCTTTTTAACCTGACAAAAATGCGGGAAGAAAGCCCCAACTCTTTGCGCTTGGCTCAATAGAAGTCGAGGTAGGGCAAAAGGATGAGTGCAGTAGTCTTTTTTTGCATCTGAAGCGCGAGCAGGGTCTCTTGAGATAACGGCATAGATTATGGGGCGGGGGAGCGTGATCCTCAGTGGATCCCTTCTTGAGCTTGTCGCTCTGGTGCGAGTTAAGTAGATTTGGGACCGAGAGACCTACTTTCTCGTGTGCACCTGAAGAGGGGCTGTGTTGCATGTCAGGGCATCGCAGGCCCCTTTCTTTTCAAAAAATACTAGCACTGGGTTTTGTGTTTTAGTAAAAAAAAAAAAGTGGGGTCCGGAGAGTGTCCTGTACAGAGGGAGCTCCACGGAGTGTGAGGATGTTGTCCTTGGGGCCAAGGTTTTTTCTCTAGAGAGCTCAGCATTTGTGGCTTGTTCTCAGTATGCTCTTGCTCTCACTGTGAAAAGATACCTACCCATATTCTGCAAAGAATCATAAAAAGATTTGGATACTAGAGAGCTCAGCTTTGCCCCACGGTGCGCACACACGCATCCCCTTTATTTTGGAAAAGGCAGGTGGCATTTCCCTCTCAAGACAGGGGTGCCTGTTGCAGCTCTTTATGTCGCAGGTCCCCAGCCCCTCTTCTTCCCTCCCTGGTCATCCCGCCGGGCCTTGCACGTCTGAACACGGATACATGCGTGCAGGAGACCTGGCGGCGCCTCAGGGGCGACCTTTTGCTCCCGAAGGTAAAAGCTCCCGAGAGAAATAAAGTCCAAACACCTCCCTCCGTGAAGGGAGGCGACGATGGTGCTCCTGTCCGGAGACGGCAAAGCGGCCGGGGAGGGCCGGAGTCCCGCCGCGGCAAAGCACCTGCCCGTACCGCCCTCGGAGCCTGCCGGGCCGGGAGCCGCGGCGCCTGAGGGGAGCGTTGTCGTCGGCTCCAGCCCAGCTGCCGGGGCGGAGAGGTCGCGAAGGGGCAGCGAAGGCGATGGCGGCGGCGGCGGCGCTGAGGGAGGAAGCGACGAGGACGACGCTGGCGGCGACTACGAGGAGTACGAGGACTTCTCGGACCTCCCGGACACGCGTAGCATCGCTTCGGACGACTCCTTCTACCCGCCGCGGGCGGACGGCGACAGCGACGACGGCGACGACTGGTCTCTGGGAGAGTCGGGCTCGTCGACGGGAAGCCCCGAGGCGCTCTCCCTCTTCCGAGCTTGCTGCACCAACAACGCCGTGGCCTTGAGAGCGATCATCCGGCAGGGGCCCGAGGAGAAGGAGGCCAAGGAGACCGACCGCAACAAGAGGGTGAGTGAGCACCGGGGTGCAGGGGTTGGGGGAAGCGCCTCACGCGACGCGCGCCAGGAGCGCGAGGAAAAAGGCGGGAAAGTAGGCCTTAAAGCGCTTCCTCAGCTCTCGCGTCAGTTCACCTCAGGCAGCCCACTTGTCCCTGTGTCCTCTGCTGCTTCTTCTTCTATTATCATTATTATTATTATTATTATTATTATTATTATTACTCCTCCTGCTCCATTTCTGAGCTTAGGCCACACCAATGCTCCAGGCGTTGTGTATGCCCGCAGCCTGTTTGTGGGGGGGGGGGGGAAGGAACCATCGCCTGCTGCCCTTACTCGCATTCACTCCGGTGTAAATCAAGCCCTGCTTCTGGGCAGGCCCAGACAGGGGGAGGGGGCATATGGGCCACTTGACCCGAGCCTCCTATTCCAAAAGGGGCCTCGGTCAGCATATTCACAATTATTTATATACTTACTTATTTATAAGACTTCAGTTATCCCCAGGGTAAAAAAAAAAGGGGGGGCACATTACAGTGGTACCTCGGGTTACATACGCTTCAGGTTACACACTCCGCTAACCCAGAAATAGTGCTTCAGGTTAAGAACTTTGCTTCAGGATGAGAACAGAAATTGTGCTCCAGCAGCGGGGCGGCAGCAGGAGGCCCCATTAGCTAAAGTGGTGCTTCAGGTTAAGAGCAGTTTCAGGTTAAGAACGGATCTCTGGAACGAATTAAGTACTGTATCTACCTGGCCGGGGCCTCTGCCTGGCTCTGCAAGGCCCTGCTTCTGAGCCCCTATCTTGTAGCCAACCCATGGTTCAAAATCAAACTGTAGTTTAGGCAGGCCTGCCTTTGGCCTTTTATATTGTGCCCCAGTCACAGAGGTGCAGATCACAAGTAAAAGCCGCAACTGGCAAGGCCTAGCCTTCCTTTGTCCTCTTAGTGTAGCGCCTGGCATGAGACATACAAACATTTACAAATATATTTTTTAAGCTCATTTTAAAATGCAGGCCTTGATCAGATGCCTCATTAGCAGCCTGAGTCCCAAGTCCCAAGGCTCTCTCCCAAGGACAGCGCATTTCTTTCAGCTGCCTCGTCTCCTCGGTGGCTATTTCCTTTCCCTCCCTCAACATAGCTTACTCAAGTGTGAGCAAGGTCAATATTTTGCTGTAAACCGCTCTGATGTTTTTTCTCCCCTTAAAAAATACAAAGCAGTATGGAAAGGAAGTGAAGAAAAACATTTTTTTTCACCGTCCTGTTTCTCTTTTCTCCCAGTTTACTCATTCTCTGCACCCGTTTTTCAACCTTTAGTCTCTCTGTCCCTTATATTCTCTGAACACTAGGACCTCTTCCCAATCCTTAGCTCCTCTATGAGGCTGTAATCCCAGACAAATGGACAGCTTTCCCTTACTTGCAAAGCTACTGTAGACTATTTATTTCCCTGAGCAAGTTCTGTCTATGCCATTCCACCAGCTCAGCCAGTCCCTTTCAGAAGTTTTACCACCACACGGGCAATACAGTATAGATGGGGTAAGTAGAAAACACCATGAGGTGATCTTTTTAAAAATCTTAAACAGTTTCACAGATTCAGTATACATTGCTTTACTTTTTACATGTTATGATTATCATGAAAAGGCTTTTGCGGACAGCTTCCACTGAGGCTGTAATAATGTCTAGTATCAGTCCCTGATTTGTACATCCTCACCCCAAAGGCCATCAATAAAGGGTGTTACACCTACATCATATTTTGCCAAATTTTGTCAAACAACTTGCACTTTTTTCTTGTAACTTTATTTACCCACTTCCCTGCCTTTGATGTTTGACATTCTGTGTGGACAGCTCCTGGTGCTGGGGCTTGAAATGCAGTGGGATACCAGGATCTGCAGGATCTGATTTCTTTCCGCAGGACCTGTAAGACAGAGTTGTTCCGCCTGGCCTTTGGCTTGGAATCAACTTGATCCCCTCCCCCCTTTCCTTTTTCCTTTCTCTTTTCTCTTTCTGTGATGGAACTCCTATTTGGGGACTTCCCTGGCTTTTTTCTGGCCCACGTAGGACCAGTCTGGATAGTTGGCCTTGGTGAAGACTTGACATTTTCATCCCCCAAAAAGTTTTTGATTTGAGTTCCTACTGAAATGAGGCTGCATTTTTAATGTTTTAATGTCGTATTTGAATCTTGTTTTTAAGTTGTATTTCAATCAATTATTTTTATACCTGGTGTCAGGCACCCTGAGCCCGGTCTTGGCTGGGGAGCCACTTTTAGACAGACGTATCATCATCTCAGTTCTTTTCAGGTGGAAAATAGTTGGGCCTAATCTCCCACTTCCTTTTTACCCTACTATGACACGTCCCACTTCCTTCAAAACTATCTCACTTTTTTCTCCAGCTTTGAAACAACTTTCAAAAACATCCCATATCCTATTTTCTTTTGCTTTGAAAATATCCCTCTTTCTTCAGAAACGTTGTTCTTCTCTTTCTTTTTCCCACTTTGGGCACTGCATGTGTTTCTATGCAGATACTATTTTCCATTGCTGGTGATGCTGTTCGGATGATGAAGTAGCAAGTAAACAGAAGTAAAAGGGATAATTTCCAGTAATCTCCACATGTTAAACATAATATGTAGATTGGCCCTTACAATCTAGGAGATGCTTTAATAATTGAAACAACTGATATTTATCACATAAATGGATTCCCTGTTTTGATAAAGTTTGGCCTGAATACACCTGCTGTTTTACACTAATAGCTAGCTAAGAAGTGCAGTTTGACTTGCTAGTGGTGATCATGCTTCTAAGATAATGTATGAAGTGAATACCTTGATTCTCTAGCCTTTTGTGGTCAATCTTATGTGCCATCAGTAATGAAATGTTTCTCAAATATTTTCCACATAAAATTGATAAGGTACCATTATCCTCTAATCTGTAGTGGCTTTAGTACACAAAAAAATTATTAGGCAAACTGGGCCACAGTAGATTAAGATACCATCCTTCACACCTAGTTGAACAGGTAAAGGTGTATGTATGTGTGCACGTTCAACAGAGATTTCACACCTTTTAGACTAGTCTTTAATCCTCTACCCCGGATGGTGAGTATATTATAGAGGGATGTGTTCATGGATATATAATACATGTTATAGTATACCTGTCTATTCGTTTCCTATACACTCATCAAGGATTATGTTGACAAAGGGAGATAATGCAACTACAAAAGTCCCCAGCCACCCCCAGTCCTTATAATCATTTATTACAAGACTTCCCACACCACCATTACTGCCAAGGAAATTTTTGTTCTACTGTATTGATATCTGTACCACATGTCGTCAGATACTCACTCCATCTCCACTCGCAGCCTATGCATTAAAATAACTTTAGGTGTTGTGCTCTATTCATGCAGAAGTCCTATCAGAGACTCCTGACAGCACTTTCTATGTGTTCCTATAATATGTATTCTTGTAGTAGCAGCCAGTGGAGCTGCACTGCTCTCCTGCCTTGCCAATCCCACATATCTATGCCTCATATCAAGAGGGGAAGAGGCAAGGCAGTGGTTTGATGGGGTCCGGGGCCAGGAGCAGATCTAATCCAATATTCCTGTGCTGCACTTGCGCCAAGCTCCTGCTACCTTGCTCCTCTGTCTCTTGGTAGGTGATAGCAACACACATCATTGGAAAAATAGGACTGCAGGCTTTGTTACAGTTATGAGTACAAACTTTAATATATGAACTATTGCAGGACTTCTCAAACTTTTTGTCCCCAGAGCCCAGCTGAGATAGCTAAAAATTACTGAGGCCCACCAGTCACAAAAGGATGGTGCAGGGACAGTCAGTCCCAAGATGAGGCAGTGTGACATACTCAGCTTGCATTTAAAGACATAATTTTCTACTGATATCTAATTCGTCTTTAGAAATTGCTAAATTCTTTGCTACAGCATTTTCCTGGTGTCAAGGAGTACCATAGCTCAGGCTTCCACAACTTAAACTCAGACATTTGCTGTGGAGGTATTGTAACTCAGCCTTCCCATTCCTGGCAGAATTTACTGATCTAGAAGCTCTAAGGAGAAAATATTTTCTTTTATATTTTTCCCTTCCTGCACTCATATGTCCCCCAACCATTTTTACCCATCTCCAATAATATATTCTCCCATTCTCCTTTCACACTCAGGTTGTACTTTATTCCATTCTCCCCACAACCAGCCAGTTTCTTTCTGCCTTCCTCCCTGATGCTTTAAATTCACATCTTCCTTCTATAACAGCTTTTCTTTCTTATCCTCCTTTTCCATTCTCTCTTTGATAAATATGATTATATTAACCTTTTATCTCATTTTTTCACCTCCTCTGGCCCTTTCCTCTCAGAAGAAGGAGACCCTGAACAAATCTGTTTCTTGGCCACCTTTACTCTGGTCAAGGAGTCACTAGTGCTGGCACTGGTCCAGCCAAAAGACTGGCAAGACTAGGGAGTGGGGAAGGCTGGCAAGGAGGCCATGGGCAGGCTGTGATAAAGAGGCCCACCTCAAAGTCACCCAAGGCCCTTTTGAGAGACACAGAACTATGACATATGTATATCATGAACATGGACGTATTATTGTTTTGTTTCAAATGCTGTAAACTACTCTGTTTTGGAAAAGGCAGTATAAAAATCTTGAACATATACAAGTACCTAAATATTATGGGTACAGTCCAGCCAGAGATTTCTGTGCCATTGATTTTATTGGGAGAATCAACTGTGTGCTTAACTGTCTTATCATTGAAATTAGTTGTACCCAAAATTGCTTACACTAGAATGGGATGTGTCATATATGTGCATTCATGCATTTTGTGGGTACAGATGCTAGTTCATGCATAGAGGTAAGCATATACTTACGTGTATATTCTATTGCTAATCTAAAATAACAATGTCAGAAGGCTATTAAGATGACTGGGTAAATTTAATAATTCATAAATAATTTAAATTAAAAAACTCTAATATTGCATCAACATTTTTAATACAAGAGAAAATTAGTGCTGAAATATAGTTTTGCTTTTATACTCAGTACTTGTTTATAGTTTTTCCCTGATACTGGGGTCATTCATTTGAGCCTTTAATTTTTCCCATAGTAAAGGTAAAGGTACCCCTGCCCGTACGGGCCAGTCTTGACAGACTCTAGGGTTGTGCGCTCATCTCACTCTAGAGGCTGGGAGCCAGCGCTGTCCGCAGACACTTCCGGGTCATGTGGCCAGCGTGACAAGCTGCATCTGGTGAGCCAGCGCAGCACACGGAACGCCGTTTACCTTCCCGCTGGTAAGCGGTCCCTATTTATCTACTTGCACCCGGAGGTGCTTTCGAACTGCTAGGTTGGCAGGCGCTGGGACCGAACGACGGGAGCGCACCCCGCCACGGGGATTCGAACCGCCGACCATGCTATCGGCAAGTCCTAGGCGCTGAGGTTTTACCCACAGCGCCACCCGCGTCCCATTTTTCCCATAGTAAATGGGAATAATTCACTTTTTGAAGGGTGATGCTGTATGTTCTGTATTAAAACACACAGAGTTGCTGCTAGGCTTTTTTTTTTAAACATGAATGCTGAATTGTGAAGTTGCTTCAGCAGCCGGGTGCTAAACATAAGCCTATGAAGCAATACACTAGAGAGGAGCACAGAAATATCAGAATCTCATAGGTATACATTATTTTGCTCACTAAGCAAGCAAACAAGAACCTATTGCAACCCATTATAAGCACACATCAAACAACAAACTTGTCATAGAAATGAGAGTTCATTCCAGCTATTGAACAAAACTATTGATGAAACAGGGTAGGATTTTCAAAAGGAATTAAATCTTTTGGAGAGCTTCAAAAATAAAGACCCTGGAATAAACAGAGAAAAGCTGTGTTGCATGCAATACTGATCTCTTTTTTTTGTATGTTCCATCTGTACTGTTTAAGGTACTCCACATTGAATTATATAATCAAGACTATGTCTCATCTGCAATTCTATACTTGGGGAAATTGTCCTCGGCTACTAAAACATGATCTAAAATAAGTAGGATTTAATTGCTGGTAAATTGATTATAGCACTCATACTAAAAAATATATTCTGAATAGAGTGTAAATAGAGACTGTATTCTTAAGGATTTAGTTAAACTGACCAACATGCCCATTTTGGGATTTATTTTTTTTAAATTCATGTGGGCAAAGTCCAATAATATTGAAGAAGTATTCAGTATTGTAGTAGACCAAGGATTGATGTGCCTCGTAAAAATACACCCTAGAGGGCTAATTCACACAGTGATGTACATTACATAGCCTACTGTTATACTTACCCTACTTCTCTGAGCAGTGAGAGAGGTTTCTTGGGTGTGGCAGTTATGTAGGCTTGGTTTCCTTTGTATAGTAGTCATTTGAGTCTTTTGGCCTTTAATGATATTTGAATTTATTTGCAAAAATATAAATTGAACACAGTTGGAGACAAATAGCTGAAACATTACAGCACCAAAATCTGTTGCCCTATATCAGATCTCCAGAGAGTCAGCCAATACCCCAAAATGTTTATGTAGCTGACAAAAACCCAAGGCAGTACTCCCTCCCTTTCTCTGTCACTCTACAATTCAAAAATAGCAAATTAAGTAGGTAGGGAAAATATGCCTTTCTATCCCACTTAGAAATTTTTGGGAAGCAACCAGCTAGCAATTTCCCTAGCAAAATATGTACCTGAAAACATGTCACCAAATACTGGGAATTTCTAGCATCTTCAAAGCATCTTATCTAGACCTTAGATTTTACAACCCCATCATCTAGTATGCCCAATACTAGTGGTGATTAAACTCCCCTTGGCTTGATTTCTCTCATTGGGTTCAGCAAAGCAAACTATTACTCCCAAAATGGAAATTAGCTTGTTCTTCCCTGAGCCCAATTCTGAAACTCAGATCCCATCATGCTTCTATGATGCAATCAGTGAGAGCCTCACTTTATTAAACCCTAGGTATCCTGAGAAATCCTGCCCTGCCACATCTTAACTTCCCACTAGCCCAATTATGGTGAAGAAGCCATTCTGTGGAGCCTCCCTCCTTTCCTTGGACCTTGAACTCTGCAGAAAGTGTGTATCAGGTAATTTCCAGGGAACTCCATTGTCCATGTTACAGAAACACCCTTTAAATCTATGTTTACTGGTATACCTGGCACCTGACTGCTGTTGCAGTTACATAGGCACCAGATAAGATGATAGGTCCACAGTGATACCTCCTTGCTGTTGCTGAGAAGAGAAGTAATGCTGGAACAGAGTTCAGGGGCTCACAGGGGATTGGGGGATTAATGGGGTATTAAAGTCCCTACCAAGCTCTGTTGGTCCAAATTTTGGAATTGGGCTTGTGGAAAAAACAAGCTATTCTCCAGTTTGGGGGAGAATATCTGAATTTGCCAGGCCAAGTTCTGAACTGCATGAAGATTTATATGCAAAGGTTTAGATGATTAAACAAACAACTTTGCTTAGAAAAAGAATGCATTTACACAAGGATATTCATCTCCCAATAAGTGCAAATTTAAATGAATGAAATCTGAAATAGCTCTCAGAGATCAAATACCACAGACAGAATTTTCCCATTACCCCAAGGACCTTTCAAATGGTGGCAGGACACACTGTACAGTGGTAATCATCAAGTGTTGATAATTCATTGATAAAACATCAATATGTGTTTCCCCCCCAGTCTAAAATTTTACATAATCAATATTTTATACCATCCCAGGAGTAGAGATATGTCATAAAGTACCCAAATGTGGACAGGAACTAGACTAGTTTTTTCCAATTGTGTTGTCTCCCAAGCAAGAAGTGAGAAATATATTCTATAGTTGGATTATCTAGGCTCATAATAGTTTATTCTGAGGTTCTCTCCACTTCACCTAGAGCTTTTTATCTGCATTACCCTTGGGAAATTTTGCTGTCTTGTTTCACATGTCACACTTTTTTTGACTGGCATTAACTTGCTCCAGCAGAACACATTGTTTAAAAAATAGCTAGCTCTTGTGCACACTGTCATAGCTGACCTATTTTTGTAGAATATAATGGAAACAACTGTGTACAGTAATTTAATTCAGGAATCCCTCCCCCCGAAAAAATATTCAATATGTGACACACTGTTAATGTAGACTTTGCATTTAAATTGGCATTCTCTTTTAAAGACCAAACAGTTAAGAGATTTTTGCAACGTTCACTCCACGTCATAATAAAGAATAATTAAGAACCATATGAAGATTAGAGCTGCACATTTTATGTTGTCACATCTGGGTGCAAATTAGTAATTATATCAATTGTTAAAACCACAATGTGGAAAGATTCATTTTTTCCAAGTTATTTTGTTTTTTCTCATGGGAAACAATTCAAAACTACTCTGTGAAAATCAGACTTATTCAGTTTTCTTTGCAAATTCCCACCATTTCTAAGTTCTTTGAAGTTCAGATGCATTTTGTGGGGAAGAGCCAAAATGTATTCAATCATATTATGTGCTGCAGATGAACCTTCATTGTGGCATGCTAGAATTTTTGTTTATGTACCATACAATGCCTCCTATTTAATTATACCCATGACTGAAGTCTCTGAGGTCTCCATGTGAATGAAAAGCTGAAAGCCGTGTATGATGATAGGTATCTTTAGGGATGTAGGATTTATGTGAGTAAAGTTGTATTTAAATAAGTAGGAGTTCTGACTGCATTTGTACTGCAGAATTCGGCTTCTAAAATTTTGGCTTGCTGCAGGATTGCAATAAACACCTTGTGAAGCAATTAGATTGCACATCATTTTTTTAAGTAATTGGTGGAGGACACTGAAATATTAGTATTTAAAAGAGTAAAATAAAAGCGTGTTTAAAAGAAATGTATGAAAATAAATCCTGACAGAATCCTCAGCAATATAAAATGCATAGTTTAGTACTTAATAGCCTGGTCCTACATCTGCTATCAGTGTTTTTTCCACTGGAAATTAAGCAGCATCCTATGCTTAGTTCATAGTAGTATCATTGTACTTAAGAGAAAAATACAAGAATTTGTAAACATTTCCACTTTGGGTAATTGTGTCAGTCGTGCTGTTATAGCAAGAGTAGTCAGTGTTGGGTCCCCATGATATTACTTAGATAAATAAAACAAGCACAGGGTATTAGGTCCACTATGTACATAGGTTCTAATATGTCTTTCCATGCAAAATTCTAGCATTTTCCTTCTTAGTGTAGGAGTAGCCAAAGAATGGCAGCTTCCAGGCAAAAAATGTCATGTCAAAACAGTCTTTGCTTTGCTGCTTCCCCCGCTAAATGCTGGAATCAAGAAAACATGGGATGAATAATTGGCAGAATCACTGTCTGTGGGAATTGAAGGCTTGGCAGTACAGTAATGAGAAACTGCAGCAGCACATTCACTACCTAGGGATTGCTGAGGGAGGGAGAACTGTGATGGAGGACTGGGACGGCTATGAGCAGAGGAAAGGAGCTATGGGTAGTGGCTATGCAAAGGGAGATACAGTGGCAGAAGCTGTGGGGGTGTGGAAATAGTTGAGGTAGATGCTGTAGCAACAGAGCCTGTGGTTTTCACCTTAATAATACTTTAGCCTTAGGAGAACCTTTGCCTGTTATTGTTGAGTTAGTCATAACACTCAGAATTAACATATCCATATATGTGAGCTTTGGGATCACCTGCCAAAATTATTATTTAAGTCTTGGGCAATATATTTTGCACCATAAGGAACAGTCCTGTTTTATGTTTAAAACATCATTCCCAAAGTCCAATGGACTGCTTTTCCTTACAGTACCTCCCGACAGTTCAGTAAACATATTTTTGTGTACATCTGACACAGATGTATCTCAGATGTATCATTGAAAAGATATTGATATGGGAGTTAAAAATCATGCAATTAAAAAACAATTAATGACTTATTTTTACTATTCTCACTGCCCACGTACACAATGGACAAATACCCAAGAGGAAGAAAATTGTGTTTTCTTTTTTTTAAAGAAAACCAATATGAACAGATTCATCCATCCCTGTGTACAAGAGTCCAAAGGAACTCTTCCACCAGAACCTCATTTATTTAGACACTGCCAGTGTACCCTTCTTGTTACTCTTATGAGAGTGAACAGTTATCCCTGGGCGGAGTTGCTTATCATTTCAGCCTCTTACAGGGATACCTCTTGTAGGCTTACTGAATTTTTTTCTGCAAGAAGGTTAAACTGGATTCCTTTCAGCTCTCTAGGTGACTATTCCAGAATTGGCTGTCCAATAAGCAAAGTAACCTCCTTTGTGTGGGAAAAATAGGTGGTACTATGGGTCCTACAAGCCCAAAGAGACTTACAGGGCCTTTTTCTTTTCCTCTGGTCATAAGTTTTACTGCCCTAGGTTTCTCTCAATGAGTTGGAATAATTAGTTGAGTTGTTTAGTAGAGGTCTGGTAGGTGCTGCTGTTCTCACACAGACATTCTCCACCTGCAGCTCTCTACACTCAGAGCTTTCCAAACTGTGTGTCACGACACGATAGTGTGTAGGCCGCAGTGTGTAAGTGTGTCGCGTGAATGCTCCCCACGGTCCTCCTGGGGCTGGAAAGGGATTAGTTTAACCTCCGGTTTGCTTGTAAAATTGGATTACTGTGCCATGAAATGATGCATGTCTGAAAAGTGTGCCACCAACATGAAAAGTTTAGAAAGCTCTGCTCTATGGTCTACTGTTTTAAGCTTGCATAGAGTCAAATGACCTGTTCAAAAATATGATACAATGTTGCCCTCAGGAAGGGTGATTATGTTACTTAGAAAGAGTGTTTTAGGTGCAAATGTTGCCCACCTCCCTCAGTAAGGCTAATAGGGAAGGCTAAGCTAGAACCATCTCCCTAAGAAACTAGCTTTCAGCTGATAATATTTTAATGTGGGAGAGCATTCAAATACAGATTCCCACCCCTACCTGCAAAATGAAGTAGTAAATCCGAGTAGGGCTATACTACACATTTCTAAACTTACCATCCAGCTTTTCATCTAAAATAGTGTTTCCCAAACTTGGGTCTCCTGCTGATTTTCGATTACGACTCCCATCATCCCTAGATAGCAAGACCAGTGGTTAGGGATGATGAGAATTGTAGTCCGAAAACAGCTGGAGACCCAAGTTTGGGAAACACTGATGTAAAAGATGCAAAGTTCATGTAACTTTCAGAACAGCCACATTCCTTAAATTGAATGGAGAGTTCACAGAGATAGAGAACCTTTTGCACATTTATGCATGTTGTTCCATTACTGAGCTACAATTCTGGCCTTGCCTATTCAGTGATTGGCACTATTTTAAATAAACATTTCAGTAAATTTTGCTTAAACCATATCTTAAAGTAGGAGCTCTGTCCATTAGTAATATCATTCACAGGAGAATAATCAGAACAATGTAAGATAATATAGTAATTTGGAAATTTGTACCTATTTAAGAAATACATACAGCAAATTACCAAGATCTGAAACTAAGCATGCAGTTTTATAGCAAAATTGTGATGTTGCATGTGTATTTTATGATTTGAAAAAGCAGTGTTAAGAGATGCAAAAACATTTCAATATTTACATTTTTTTTTTTGTAACCCTTAACAGTTTTATATTGTATTTTGGAGTGTTTTATTTTGACTGCTATTGAGATGACAATACTACCATTATGCAAAAAAGGATTGGATAAGTATGGTGTTTTCAAAAAGAATGTTTATATAAATAGAACTAAATATAGAGATTTGTGAAGAAATTATAATTTGTTTCTGTACCACTGGCAAATAAACAGACCACAGGCAATAATTCAGGGCCAGTGATGAACTTAAATTGAGAAATAAGAAGACAAAAATTCTCAGTTTAAACTGTACAAAATTAATTGCAGCAATTCTTATACACAACACTGGGTTTAATAAATACTTCTGTACACTAACTTCTCCAGTGTTATCAGCTTTGGCAATGCCCACCAACCGCTGTAGGCTGGGGGAGCTCTTGGATATATTCCCCATCGAAAAAGTGGCAACTATCTGCTGGGTGAGGTGCATACTTGTATATATCTTTTAAGCTTTGTTTACTAAATATAAATCAAATAAACATGCAAAATCATATCTCCATTGATTTTAGGGCAATGGATTGTAACCCCTGTGTAAGTGAAGAGACGCTTGTATATGTGTTCTTAGAAGTAAGCCCCGCCCTAAGTAAATTAAAAAATGTTACACATTAATACCTGATTTTGAATACTGGAATTCAATTTTATTTATAAATTAACATAAATCAATGTCTTTTGATGAACTGTAATCTTGCTGGCATGATCAATTTTGCTGATTAGCTACAAAGTGGATGAAATAAAGTCGTAATTTAGGCAGCCCATATTGTTGTTGTTTAGTCGTTTAGTCGTGTCCGACTCTTCGTGACCCCATGGACCAGAGCACGCCAGGCACTCCTGTCTTCAGCCCATATTAGAAAAAATATTATTCCTTTTCGTGTTCATATTAGAAACACTGATGACTTTCATGAAAGCATTAAAGTGTTTTCTGGAAAATACATGAAACAAAGTGAGTGCATTCAAATTAACTCTGAAAACTGATTTTAAAAGGATTCAAGAGGACTGTCATGCACACTTTGCCTTCTCCATCAAAGTAGTTCTTGAAGAGATGGGTTAGTTTAGAGTCTCGGTAAGGGACCATCTTATTGGTCCCATAAGTTTAATGCTCCCACAGAGCTTCAATACAGGTCCTCAGCATCATTAGGGTCTGATTAATATTCCATGCTTCCCGTAGTCTGTTCCCTTCCGCTTTGGTTCTGTTTGTTTTCCCACTCCCTGCTAAGTTAACCAAATATAACTGGCTCAAGGTTATCAGCTCTCTGTCCTGTAGAACATTATCCCCACTGGCATCAAGTGGCGCCTGCGGGCCAGATTGATCAGGAACACACTATGGGAACAGCTGGATTCATGATTGAGTTGAGTGTTTGCAATGTGCCTCTTCTTTTGCCCTTTCCAGAAGTCTTCAAAAGCTTCCTCTGTGGATTTGACTCCAACCTCCATGCATCCTGCAATGTACATGTTAAGGTTCTGATCCTTGTGGAAAATTTGGAACTGGGAAAGTTTTGGTTTGATGGGGTCGAAGGGGCCTTCATCCAAAAAGTCATAGATGTAGTTGTTATAGATCTCAATGTTGGAGACAAACACACTGTAAACATTATTTTCATCAACTTCTTCTACTTTGCAGTTGTCTTGGACATTGATCATATCAGTTATTTCAGGGTCAATTTGCCACCAGTTGCTAGATGGAGTTTTTGGAGTCTGAAAAGCTTCTAGTTTCTGATGTTCAAGTAAAGCATCAACATCACACTGCACCTCAATCCCATTCTTATCATCCAGCTTGAACACATATTGTTTGGCCTGCAGCGATCCTATACTGTTGAAGATCATGTCTAAGCAGCAAGGAAGCAGGCCACCCCCACCAGGAGAACCAGTCATGGTGTGAGTTTTCCCACTTCCAGTGACACCGTATGTAAAAGGGAGACCATTTCCCCCATGAATCAGATCATCCGCTAGAGGTTTAGCAACGTCAAACACATGTCTCTGAGACCCGCCAACATTAAAAACCTCTTTGAATGAATATTGAACTTCCTTATACATACTCCCCATTGCAGAATATTCGGTATCCATCTGGTGGGTGAACCTTGACTGTTGTAGTATTGATTACTTTTATGCAGCATTCTTGGTCTGGCACACTGACTGGGTGCAGCCTGCAGTATACCCCAATAAGGTCCTTCAGACTTCCTGTATCCATTTTTCTGCCCAGGCTTCCTTGAGGTTTTGGTTTTTGCGGCCTCCTTCATCCTGCCGAGGCCACCCCACTTGTCTTTCCTTGCTGTCCTCTTGGTGAAGGTTCGATTTGAACGTTCTCTCCCTACTCTGGCTTTCCTGAGATCGTAGAAATCTTTCAGATCATGTGTGTGATTCAAGACGAGTTGTTTTTAAAGTAGTTAAAATATAGCAGCCTGAGTCAAGATGCTTATACTGTCAGAGTGAAAGAAGTGCAAGAAAGGATATTCCCACCTTGAGTTGTGAGCTGGCTTTAGCATGAAGATCCTGGCCTGTATCAAGCCCAGGTTCCTCATTACATCTTAACTGGGGAGCTAATGTCAAGTCAACAAACCAGGAAAATGAAATAAGATCATATTCGGATTTATGAAACTTCAAACAATCATCCAAACCAGGCTGCTGTGTTTGTTTGTTTTTTTAATTTTACCCTCATGTGTGCTGGTAACACCTCCCCTCCCTCAATCAGTGGGTCTGCACAGGTGTAACTAAAGCTTGATTTTGGACTGTGTTCTCTCTGCGAAAATCTCATACTTAATCCTCTGTAATCTAAATCTTTGCTAAAAATAGATTTTGGAGGAATAGAGTAGTGGTTGCTTCTACATGCAGATGACAGGAAATGGCATTATCTGCTAAGATGGCTGATATGGTGATTAGTTTTAGCATTAGCATAAGTTTAAAGGATTCCTTCCAAAATTTGTATGAGAATATACAGTTTGGCAGAAACTCTTGGCCTACAAAAATAAGTCTCGTTTCTTAGGGAAAGTGACATCACATACAACAAAATTTATGTGCAAGGACATGTTCACTTTTGCTTCTAACAGGTATGTTACAAAAGGCCTATTTTAACAGAAAGCGTCTGCTGAAGGTGAAGCGGAATGTTTTTTGGCCAGGTGCAACTAGGTGGCTTATACTCCTTTAACCGATCTCAGCAGATTCAAGGCCAGCAGGAAAAGCTGTCATGGAAACTTCACTTGCAGCTGTAGGCTATTTGCCTTTTTTTTTTTTTGCATTATTTATCATTTTATTTGTATGCTGCCCTTCCATAGTTAAAACCATGCACAAGGTGGTTTACAACATGAACAAAATTGCATAATTACAAACATAACAAAAGTTGTCATAAAAATAAATAAAACATCAAAATGATTTCCACATAAGATCTAGGATAAAGATACAAAAAATAATTTAAATAACTGCAACAATGCCCTCCTCCCAACCAAACCCTCTAAACAGTACCCCACTTTAATGGATTTTAGAAGCAAATACAAAGCCTTAAGAAAGCTAAATTGTGTGATATAATATTTAGTGACCTGGCTGCTCTTTAGTGATGTGGATTTTCTGGAAAAAAATGAACTGGAACATTTTCTCAGGGGAAAGCCTCATATTAGACTGATTTGCCTATGGAAATTTGTATCAGATTTTTTTTTAAAAAAAATTTTTGCAGTGGAAAATGTTGTGATGTCCTAGGGAATGATCTAATTTACCATGTTTATTTAGTAAATTAAACTAAGGAAATACCCCATATTAATTTATTGTTCCAATACAGCTCAAATGTAAGGACAGTGACCTGGATTCAGTTAACCTATTGTGCTAGCAGAAACCAGCACAAAGGCTTCTGCTAGTGCAATGGGGCTTTCCCCCCATGTGCCCCTGCACTTCCTTCAAATCTGCTCTGCTTCTTTGAAATATCTTTTTAAAAATGCAAATTTGGAAGTGAGGATTCTGTATCCTGAAGCAGGCTTCCAAACATGGATTCTATCTCTGCACTGAGAATTACATATGTAGGGAGAGCATTGGGTGTGCACTGCATGACAGTTACACACTCACAGGCAAATACAGTGGTACCTTGGGTTAAGTACTTAATTCGTTCCGGAGGTCCGTTCTTAACCTGAAACTGTTCTTAACCTGAAGCACCACTTTAGCTAATGGGGCCTCCCACTGCCGCCACGCCGCCGGAGCACTATTTCTGTTCTCATCCTGAAACAAAGTTCTTAACCCAAGGTACTATTTCTGGGTTAGCAGAGTCTGTAACCTGAAGCGTCTGTAACCTGAAGTGTATGTAACCCGAGGTACCACTGTAGTCCACGATGGCTATACTTTGCATGACAGCCATAGGCAATATACTTGGAAATACTTGTAGCTGGAAAGCACAAGAGGGGAGAGTGTTCTTATGCTCAGGTCCTGCTTTCAGGCTTCCCATGTGCATCTGCTTGACCACTGTGAGACTAGGATGTGGGACTATATTGCCCACTGACCTAATCCGGCAGGGCTATTCTTACGTTCATATTAATTTCTCAGCAAAGAGAAACCATAGTGCTTAGCTAAGCTACCATAAATTACTGTCATAAATAGTACCTAATGTGCATGGTGGATTAAGTGACCCCTATCAATTAAATGTATATAGTTGCATTCCTGAGAGTTACAGTAATCAGCAAATATATTCTTAGTGCTTAGTGCAAGTAGAAGTAGTTGGGTAGAACCGTTTCAGGGATGAAACTAAAATGTTACAGAACTTCCATTATACTATAGCTCTTCCCTTCTGGGACCTATTTCTGCCTCCTGCCTTTGCTTACATGAGATAAGTGGAACAGAGCAGTGGATTATCCAATACCTTCTTCTAAATGCATCTGAGGGAAGGAAGATAATTATTTAGGAGGTAACAGCATCACAGCAAGATATTATTGCTCCACATTTCAGGCATAATCGATGGGGAATGGTATTTTGTGCAGCTCCCATTTATTTTAGAAGTCTTTGCGCAAGACAATTTCCCCATGATTGTGCCCTTCATCTCATTTAGCAATTTGCTTCGGCCTATGAGTTCACAGTGGGACGCGGGTGGCACTGTGGGTTAAACCACTGAGCCTCTTGGGCTTGCTAATCAGAAGGTCGGCAGTTTGAATCCTTCAACAGGGTGAGCTCCTGTTGCTCGGTCCCTGCTCCTGCCAACCTAGCAGTTTGAAAGCACACCAGTACAAGTAGATAAATAGGTACTGCTGCAGTGGGAAGGTAAACGGCGTTTCCGTGCACTTCTCTGGTTCGTCAGAAGCGGCTTAGTCATGTTGACCACATGACCTGGAAGCTGTACGCCGGCTCCCTTGGCCAGTAAAGTGAGATGAGTGCCGCAACCCCAGAGTTATCTGTGGCTGGACCTAAAGATCAGGGGTCCCTTTACCTTTATGAGTTCACAAGTAGCCTCTGTATTTTAGCCTCAGCTCTCTGAGGCTACACCTATTTTTAACAGGGCTCTTCTGAGGACTATTATCAAAAGATAGGACATGTAGTGCTAGTACTATATAATCATTGTCATAATAATCACTAGCCCTCAAGTAATTAGCAAAAATTGTCTAGTCATGAGGAAATGCTGCAAACTACCCCCAGAATCAAACACATAGTTCAACCAGCTTTGGCGGAATTGCAGTCTCTCATCCCCACATTTCTATTGCAGCCCTGACTTTGTGAATATCTAAATGTAGAAGCTCTTTAGTTATGTGACTTTCTCTCTTCCTTAGGAAGCCCAAACACAGAATTATTCAAAAAAAGTGTAGAAAGGCCGTGGCGGGGGGGGGGGGGACGGGACACACGGGACCAGTTACACTTTCATGAGCTAGACACTTATAGATCTGCCTCCTAGCACTGCTTTATCCTGTCCTTGATTGGGTGCTTTGTTTTCTGCACATTTTGTTGCATTGTTTTATTGAATAGTTTCCACAGTTATTTTATTAATTTAATCTTATGCACTTATATATTTGTTAGCTGCTTCCATGGAGTAGGAAATCTACATTTTAAATGTTAGAAGTAAATTAGAAATAATAATAATCAATGCATTCTGATTTGTTCACTTGGTTCCACTGCTAAGTGTTTAGTTTACATTAATGCCCTCATGTAAAATAATAAAATGTGAAATAAGATTTGGAGTTCAAAGTGCTTGAGCCTGCTTCCCTTTAACCACCACCTTATTTTTTATTTATAGACTGGCCTTATTGTTGCCTGTTACCAAGGGTTTGTGGATATTGTAATAGCGTTAGCACAATGCCCTCACATTGATGTAAACTGGCAGGACAATGAAGGAAACACAGCTCTAATTACAGCGGCCCAGGCAGGTAAGGAGGTTTGGTCCTCATTTCATTTTTTTTGTCCAACAGTTCATGATTGTAAATGCTTATTTATTGTGATTGCATTGAGCAAACAAATGCCAGGTTTCCCCCCCAATGTGAGTCTTTAGGCTAGCCCAGCAAGTATTGCTGCTCTGTCCTCTTCCGTACATTTCAGAGAAGCTTGTCCCTTTTAATGCAGCTCAGCACTATAATTAGTGACACTATTATTAATTTAATGCACACCAGGCTCTGCTTACTAGATTAAATCTTCTGGAAGTGATTAATACTTTTCATGGGGAGAAGATGATGTACTCTCTATTACTTCTATTACTGCATACCATTAAAGCTACCATATTAGTGAAAAAAAGTGTCCACTTTTATTTCTGACCAAGTAGTAATAATATAACAAATGGGAGCTACAACAAAGTGTTGCAGTGTATCCATCCTCCTAATACTCTTGTTAAGGAAGTTATTCCATTAAAGAAGGGTATTCAACTTTGTTTTCTATTTCTCTTTTCTTGGTTTTCTATTTTTCTTTTCTAACCCCAAGCAGTTCTCTGAACCCTGATCATACTTTTTCCATTGCTGTGCTGACAAAAAAAGAATTTAAAATTGGCATTCAGACAAATATACAGAAGAGTCTAAGGCAACTGTGCTGCTGCAGCCTTAGAAAAAGAAGAAGTAATGAGAGCATAGCAACACTTGGGCTGCAGATAAGCCTATCAGTGAAAACGTTTGATGAGCACAAAAGGGTGCCTAGCACAGCTTCCCTGCTCTGAACCCTCTCTCTCTTCAGCCCCCCAAGATCATGTTATGTCCTGCATACAAAAGCTTTCCTATTCAATTCAGCGAAAGAGTGCAACAAATATTAGGTTGAGCACAGATGCTTTAAAATATTATTTTGTAATAAAAACCAGGAATGTAATCATGTTCAATTCATCATACTGTGCAATACAGAATTGGCAAAATAATGAAGCATGAAGCTTTGAAATGATAAATTCTGGGAAAATTCATTTTAGTTATATTATTTAAGAGGTCCTTAGAATTATAAACTAAATATAGTTTGTGCTAAAATTATTAAATTAATGACAACAGATTCTAATTATTGACAACCTATAGACAGTGTAATGAAAAATGTGTTATGTTGAATTTAATAAATATTTGGTGAAATGCAAGCATGGCAGTTACTTCCCTCTTGGGAATCACTGAATGCTGTTGTAAAAAAATATTAGAGCTGATACAGAATAATGATTCATAATTATTTTCTGGAATCCCATTACCAGAACATGTGTGTTTTAACTAAGCTGTATTCATTTTAAAAAATGAAATGAAAAACTCTTACCTTATCTGATAATTGTTTTGTTTCATTTTAAATGCACTGTGTGGCTATAATTTTTTACTACAAAAATATTTGTGTGTTTTCACAGCTGCCTTTATAGAAAACCAATGCCTGATACGGCTTTTTAACAAGAGTTAGGTGGTCTCAGATATTGTATAACCTGCTTTGGGTTGTGTCCACCCAGGATATATATCTGTCCTGTTAACGGATTAGATTTAAGGCTGCTCTTTTCTGACCTTTATATTTAATTATAATGAGCTCAGTATTAATCCAGAGTGTTGACATTGGCTTGATACTGTCTGCCAGTATCTGATACTGCTCCCTAAAGAAAACGAGGCTAAGTAGACCACAGGATATATAAGAAGTTTCCTATAATTGTATGGAGTTATTTTCCTCTTTTCTAAAGCTGAATGACATTGGCCTTGATCACATATTACTGAGTAAGCTGGGGCTAGGTCTGCATGCATGATCCAGTCCACCAAGCCTTCCAGAGTCACCTGCCAGCCCCCAATCCAATTTACTAGGATTGTTCCTTGGGGGGGGGGGACCCACCCACCAAAGCACGGAGAGTCAAGCAAAGACTGTGGTAGTGTGGTAATCCTTCCTAAGTGGCTAGCCAGCCCCCAATTCAATTAACCACCAGTAAATTTGGGGCAAAACTAAACAAACAAATCAAAGCCCCTCAACCAGACAGAGTTCCATCCCACCCTGTGGTAACAGCCCTAACTCCTGTGTGGATCCAGAAATGGCTACATATTACACACGGTCCTCCACAGCCATTGTCCCTGAACGTGCTCCAAGCATGACTGGTGAGAGGGAGGATGTTCATGGACTTGCTAAGACATGTCGGTGCCACCTTGAAGCAAGGTTGGGTTTTTTTGTTTTTTAAGGACTTCCTGCCTTTTCAGGGTTGTTGCTGGGGAAGGTTGGTGCTGCTTCTTGCCAGGCGTGGCTGTCTCTGGTTTGCAGAAGAACAAAAGCAGAAAGGATGCTTTCTGTCTGCTTAATATTTGGGGTGAAGTGATTGTTGTGGCTAATCAGTGGTGAGAGGATCTGGAAAGGGACCCCCGAGAGAAAAGGCAGTGAGAGTGTGTGTAAAAGACAGGAAATAGAGAGACAGGCAAAGAGTGGAGAGAAAGAGAAGTGGAGATGGGTGTGTGTTACAGATGTTTCTCTGTAAGGGAAGGGAAGTCTGCAAAGAAGGGACTGGGACTGGGTTCTCGAGAAGCCATGCCCACTTTAGAAATGTGGCCTCTGACAGCTTTCCATTCAGGTAAGATTGCCCTTGGCTGAAAAAAGCTTTCCCATCCCTGCAGTCAGCCACAGTTGAGAGTTCTCACCATCTTTGTTGTTTGGTTCTAGAAACAAACTATGATCCCTAGCTTAACTGGGGATCATAGTTTGTTTTGTTCAAATTAGCAATGACCAGGAAGCCAAGAACATCCCTTGGCTTCATATTGTGGTTCGTTTCTCCCATGTGGGAAAGTGGGAAAGATTGGCGCATTCACAGTAAACCTTTTTTTCAGTCATGATCTTGTTGCACTGTAGAGTTTACTACTGGCAGAATTGGAGCTATGTTTTCACAATTGCCAAAGTCCTATTATTAATTAATAGACATATATTTGAAACAGCCTTATAAAGAATTTATGCATTTTAATTAAAGTTGCATTTATTTATAGATTTTTAAGAGCTGATTCTTTTTCAACATACCACTTTAAAATTTGAGGGTGGCCTGTCATTTCTTCTATTCCATTTCCATGTCAAATTGATTGCTTCCCCCCTCTACCAGAATCCTAACATTGCTATTTTCTGTTGACTTCATTCTGCATCTCTGGTCTTAATACCACTGTTAAACTGTCTTGAAAACAGCACACAGTTACACATCCCTAGCACACATAATTTCAGACTTACTGTTACCACCTGAAATTATAACTTAAAAAAGAAGAAGCTCCTGAACAGGCACCTAGAACACATTTGAATCCAATATTGATGAAAGGAACACTTCAGCTGAGTCCACGTCCAGATCTGGCCTCCTACTTTTTCTCTGTTAACCAGCTACGGTTGCATAGGAGAGCCATCCCTCTATCCTATAGTTACTGTGCTCAATTCTCTCTTGCCCTTTTTCCAGATAGCTACATTTGTTGGCAGCTTTCAGGAGTCTGCAACTGCTCCCACAACTGAAAGAGCACTAAGCAGTTGTAAGTTTAAGCTTTTTCATGGAGTATTAACATTCTGAATTAATTGTGCATTGTATTGGCAATCTTTTTCCCCAGCACAGATAGCTTATGTTAAAAGAGTTCATACAAGTAGAAATTCTTATTAGCATCTTGCATTTCTCCTGCTGCTTCAACTGTGAGCATATATAAAGATTATGTTTTCTATAAGAGCTTTTAAATGGAGTTAACTGATTAGCAACTGCACCTGAAACTGAAAGTCTGAATAGTGCAACCATTTGTGTCTGAATTCAGACTAAAGAACAAATCTTTTTTTAAAAAAGGTTACCAGGGCTGTATTCAAAGTAGTGTTAAGCAGGTTGTTTTGTCAGTGCAAGGATTTATCCTTGTGCAACAGAAGAAAAACCTCTTCCTCTGGGCCCCCAAATTTGTTCTGGGTGTTTCCCCAACCCTCTGGAACAGCTTTGGGTATGGCATGGAGTATGCATGAGGGGTGGAGAAAAGGAGGGAAATCCCATTGCACCAGCTCTAATCCTATTTATAGCACAGCTGTTTAGCTCAATACTACCCAAAGTGAAATATTGAGCTGGAGGACTGAGACTGCATATGAATGACATTTTATTTTAGAATCAGTGAGAGTCTGAGTACTTCCTTTTTTCTTTGTAGTCCACACACAATCTAGATCTAATGCATATTTTTGCTCCTGAAAAGTGCATTTTGAAAAATTGGTTGGTTCATTCCAAAATAAAAATTCATTGCAGATTGATTCTGCATTTTCCCACAGTGTGTCCATTTGAAAACAGATGAAGGTGGTTCCAGCAATGGGGGAGTGTATCCACACCTCCCCTTCTTCATTCACCCAGGGCATATGCAGGGAGGAAAAGGCATTGATAACCTAATCAATGGAGGTTTTTCAAATGGTTATCCGATAACCACACCCACCTATCCTTCTGGATGGCAGGATTTAGAGTCAATCAAGATTGAAAGCAGCATGCTGAGGACGACCATGAACAATTCCAGAGTGACAAAAGTATGCTTTGGTACTACAAAGGGATTGGTGTGTACACAGCCAGAGCCTTATGTCCTTAGTGCACATGTATTAATTGCACTGTGGTGGCCAAAATGGTGGCCTTCAGATGTTGGACTACGGCTTCCATAATCCCTGGCCAATGGCCATGTTGGCTGGGACTGGTGGGAGCCGGGAGCCCAAAAACATCTGGAGGGCACGGTGATCTAAACCCCCAAATTCTAATGTTGAAGCATGTACTATGAAAATGCTGCTACTAACTTTTACTCAGTTTTACTCAAAAATAGTGAGGCCTTTTCTGTTAGTTAGAGATTCTATTTCTAACAATTCTGTAAGGGCTGCCACCCATTTTGCAGGTGGCAAAGTAAGGCTGAGAGTCTGCTGAGGCATGCTTTTTCAATTTTTTTGGCATGATTTTTCTTTTATTACCATGAGGAAATTAGCACAGGTCTCAGTTCAGGTAAACAGAAGCTTAAGCAGTTAGGGGCACGTTCAGAATGTCATCAATACTGGGCACCTCAGTAATGAAATAGTTTTAATGCAGTTGTGAACAGTTATTATCAGAAGCCCTTTACCTGAGAAATAGGAGGGAAAGGATACATTGAAAGGAAAATCTAGATTCATTTTATAGAAATGAAGTTATTTTCCACGGATTGCAGTAGGACTTTGCGCTTAATGCAGCCCTTTGAAAGGATATTATTTGTAAGGATTAGGTGCCTGGTTTCTGCAGAAACATTTTGGCTGCTTTTCCATTTCTAGTGACTCATTGGTGCTCAGAGAGCACCAGTGATATAAATTAGTAATGATGGAAAAGCAGTTTCCAAAGTGGTTGTTTGAATCTGCTCTACGGAGTTTTGTGGAGTTGGGCATGCCTATTTCTTGATTTTTGTACTTTAAATTACCTAGAAAGTCTAGGAGTGTTCTGAAGTTATGTAGGCCTAAGAGTGTTTGGGGTTGGGTGATCAGACAACAGTAAGGATCTCCAGCAGAGCCCATTGCTGATCAATTCAAAAGGACATGAGCACATGATAAGGATGGGAAAATATCCGAAGTTCAAATCAGAAACGTCCCTAAGAACAAGGCAAGTAGAGACACTCCAAATGAATGCCTGACATTTTCACTTCTTTCATAATTTTGCATTATTGTACCCTGTCGCTATCTAGGTAGAAGGACTCTAAAAAAGGGCTCCAGTTAGGAAAGAGGCAACCAAAGAGCACAGCTGTCCATAAAATACCTGAGTGTAATTAAAGCTGCTTAAATAGATAAACATGCAGCTCTCCTCCTTCTAGAATATGTAGATTTGTTTGGGTGCCATGAAGCCACTGATCATTAAAACTGTACCAGATGTTCTGCTATGGATTTTGTTTAATTGCTTGTATGAAACTTCTTCATAAACATTCTTGGATAAATTTAACTGACTGACATGTATTGCAGAATATTTAACTGGACTGCAAAATAAGACGAGGGAACTTTTTTTATACAGCTTACAGTAATTAAGTTGTTGTTGTTGCAGCTGGCTGACAGACTACATTATTACACAAACCATCAAACCATCATACAACAAATGACAAGTGGGGGGAAATGTTCTGAATGAGCAATAATGGCACTAGATGTTTGTCTTGTTCTGTCAGTCCAATTACAAGGGCTTGATGGTTTAATTGGTCTTCAGACTGTTAGCTCCCTAGCGTCTATAATTTTAGCCTGTGATAGATTTTTACCACTCTACATATTTCAGTGATACTGGCAAAGCAGGCAAACCTTCTGCTGGAGATTATGCCTGATATGGTCTGCTAAAAGCATTTCTAAGAATATATATACTGTGTCTGTCTGTCTATCTATCTATCTATCTATCTACTCAGTCATTTTAGTTCATAATCTGCCCTGTTGCTAGTTCCGGATAGTAGAAGCTTAATGACCAGGGTTTTACAGCAGAGTTGGGAAACTGAACCCTCCTATGGCTGGCAAGGCAACAACAGATCTTTAAACTATTATTTCCGCTTACCATAGACTCTCACAAATTACCATTAATGTAATCATATTTATAACTCTCAAGCATTCTGTGTAGGCCTGCCACGGGTGATTATTTGGAAATTGCCTGTGATGGCAATGAGTGGCTAGGAGGAAACTGGATTCATTATCCAGTGTTTCAATTAGCTTCCTATAGCTTTCCAGGCATAACTCAAAGGTACTGCTTTAATCTATTTGGCACTAAATTGTATGAACACTACGTCCTAGAACCCACCTTCTGCCATGATTAGCTTAAATTATCCTTCTGAGCAGGGATAGGGAATATGGATAATAGACCACATCAACTTTCCATTAAATTTCGATTAATATACTGCAAACAAAATTTTGTATATCTTTCATTTCTAAGGAAAAGAAGTAACTGATCTGTATGTGTATTTGCCAACCATTGAGAGAGACATATTCAGGGAGCACCAGTGACTGTGTGGGAAGGAGAGGGTGAAACCCATTTTGTTAACTTCCTTATCTTAGGATTGAACCAAGCCATAGCATTTTATAGTTCTCAGTAGTGGCACCTGCCCTGTGGAATACCCTCCCATCAGATGTCAAGGCAATAAGCAACTATTTTACTTTTAAAAGACATCTGAAGGCAACCTTGTTTAGGGAAGTTTTTAATGTTTAATGCTGTATTGTGTTTTTAATATTCAGTTGGGAGCCGCCCAGAGTGGCTGGGGAAACCCAGCCAGATGGGCGAGGTATAAATAATAAATTTGATGATGATGATGATAGCTTAGTGGTTATTTGACTCTGAGGAGTGTGTGTGATCTGTCCTGAAGCTTCAGAATATGAGAGTTAAAATAAAACAAGTAGAATTCACAGTGGTTTGAAAATAATACACTTTTGTATTGATATTTTTTATTCTTTTTTTTGTAGGACATATTACTATTACACAGTATTTATTAAACTATTATCCTGGCCTTGATATTGAGAAAAGGAATGTCTTTGGATTTACTGCACTCATGAAGTCTGCAATGCAAGGCCGAAGTGAATGCATCAGAGCTTTAATGTTGGCAGGTATAGAAAAATCCTCTGCTTCATTATCCTCATTCCCTTGAACTACTGTAAAGACTACTTCTAAATGAAGGACTGCAGTTCTTGATATTTACTCTCTTGGCAGCCCTGCCTACTCTAATTACAGACTGGACAAAGAAAGAGAGAGGGAGAGAGAAATTCAAAACCATTGTTGCTTATTGTTGTTTTCCACCACTGAATTTTCTACAAATGGATCTCATTAAGGAAACTAAATTCATTAATTTATTTATAAACATGAATATTCTACCATATTTTGCAAAACCAGTACCAAACACAATCTAGGGCAGCTGAAATTTCCTTTCAGTGCCTACAGGGTTTACATACTCAGTTTAAATGGAAGGCATAACCCAGTGAACTTGTACTAACCCTTGCAAAAATAAGTTTGCATAGTGCAGAACTTTCATAAAACACAATAGGAAAAGCAGACAAAGCAGCTGAATTAAAAGCAAAGAGTAACAATTGGAATACTAAAATTATATTAAAAGCACCCTGAAATAGAAAAAAAGAAAAGTCTCCAGCAATCAGCTGAAGCTTAAAAAAGAAGAGCCCTGGCATGTCTCTACAGAGAAGGCATTTCACAGTTGTGGTTCCACCACTAAAAAGACTGTCTTGAGTGCCCATCTTCTGATGTTACATAAGGATGGAGCAGAGCCTCTGAAGTTGACTTTAACTGGCAGCAGGCTTGCTTGCTTATTTTTTTAAATTTCTATATCACTCTTCCAACTGGGGGCTGAGGGGGGGCATACAACATAATTAAGACAGTGTTACTAAATATCTGCAATAACAATAGAAAACTAAAAACACACCTCTTGAAATTTTACAATTTTTATTCACAGGGTTATTTCAGTAGTTCATGGAGACCAGAGTGTTTTTTGTGTATTTCAGGTTATCAGGAAACGGGTTAATAGCAAAGTGATGTGGAGATGGGCTATTACTTCTGCTCATTTTAGGGAAGCTATCAGGATGGCAGCTACTGGCCAGACATTATATTTAGAAATAATTCATGGATTAAGGACTGCTCAGCAATTGCAAGAAATAATGGAGCTTGTAGAGTGCTAAAGAGGATGAAACATGGATTTATTGCCAAAAGGCTCAGGAGAAACAGAGCTAAGCTATTGCAGCCTTATTTTGAGAGAGTATCCCTAAGCCAGGGCAAACCATAGTGATTACTCATTGCTTTTAGCAAATATTACAGAACAGGAATTCACACGAGATACAAATATGTTCTTCTGTTCAAATACCTGAAGGCTCCCATTTGTTAAATATGGTTTAACATATGGTAAAATGGTAAGATACACAATTTCAACCCATCTAAAGGCAATTGCACAAATATTCTCAGCTGTAAATTTCTCCTATGCTAGTTAGGTTGCTGTGGACTCCCGCAGTTGTTTGAAATATTTGTAAAACTTGAGCCTAACCCCACTTTTCTTGGGAGTCAGCCCCATTCATTCAATAAGATTTACTTCTGAGTAGGCTGTTACGTGACCAATTTACTCATACTGAAATGAGTCGAAAAATGAAGCTATGAAACATCTATGTTAATATTGCCATTTTAAAAAAGAAGGGCTCAAAAGTCCCTACAAACTTGGAGTTTTCTGATGTTTTTGCTGGAAACCTCAGCTCAGATACTTCAAGCATATTTCATTTGCAGATAATATTGCAATATGTGTAGCTGTATTAATTTAATGGAATATTAATATTCCAAACTGACTGGGATGTCCAGGTTACTTATTCTGAAAAAACCCCCGTTTGTAATATTAGATTTCTCTCTGGAAAATCAGGTCTAAGTGGAGATGGACACGTTTCTTACAAGCTGATTTTCAGACTCAATGTAATTCAGAATGATTGATAGAATGCCATGACACTTGGAAGGAGGACTTGAATATTCATGTGTGACCCAGGTAGCAAAGTACCTAACCTCATTTATGTTCGTGTGGGATTAGTTTTAAAGAAGTCACTGCAATACTTCAGTAGTGTTTAAAGCAAATCTTGTGTCCCAGATAGATTTCCTGAGAAAGAACATACAGCAAAAATTTGACAAGCTATTAGAGAAGACTTATTTGTGGTTACTGTGCAGATAATCTTCAGTATTTTCTATCTACAGCTTTACTGGTAAAATTTCCCCATTTAGGCAGAGAGGATGCTGGAGTCAAGAGCTGAGAATACCATATTCCGTTCATTTCTTTTCTTAGTCCTACGACAACAATAACACAGAAAACATTATCTGAGCTCTGTATTTTTTCTACTATTCATTCCATTAGTATTATTTATTACTTGATTAAATCTTTGTGTTCCGTGGGATAAATGTTCATATTATCTTCAGAGTCTCTTTCAGTGATGGTACCAGCACACACTCCAAGGTATTCTGCAGTCACCCATCTGTGCGATTGGAGAGAGATCAAACAGGAAAGACAAGTTGCTTACCAGTAAATTGTGTTATTTGATTGGTCATCTGTGCAGTCACAGCTCATGTAGTTTCTTCACTGCTGGTGCCGTCAGTTTGTTGAAATCATCATGGCAAGGCTGAAGGAACTGAACAGGAGGCAACTGCCTCACCTGTTTCAGGCCAACCCTTCTCCCTGAAAGGAGGGGACAGAAATACTAACCCCCTGACTAACATATTATAAACACCTGAAAATGTTTTACACTCAAGTGTGACTGCACAGATGGCCACCATTACAGGTAAACAGTCTAATTTTGGTGCACTTGATCCTGAAATACAATCTTAAGAACAGCTGGGAATGTACACACATGGAGTAGCAAAACTTCAATGCCTAGAGCAGGAAAAGCAGTCAACTACTTTGAGTTTCCCTGAGATAAAACAGCAGAAAATTACATGAGGAGGAATACATAAAGCCATTTTTTGTTGTTAAATAAATATAAAACAAAAACACAGCCAACATTTTTTATTTAGCAGAATATAGAGTAGTGTGCCTTAGTATTTGCCAGTATAACGGTAGAGATAAGGAGGGGTCAGCGAACCACATCTTCCTATCACCTTTCCTCCTTTTCCTGTCTGGCATTGGATGGTTTCAGATAGATATACCTTTCACTGACTTTTATTCTGGTCAGATGTAATCTCAAATTAACCTCTTAACCATTCATGAGATTAGCCTAAATCCACAGATTTGGGTTTCTGGCTGTGCCATCTGGTGTGCTGGAATTGTCAGCAAACACTATTCACATCTCTTCCATTTGTCCTTTCAATAGCTTTTGTTTGTTTTTTACTGGTACTTTTTTGTTGGCTGTTTAGTATGTGTAATTTTGCTTTCATCTGCAAAATGAAAGGTCCATTGTAGACCTAACATTCCGAGTCTCCTCGCCATTCCCCCTTCCAGTCCGTTTTTGGAGCTGACTGTGGTGTACAGTTTACATGGCAGGCGGGGGGCGGGGGGGAGAAAGAGGAGCATATGAGCAAGACTCCCTTAGATACCATTCTTTTTCTGAATTGCAGTCCTTCTATTAATTGTATATCTATCTGTTGCAAACCCTACACCTGTAATTTGCTACATTTAGAGATACTCTGCTTTCAAATGCAAGTGCAAATGTAATATAAAATGATTTAAAACTGAATATGTGTAGACAAATGTGACCACAGCCAAATTTCATCTGGCCCTCTGGGGTGGGTTTGATGTTATGTCAATCGCAGTTCCTTTGCAATAAGATCATCACAGAGGGAAACACTTCTCAGCAGACTTTTGTTCCTTGCAAATATAGAAATAATAATAATCCATGCATTTTGCAATAGCATGCATGCAGTTTTGGGGATGTAACTGCATTTTGAAGTTTGAGGTTTTAAATAGCTGTATGTGAAATTTTGCGGTTCAACTAGGCATTGACACTATTTGCATTCTTCCGGGATTACAGAGTTCCTTTTGCCTTTTTCAGAGACAGGACAGATTAAAATGTAGTCTGCAGTATCATTTAACAAATGTACAAAACAACTGTTGAAAAATAAAAGGCTGAAGAAAAGTAAAGGAGAAACTTGAGTGCAGATACACTTATTTAATTAGGATACAGTCATACCTTGGGTCTCGAACGCCTTGTGACTCGAACATTTTGGATCCCAAACACCACAAACCGAGAAATGAGTTTTCTGGTTTGCGAACATTTTTTGGAAGCCAAACATCTGACGTGGCTTCCAATGGAGTGCAGGAAGCTTGCTGCAGCCAATCGGAAGCTGCGCCTTGGTTTTCAAAAGTCAAATGGACTTCCGGAATGGATTCCATTCGAGAACCAAGGTACGACTGTATCTGTATCTACAGGAAATAGCTTGGATCTAGCCATGCCCACTAATATGGGGCCACAAACAGTTTTATGCAGAGTAATGTGGCCCTTAGTCTACAAAAGGTTACCACCCCTGCCATGGGCTGTAACAAAATAAGATAAATGGAAGTTTAAGTTTAATGTGAGAAGCGTGTGTATGGTAGAATCATGTTTTCCTAGCAATAAAACCTAGAAAAACCATTCATTCCCAATACACACTTCCACAACATTCTTTACTGGCGATTTGAATTAAACAAATATTTAAAATAACTCAGAGATTATCACAAAACTGCACTTCATTAAGACTTTTGAGATTGATACAGTGTTTTTTAAAACTCCAACTCAATGAGACAATGAAATACAAGGTCAGGCAGCACTTATTACTTGTGTTGTGATGATGACACATGTTAAACATCTCTCTAATTTCTGACAGTGTAGCTATGGGGGCATAACAATATCTGCTGGCTCTCACTACAGTTCTGTACTGAGCAGTAGATATCTAAATAATTTGTGTAGCTAAAAAACCAAAGTAAAATTGGGTTGTTTTATCAAAATATTAACTGACAGTCAAAATAAGAGTTGTCAAGCAGCTAAGGTTTCAGAGTTTCCTAACGCAATATCTTACAAAATTCAGGATATGCTTAGCTTTACCTATATAATGTGGTCAGCTGCACTTTTAAAAAACCCCAATAATTAAAAAAAACCTAACTCTCTCTCTCTCCTTTGAGGGGCAAACATTTATGCCACAGACCCAGGCCGTGGATTCACATCTCAGGAATGGGCATGTTTCACAGGAAGAATAGAATCTGCCTATCTTATGCAAAGACTTATGGACAAGCCATGTGCTGAGCAATTTTGTGACCACTATGAGCTAGAATGGCCAAAGTTGAAAGAACTTCTTGCCAAGGCTGCAGAGCCAAAGACCTGTTTGCAAAAGATCTCGGAAGGCGTGAGGTCAATAATAGCTTCCAGAGGTTTCAAAGGCCCTGAAGATGATGGTGTCCTTGATCATATGGTTCGGGTGACGACAAGTCTAAGGAGCTCTTTTGTTGCCATAGCTTGTAGGACCGTGTGCCCTGGAAGTCCGCCTGGCATAGGGAAACGCAGGCCTGCTGTACAAGAGATCTTTAGGAAACAAAGAGCCAAGGAAATCAAATCTATGGATAGCAAAGACCATTTTAACAGCTATGAGAAGCTGTTTCAGAACTCCAGAGTTATGTTAGTCTCCAAAAAGAAGGAAAGGCGAGCCAGCCTCCAGCCTTTCAGTCTAAATGTACCTCAGGTTAGCATTGTGGTTCCAAGGAAATCAAGCTTGCTGCCACTACACTTGTTGAGAAGGAGCAGTGTGCGCCCAGGATTTGTCATCCCCAAAGTCCGAATCAACAAGGCACCTCCACCTACTTTCCAGCCAGAGAAAGTCAGACGAAAAAGCAGTGCCGGTGATGGGGCTTACCTGCAGATTCCTAAGTGGAGGTATAAAGAGCTGAAGGAAGAAAGGAAGAAAGCAGAGGAAGAAGAAAAGAAAAAAGCAGAAGCAGCTCAGAAACAGAAGCAAGGGTCTCCCGTGAAAAGCAAGACTTGACCTGAGGCTGAGACTCATGATAGCACTACTGAGATCAATAGAAAAGTCAAGTTGCTGTATTGGGGCCAGCTGAATGACACAATTTAAAGGAGAAGAAATCATCTAGAGAGCAACTGATACGGTAAAGTGTATATACATCAAGAAATGTAAGGAAAGATTTAGAGAATCTGTGAACAGGTTTAAAATATGGAAAAGGTAGTTTTCTTGGGGTGGAAAACAGATGTCCCACAAAAGGGGTAATGGGATAAAGCTCCAAGAAGGGAGAGTTAGTCTGGATATCAGACATTTTTCTATACATAAAAGAGTATTAAGCTACAGAGTATGTTTGCAAGGGAAACTAATATTAAAAATAGATTTCATAAGCACTGGCTTGAGGATAAGTGAAAAGACAAGTCTACGGATTTTGTACAAGTGTATTATGATCTCCCCATCCCTCACACTAAAGTAAAGGGCTTTAGCTTGATGCTTGCTTTTAAGAAAATATGGACATTGTAATGAAATTTCAAAAAACAAAAAACCAAACATTGAAAGGATGCAAAAATCTCAGGGCATTTTGTAGAAAACCAACTTTATGAATAAAATGTTTGTAAAGCATTTCTTCTGAAAGATATGTTAATGGAAACAAAATGGTCAGAAATTATATATTTTGTATTGAATGAGATTTCACTGTTTATTTATAAAAAGTGTAAAAACTACTATGAATTAATTTCACAAAATGCAACATTTCTGAGGATCCTCCCCAGTTATTTTTCAGGATTATGCTCAACTTTAGGTTCTCCCACTTCTGTATTCTGAAACAGATCTGCAGCAAAATTTGCAACGTGATGTGCTCCCTGTTCAAGATCCAGCTGTCACGTTCCTTAGCCACACCATTTTTATTTTTATTTTTTAACTCTCACCAGCCAGTCAGCATGCTGTGGCCACTGAACATTTGAGCATCTTTTGAATCCTTCCCGACTTCTTCTTAAATATGTTTTCTTCTTCTGCAGACCCCTATACCTGCTGATACATTCCCAGTTTGCGTGTGGGCAGTGCCATTTTTGCTTTATAAGAAGCTGCACTCATTTCCTGAACATCAGAAATAGGGGGAATGGTGCTTCTTCTAAGAAGCTCAAGGCATTTTTAGTACATGCAAAAATTCTGTTGAACACCACCACTGAACTTAAAGTGCAAACATAGCCATTCTCAGAAATAAACCCCACTGAGTTCAATGAATTTACTTGCTGGCAGGGTATAGATTTGATTCAGTTCTCATTTAAAGCCAAATTTATCAAAGCAAGAACTGGAATACAGCAATCCTTTGAAATTCACATGTATCTGAATCTGCAATGCAGTTTTCCAAGCAGTGCTTACAAAAATGCATGTACCAGTATATAATTTAGGCAAAAGTGTGCATAAAAAACACTAAAATGCGAAAGGATTTGCATGACTTTTTTTTTATGCAGACTGTTGCAGAAATGTGGAGAACAGAATCTAAGATTTGAAAAATGAGAAACAGAATACCAAACTGAGAGACACTACTTCCTGGTCTATATGGGACAGGAGCTTTAGCTAACCATGCATGCTTCTAGTATGGAAGACCATCAACTAAATGAATGCATATACATTTTTGTTCATTTTTTAATCAGTTCTCTGCAAAACTAAATTGCTGATATGTATTAATTTCTGCTATTACTAAAATTTATGGCATCCTAAAAAGATGTCGGTAATATTTTCAAATGATGCTCTCCCCTTTTTTGTAATTAGAGGGCAAGCTTTTAGATGCCCATGGCAAAACTGCCTATATGCATCTTACTCTTATGCTCCAACAGAGATATTTTTTCTTCACAGCCAACACATTATATTTACATATCAAATCAGTCAGTTTCTTTAAAAAAATCAATTCTTACAAGCAAGTACATGAATTTGCACTTTGATTATCATCTAAAGGACAGGTTCAGCTGAAATGCACTATCACTCTCAGGGATGAATTTAAACAGTAATGTTCAAAGGGTGTAACCCATTTGTATGTGTATATGTTATATTTTCAATTATGTTAAACAATAAATTCTGTTTAAATTATGGCATGCCTTACCTCAGTTTGGTTTGGGACCAGCATGATCTTATGATCAGCTTCTAACACCATGAAATTGCCCCGCCCAGCTCCTACCTTTGCACATTCGACTAGGTCAGCTTCAACTTCGGCCGCCTTTATGGCCAATGCTCCATTAGTGGAGATTTGTAGGGCAGCCACTTGGTTGTCTCCCTCCACTTTCACAAGACATTATTAGATCAAATGTTTTCAGCTGAAGCGGCTTTTAGCCGCACGGTATTACTTCAGGTCTTGTAATCAGTGCGCCAGCTGTGTGGACTCACCCAGCTGTTGGGAAGTGCTGCGGTATGTCCCAATCCACTGGCCTTCCCTAAGATGGTCTGATTTCTATTTTTTAGAGGGGGTTCTATCTCTTCTGCTTTTTAATTGGTTTATGAGCTGGGAGGGAGGCAGGCTAATATTCCATTTTCAGGTGCTTCGGTGTATGGTTTAGGGAAGTTTTTAATGTTTAATGCTGTTTTGTGTTTTTAAGATTTGGTTGGGAGCTGCCCAGATGTAAATGATATATTATTATTATTATTATTATTATTATTATTATTATTATGCTGTTTGGCAAGTCCAAAAAAACTGAGCAAGTGCCTGCCTTCCACAAGTCTTTGCTCCTGCCTGCGGTCATGTGAGAGGACTCACCCAGTCCACTGTCCCCAGCATCCCACTCCTAAATCTACACTTCAGGTAAGCCAATTGTTCTTTTCAAAACTGTTAAGATGCACGAAGAGAGAGAGACCATTTTCTAGAATGCGTTACCTGTATTTTTGCACAACACAATAAATCCGATTCTTACTGAAAACTTCAGGCAGAGCTTATAAAACTTAGGCATTCTATTGATACCAAAGGGATCTTTATGTGCTTGCTCTCCAGTTGAAAGCCATAGTACCCAAAAGCAAATGAATTGAAGAGCTCTGCCAGATGATGTCAGAGGCTCATCTAGTCTCCAGCATCTTATTTTTACAATGGCCAACCTGATACCTATGGGAAGCCCTTAAGCGGGAATTGAGTACAACAGCACCCCCACCTGTGATTCCTAGTAACTGGTATTCACAGGCATATGTTACCTCTGACAGTGGAGGTAGGACATAGCCATCATGGCTGGCAGCTACTGAATGTCGGACCCTCCATGAATTTGTCCATCCACATTGGTTGCCATCACTGCATCTTGGGGTAGCAAACACAAGGAACTAGTTTCCCCCCCTGTCCAGTGTTTTCCTATCAGCTTAATAGAACTTTAGCTGTATTGTGCCCAAGAGATACATGGAGCTCAGCTAGCATTGATGTACGTGTGTGTTTTTACAGTGAAGTCAAACTTTGCTTTTCTGTTATTGCTTCCTGAGTTTCAGTCTTCACTGATTTATTAGCAGTGCTATGCTACTACACCTAAAGTCAATATTTGAACTCCCTTTATGAGAAAAGAACCCTAGAAGCTAGCAAGCAAGCAAGCAAAAAATACTGTATCACACAACTGTATGTTTGGCCACTGTTGAAGGATTTTGACCTTTTTACTTTGAAAGTTGGTAGTGATCTTTGCACAAGACATTATGCAATCGTTTTGTATTATGTCTAGGTATATAGACATATACTCTATTCCTGGATCTACTCCACTGTTTCAAACCCTTTGTAATACGGGGCTACACATTTTTCCTCTAGACATTCCTAAAATGGAAGTCAATAGAAACCATTCAATTTGTTTTTTGTTGCAGTGGCTTTAACTAGTTAATAGTTGTAGTGGTGTCTTATTTTCGAGTACAGTGATATTGTTATATCACCCAGAAGACAGTACATAACAGAGGCCACTCAAGTTTCCTCAAACCCAAACCGGAGTCTAATTTTACATTTTACCAAAATAAATAAATAATATTCTGTTGTTGTCCCCAATGCTTCTGTTCATCCTCCCAAATGTCTATTTAATTTACAGCTTCAAAACAGCATCCAACTATCTGAGCAATAAACTGAACACAGATTTAAAACAGAACCAACAATTAATTGCACCCCATGAGCTTGATTTTTTTTGCGTAATTGTAGCCAGAACATTTTAGCTTTCTTAATTCTTTTCTACACCTATTAGCAACCACTGAGTGAAGATATGCCCCGTATGTATTCTGCACTAAAAATAAAATTAAGAAATTCCTCCCCCACATCATTACACTCCTCCCCAACCAACAAATGTTTGAAAATAGTTTTGTCACTTTCTTTTTTTGGAGAATTTATCATGCAATTTTTTACTCACTCTGTTTTTTAATATATAATTTAAAAAATAGTTTTCCAATATACCCCCAATAATAGCCAAATTATAACAATAACAGTTTATTGATTCTTGTTTTACAAATCATAGTGAATGGCAAGGAGCAATACAGGGAGGTTGCATCGCCAACTACTGGAAATTTCCCCCCACTCACATGTCTCTTCTGAATTTCAACTGATGTGACCTTAGCAGAAAGGACTGCTGCTTGCACTTGGTGTGTGTTGGGGAGATGGGTGAAAATTGGGTGTCCCAACATGCACAACTAGAAGTGCTTTCCACTAAAGCAAAGCCACCATTGGATGTGACCCTTGAAAAGCAAAGAAAACTTACCTTATGGAGGAGAGAGATATGACGACTCAGGCCAAACTAACTCTAGCTGTTCCCTGCTTTGCTAAATGCCAACAAAATGGAGAATCAGGTATTTCCCTCATAACCAACAGAACCTTATATAACACTCTTAACAAATTGCCTATGTGCATTTTGGTGCCTCTGAGTTAATGACAAATATGCTCAAACTGTATGTCTTTAAATCCAGAAGCTTTTACCTGTTTACTCATCTTCCTCTAGCATCAAACTAAAGGAACAAGGAGCAGACCTTTTACACTAGTGGTGCCCTCACTATAGAACTGTCTTCCCAGCAAAGCCTTGCAAGGCCAGTTCTCTTTTAGGGTGGCTAAACAATGCTTTCTTCTCTCCCCCCCTCCAAAGATAAATGGTAATTTATGCTCAAACTGAATTTTAAATTGCTTTTCCGTTTGCCATTTCTCTAATTTTCATAATTTGTTTTAATGCTATTCTTATTTGTCTTTCATTGTTGTAATCTGCCGTCAGGTTCATAGTTTAGTTGAAAAGTTAGAAATTAAGGTTGTAGCCAACTACCGTATTTTTCGCCCTATAGGACGTACTTTTCCCCCTCCAAAAAGGGGGAATCTGTGTGCGTCCTATGGGGCGAATACAGGCTTTCGCTGAAGCTTGGAGAGCAAGAGGGGTCGGTGCACACCGACTCCTCTCGCTCTCCAGGCTTCAGGAAGCTATCAGCAAGCCTGGGGAGCCCACGGGAGTTCCCGCAGGGCTCCCTAGGCTGCGGATAGCAGCCTGCCGCCCGGTGCGCGGGGCGCCCTGAAGCAGAGCGCCCCAAGCGCCGGGCAGACACCCGCAGCGTGGGGAGCCCTGCGGGAACTCCCGCGGGCTCCCCAGGCTTGCTGATAGCTTCCTGAAGCCTGGAGAGCGAGAGGGGTCGGTGCGCTCTCCAAGCTTCAGCGAAAGCCTGTATTCTCCCCATAGGATGCACGCAGACATCGGCAGACATCGGCCAGCCCCACAAGCTCGGGGGACAGCGAGGAGGCGCAGCGCCGCCATCCCGCTGTTCCCCGGCCTGGTTTTTCCTTTATTTTCCCCAAACTAGGTGCGTCCTATGGGGCGGAGCGTCCTATGGGACGAAAAATACGGCAAGTCCTAAATCCATTGAAATTAATGGACCTAAGTTAGTCATGCCCATTCAATTTAATGGATTTGCTTGGAGTAGAACTAACATTGGATAGAAGATTATATGTATCTCACCCAATGGCAGGAAACAGGATTCACCCTGTGTGATTCAGTCACAGATGAAGCCTTTGATGGTGAGATGAAGGCCAAGGCACCTGTCCTATTCAGTTTCCTTTCCTAGTACAACTAACCTAATTAAGTTGCCACCAGTCAAACAGCTGTAATGCAATCTTGCAAGCAGATAATTACTTTGGCAAAATCTGGAGCCACTGCCAGCACCTGGACTCCTGCTCAGAACTTCCCATTATAAATTTTCTGTTCCTTTTAAATTGGTGCACTGTGCAAAAAGTTGTTCCTTTTTGTTGAACTTTTCCTGCGTCTTCTAACAGCAGCACAAGACACAGAAATTAAACATAACAGGAGTTTCCCCTAGCATAGAGTGACGGAAACATTTTTTCAGTCTAGTTTTATAAAACTGGAAGCCACTTCTTGTGTGATAGATAGCATCTTCAGTGTGTTCTGTATGTCCTGTACATATTTTCTTTTTTTGGAGGGGCAGGGGAGTTTACCTTGGAGATTAATAAGAATTAACTAGCTCAGAAAAAGACATTAAGCGTTGGAAGATACTAGTAGCAGCTGCACAGTGCTGGTGTCTTGTTTCAGCTATTCATCCATTATGCCAGCCTTTCCCAATCTAGCCGGAGTTGATGGGAATGGTTGTCAAAAGCATCTGAAGGTCACTAGGTTGATTAAAGCTCCATTATGCACAGGAGCGACATACAAAAGCAGCCCACTCTGTGTTGTAGCATATGTGTGTGTGTTTATCTGCTACATCGGGTGTCCAAAAAATCCAAGAGTTTTAGTAACACACTAGCAAGTCACCTAGTACCATAGCTCCGTACATTTCCAACATATACAGAATAGCAAAAGGAGATGCTGTGCTTTTAATAAATGTTCCCCTAATGAGCTCAACTGAAGAGTTTATTTAAGGATGTTGTTTTTGTTCCAGATTCTTCCAGGTGTCACATTTGTCACATCAGTTGCAGGCTAATGTCCTCTCTGCTTGATAAACCATCACTTGTGGGTGTCATCATGCCAGTTGATCATAGTATCATGAGCTCATGGTGAGGCAGCTCTGGTTAATTCCCCCCCATACACAGAAAAAGCAACAGTGATTTAAAATGCAGTTATTCATCGTGCTGAATTTTTAAATGGACAAGGCTGCCACATGGTATTCAATAAATATGGCTCCATTGAAAGCTAATCTAATGTTGCACCTGCCAGATAAATAAGATGCCAGATCTTAAATTCAAAAGCAGTCGGCTTCCTTGCGCAATAGGATGCAAGGTTTTATGCTACATACTGCTCTCTTAAATTTTGCTAAAACTGAACGGATTCCCCAAGATGCAGTATTAGACTTTTGCGTCAAAAACCACTCCCATGTATCCTTGAATTCAACTCCAGTGATGTTTGTAATAGCAGTCAACCGTGACAACCAAGCAAGCAAACTATACTTCCTCCAAGTATAGATTTGGCTAACAATTTTACTTCCAAAACGCGATCCCAAATCTGATTGTATCCAACTAAGTTATACAGATGGCAGCCATTTTGTGTGGTGGTTCCATTCCCAGCCCCCGCACACATTGGCAGTGTATAAGCATGCCCCACCCCATTACACCCTGCCCACGTTCTGCCCTCTTCTGGGTCCAAAAGGACCTGTGGTCACCATCTGTACTCAGAATAGACCCATAGAAATTTATGGACTTAAGTTTGTTGTTTAGTCGTTTAGTCATGTCCGACTCTTCGTGACCCCATGGACCAGAGCACGCCAGGCACTCCTGTCTTTCACTGCCTCCAGCAGTTTGGTCAGACTCATGCTGGTAGCTTCGAGAACACTGCCCAACTTAAGTTAGTCATGCCTATTAATTTCAATCAGTCTACACCAGGGTTTCCCAAACTTGGGTCTCCAGCTGTTTTGGGACTACAACTCCCATCATCCCTAGCTAGCAGGACCAGTGGTCAGGGATGGTGGGAACTTGTAGTTCAAAAAGAGCTGGAGACAAAAAATAGGGAAACACTGGTCTACACTGATTTAACATTGACTACAACTGTATTGCATTATCATGTTTTAAATAGAGAGAATAGGAGTTTAACATCCAAAGAATGTATTCAAAACAGTGACAGGAGGAGTGCTTATTCTTACCACCACAGCATGGATAATTAATGTAACGTTTTTACAATGCATTTTATGCCAGTAGTATGGCTGTATAAAATTAGAAGAAGCCAAGTAGGTAAGTGGATAGGTTAGGATGTCCTTGGTAGTCTTTCAACATATTGTGCTTTCTTCTGTTACAGTTTAGTAATAATGAATCTCTTTTAGGCTTTTATGAATGCAGGATATATTAATTTAATATTGGAGGTACCCTTCCCCTCCCCCTCCCCCGTGCCACTAGTGAGAAACTTTTTAAGGCTGGTCATATACATTTGGCTTGATTGGTCACAGGTTTTACAGGTCTGAATGATTCATTACAGATACACTTGACAATTTAAAAAATAATAATCACAGAACTTGGCATATTTCTTATTTATCTATCATACATTGTTTGGCGATTGCCGTTTTGTGGATATTTGCAATATTTCATGTTGCCATGGTCACAGCACATAGTAGTGAACAGGTTCCAATGACCCAAAGACAGTTATGAGCTGCAGTTCTCCAGAAACTTTAATTCAGAGCTATTATTAAGAAAGAACAATGTGCTGAATACAGTGAAAGGACACTACAGTCAGCAAACATAGCCTTGCCCTGTTGGGAATGGATGTATCCACTGGTATATTGACCTTAGTCAAAGCAGCCTTGCATGGGCAGCCACAAACACCACCTCGGGCAGATAACATCACCTCTCCCGCAATGCTTTTCAAGTCACGTCAGTTTATCATGGAGTGTAGGGATGGAAACAAAACTGTCGCAGGTGTATGATCCAGGTATTAAGTGCTGGTTTCAGTGGGTCCAACAAATGAGCAAGTGAACTCCAGATAGGACCTAGGTTGCAATGCTAAACATACTGAAATGGGAGCAAGCCCCGCTGGACCCAGCGAGATTTCTCATACATCGAAGGGTTGCTCATGTTCTCTTGATGATGTACATAAAGCCCAGTTTGATTTATATCCATAAAATACATCACATGTACAGTTATTGAGATGAGCAGACTTTCAGAGAGTAGATGGCTACATTGCACCTCATGACAATAACATTTAAATTATGTGTGTGTGTATGCAAAACATTTTATTTATTATCTAGCATTCAGTTTTCATTTGTCACAAGGTAGTCATTTTAATGGCACTTCGAGAAAGAAGAGTTTGCCTCATAAGCTACACACGCTGAAACTTGATTTCAAAAAAGGCAGAATTTTTTTCTGGAAACAAATTAGAACCAAGTCATTTAAAGCCAATAACATATTCGCCTTAGGTTTCACTTCTTATTGTTCACATGGCTTATTCTGGTCAAGTCTATCTCTAGGACTTCAGCTATTTTATGCACAGAAATCTGATAAGCATATACGTACATGAAATAAGTATAAGGACACCCTTTAACATTTATCTCTCTAGCATTCTATTTCCAGTGGGCAGCCTGATGATTTTGAGTGCTCACAAAGCAGGGCATGAAAATGATAGCAAGAGAGATATTCCTCCTCCATACAGAGAGTTCCAGTTTAGTTACCATGGATAAGCACACGAGAAGCACACTCCATGAATGTTTTCCTCAGCAGAGAGATTCTGCCACTGAAATGCCTCAAGGGTTTGAAAACATTTTTCAGTTACATGTGAAAATAAACATGCAAACAAGAGAACCATTTAGATACAGAGAGCAGCAAAGCAACTCCGTCTAAAGAACTTTAGGCTGCATGTTGCTCCTATTCACCAACTATGCCCGTGCTGATGAATCGGTGTCTAGGTAGGTAGATTCTATGGCACAGTGACATCTAGGCCACACTGCACCAAGCACCACATGTATTAGGCAGTTTCTACTCATTTTTCTTTCTGCTCAATCATGTATTCATAGAAGAACCAGGCAACCATGCCTTAAAACGGGTGGGCAAGGTTTACCTGGGCTGGTTCACTCCAGTGGAGATCCCTCTGTGGGCCAGATGGCACGTGCGCCTGCGATTTCCAGTGTCTGCGCCTGTGCAGATGTGATTTCCGGCGTCCGCGCAGACACGATTTCCAGTGCCGTGGAAGCGAGTCCTCGGCGGAGACTTGCCGGGTGGGCAGCTCAGTTCGGGGGTGACTCATGGGCTGGTTAAACGACCCCCGTGGGTCGCTTGTGGCCCATGGACCCTTAGGCTGCCGACCCCTGCCTTAAAATGTGAGAAAAGCATCTAGATTCATGCCTTGACCAAGACATAGATAGAAAGGTCCAGATGTTGCAGACTAGGTTGCTGAATTCACATACAAGGGGGAGAGCAGTTATGGATGACACCCTAGCAACACATGTTCAAGGGTCAGAGGAGTGACCCAATGCAAGCAGCTACCATGTCCAATTTGTAGTTTGGGGGCATTTTTCCACGTGCAGTTCTTCTGTGACACTTTTGGCTGTGAAGCAGATATTGATTTGTATTTGAAGAGTTTGCTGTTTGACCTAGTTTTCCTAGAGTTCTGTCATCAATTTAGGCATAACGATCAAGGTGGGCATCTTTAAACATTGAGGAAAATAGTAGTAAGCAGCCCTTTGTAAAGCTTTGACTTGTCTTACACACAGCGGCTGAAGAAACCAAACAGACCCCATTTCTGTTTCGTTTCAAAACCATGGCAGTCGTAAAATAATTACACATTTTTATTAAGCAGTATTTCAATGGGTTTTTATTATTATTAAACCTCTCTCCTCTTGCAGTTTTCTCATGTTATTCGTCATTAAAAATAAATGATTCTTCAAAGCCCAAGGGGAGTGGAAATCTTCCACGGTTGCCGGAAGAGAAATTGTAACAATGATTTATTAGCAGCCAACTTTTTCTGAAGTTGTTAGAATGCATTGTAGTTTACAGGATTAAAAAGAAGAAGAAAAGAATGGTGTGGTTTCACCATTTAAAAAATAAAGTACCTATAAAAATGTAAATGAAATTTGGGTACAGCATACAGAACCAAGTGATTCCGAAGTACAAGGTTTTTTGCATGACCAGGCCCAGCTTTCACCAAAATGATTTTTACAACCCCCGCTCCCAAATCTAGCAGTGGATATCCTTATAGGCAGCTGATGGAGATCTTCAGGTGTGCAATGCAACACTCATCTTGTTCCCTAATGAGTGTAATGGATCTAACGGATATATATGAGAATACACACCACCATCTTGAGACCACTTGCCACATGCTAGAGCTAATTTATTCTGCTTGCTGTGAGGAAATAAAAGGACAAGTCATTGTCCACCAGTACTTCACATGTTACTGCATTAATATAACATAGATATTAAATTGCCACTGTAGGATTATTCAAGTTTGTATATGGCGGGGTCCTTCCTGGACTGCAGGCACTTCAGACTGCAGGCAGAGCATTCAAACATGTGATTCACCCGGATCCTACAATTTGAAGCTGTATAATGGCTGTGCTGTCATGTGTTATTCCTGCAGGCTTAAAATCTGTTTCAAGTTTCTGTACTTTCTGAGCATGTAGAAAGTGTAGCAATAGGTAGACCATCCAATCTTGCCATTTTATTTGGATTCTTGCCTCTTATTGCTCTGTTGTTGTTGTTGTTGTTTTGGGGGGAATGTAGACTTTGGGCCAACCAGTTGGCTCATCTTTGGCTAGGCTGCGACATAAATCTCCTAAAGACCCACACTTTGCAAGAGAGATCTACCCATCTGAGAAATTTCTGGTCCTTTCATATCCTAGACTAAAATAAAAATAATTGCGCTGGCCCTTCCTCAAACATGTTTGAGAAAAAAGAAGAAAATAATAAAAATAATTGCAAGGATGCCCTAAAAGTCTTACTCATACATTGAAAATCTCTCACCAGAAGAGGGCAGGCAAAAAGTAATACACCTCTTTTCCTCCCAATCCTAATGCATTCCAGTAGTGCCAAAATCCAGAAATGAAAATGTTTAAAATAATTATTCAAAGATCTAGGTTTTCCCAATCCCGTTACATTTCTATGACCATTTTTTTTTTATTGGCAGTACACAGGAACATTTTTTTTTTCAGCTGAGTTGTAGGACTGAAGACTCTTCCCTCCCCACCCCCACCCCTTTTTAACCATTTAAACCATAGGCAATTAAGGCAAAAGCATGAGATACCACTTTCAAAAGATCTGGTAGCACAAATCTCTTAATCATTCCATCCGTAAACACTATGGCTGGATCCTGGAACAGGAGCTTCATTTGCGAGGTTGGTGGATGTGTTGGTTGACATGTTGTGCGGGAGGATGCTTTTCCACAGAGGGATGCGGTTTCTGATGAGCCACCTGGGCTGCAGCTGGAGGGAAGTCTTTATCACCCTGATTAAAAAAACAAACACATCAGAATGAAAAGAAAAAGAAAAAGAGAGAACACCTGTCTCATCTGCAAGTTGTGTGTGTGTTTGCTCCAGCCTGACATGCCAGAATGTCAGAGATTCTTACAAACTGTTTCTTGGGCTACAGAATATGAGCTTGTGGTTCATATAAGCTTGCCCATTTCACAATATAAACATTTACCTGTTGTTGAAATGACCATGGTGTATACAAACTGCAGCTGACCAGATCAGTTAAAATGAGCTGCTCTACAGGAATCTAGGAAATTGGCTTAAAATGCAGGTTTTGCACATTTTACTACTTATGAAACAAATGGCTGCATAACTTGGCAAGCTAATGTGTGTGAATTTGCAGTATCACAACGAGAGCTTCCTGGTAGCTGTATCACTGCTGCCCACCAAGTGTGGGAAGACGGTGGCAAAGTCTCCCCATGGTATCCATTTTGTGACTGGTGCCCATAATCTTTCTCTAAATTCAAAATGTACATGCCGTTCCAAAATGGTATGAATAAGGCCATATTCTGCACTATAAAGTGGACAGCAACTAGCCCTTTTCTGACACACACACACACACACACACACACACACAGTTAAAAGATGCACTTCATGCAGGAGCAATTTGGGTACCGTATTTTTCTCTCCATAAGACGCACCTAGTTTTTATAGAGGGGGGAAGCAAGAAAAAAAATATTCTGCACAGAGCACGTAAGCGGCTCTCGCTTTTCTTGCTTTAAACCCTTCCGTCCCTCCTCCTGCTTCGCTGAGAAGCCAGCAGAGCAAGAGCGATAGCTGCGCAGCAGCTCTTGTTCTGCTGGCTTCCCAGCAAAGCGGGATGAGGGAAGAAAGGGAGCGCTGAGCAGAGCCTGGCAGCGGCTCTTGCTGGCTTTTCCGGGAGGCGTGGGAAGGGAAAGAGGGCAGCCAGTCAGTCCCTTCTCCCACCTCACAGAAAAGCCCCCAAGAGCCTGTATGCATCCCAGATGTGAATGCAGGTGGGAGGCTCTGCTCAGCGCTCCCTTTAAAGAGCCGCGCGGAGTGTGTGTGCGGCTCTTGCTGGCTTTTTCCCGAGGAGGGAGAAGGGCGGCTTGTTAGTCCCTTCTCCTTCCTTGGGGAAAAGCTCCACGCAGCTCTTTAAAAGGAGCGCTGAGCAGAGCCTCCCGCCTGCATTCACTCCATAAGACGCGCACACACATTTCCCCATACTTTTTAGGAGGGAGAAAGTGCGTCTTATGGAGCGAAAAATACGGTAATTTCTCCATTCCTTTTCCTTTTTGGGTTTTGTCTATCAGACTATGCGCCTGTGGTCAGCAGCTGTCTTACCTTTCAATCTTTGTACGGCACTTAATATATTAGGGACTTTATGTGTGAATGATAAATTAAAAATGAGAAGGGGAGACATCAGATCAAAACCAAAAGCAAGTTGAAATTCACAAGAAACTGGCAAAGCTTGCCTTGATTTTAAAACAGTTGAAAATTAACAAAGATGGAAACTCACCCTTGCAATGACTCCAGAAATGAACACAGTTGGTTTAGGTGGACTGGAAAATTAAAGAGGAATATTTAGCTATATAACTGAACAGTGCCATTTGATAAAGCCAGAGGGCAAAAAGCCACAACAGATAATTCCAAAGACTTTATTACTCAGACTTTATAATCAATTCAAACAAACACAGCCAGAGACACTCTTGGAAACTAACATTCTCATAGCAATCTCCATGAATTATCTATCCTTGCTGTACTAGTTAATGTACCAGAGGTGCAAACATGGTGGAGTTTGGAAGATTTATTCTTAGATGTTCCAGATTCAAAATTAAGTAACGCAGAGAGAATAAAAATGGAGCCCCAAATAAGCAATATGACAAGGCAACAACGGGTCCTTCAGTCTACGTTCTCTGGGGTTCAAGTCATCCTCTCCTTTTCTTTGATTGGTACAATGGGTGGTGGAGAGCTTGTAAGAGGGCTGTGGAAGGAGTGGGTGGGTGGAAGGAACTAGGACTACCTTATCATTTGCTTTAATGGGAGTTTAAAATGTGCTGTGGCCAGAATGCAAAGCAGTAATCCAGTTGGGTCAAGTTTTGGTAGCACAGTAAACATAAGACAAATAATATTAAATCAGCCTTTAAGGCAGCATCAAAATCCAGGAAACCTAGCTATGACATTTCTGGGAAGGATATTTGATTTACAAACTTTTCAAATTTGTGTTAAGCACTTAAACACACATGACAGTAAGAAAAAATGAATAGCAAACAACGTGTTAATAAAACATGAAATCTAGTTTCTGCACAGTATTTGCTTGCCATGACATTTTCTGAAAGGCTTCATAATGGCAAATTTGAACTTGAATGATTTCCTCACATATTCTCCCTATGACCTTTCAATTTTCACTGTTCTCCGTCAAACCATGAAATTTTGGAGCAGCATTTTTTTTTGAGAAGCACTTGCAGCCACCAGATTTATCCACCGGCGCTGCTCAAAGAAGATGTTTGTAATGAAGCCCCTTGGGTCAAAGAAGTATGGGCTGGTTCTCTCTCTGAGACAACTTAGGAGACTTCCACGTGAAAGCCGTTTCAATCTAAGGGCAACCTCTCAGGAAATGGAGGCAAAAAACCAAACCAAGAGCACATGATTCTACCTCAAGTTGGCTCAGCTGGAAAAAACAAAGCTGGAAAAAGCCATCTCTGACAACCAACTGGTGCCCTCCTTTGTGGTCATGAAGGTGTTTTTGAGTCAGTGGATGCCTCCGCTAATGGAAGAGAAAAAGTGACTTTTCCGAATCCCTTTGCTGCCTCAAAAAATCAGATCCAGAGAGTGGAGGAAGCTCCACATCAGAGTGGAAGTTGGCAAGAGGAGCTTGCAGACAGAATGGCAGATTGACCAAAATAAATAAATAAATAAATCACCTGCCCTTCTATTAGTGGTAAAGGTAAAGGGACCCCTTCCATTAGGTCCAGTCGTGACCGACTCTGGGGTTGCGGTGCTCATCTCGCTTTATTGGCCGAGGGAGCCGGCATACAGCTTCCGGGTCATGTGGCAAGCATGACTAAGCCGCTTCTGGCGAACCAGAGCAGCGCACGGAAACGCTGCTTACCTTACCGCCGGAGCGGTACCTATTTATCTACTTGCACTTTGAGGTGCTTTCGAACTGCTAGGTGGGAAGGAGCACGGACTGAGCAACGGGAGCTCACCCCGTCACGGGGATTCGAACCGCCGACCTTCTGATCGGCAAGTCCTAGGCTCTGTGATTTAACCCACAGCGCCACCCACACCCCTTTTATTAGTGGAGACACTGCTAAATCAAAAGCTCTACCATAAGTGCAAGGTCACCAATTGGATTCCACTCCCTGATATAATTTACTTCCCATGTGTCAGAGCCAGGCTGGGGCCATGACTTATTGGACCTGCATACAGGTCTGGAATGTGTGTCTCCAAGCAAGTGTCTGAGATGAGTTACTGGAAGTGAAGGCTAGATGACGCTTGCTTGCTCTGTTCAATTTTTTTTTTTGGGGGGGGGGGCGGACACACAGGTGACTAGTATTTATACCAGGCCTAGTCTTTCCAGAGCCTTCATATTACCATCCAATTATAGGGGCCAATATTGCACATCTGTATTTCCTGAAGAAATCAGAGTCTGATTTCTGGTGCAAGACACCAATTCCCTGATTTCGCGATATTTACAGCATCCTGACATCAGCAACGCTGCCATCTCTCCACAAATAGCTGCTAAAAATAGAAAGGGATAGAGAAATCCTGACAGCAGTCTCCCCTCCTCCTCCTCCTCCAATCCTCCAGAGAAATGGAAGGGAGGAGGAAACAGGGTTTCATTCTTTCAATTGCTTTGCATTCTGCTGGCGTTTCACGCATAGTGTAACCTACATTTCTAGTATTTTGTAAGCTATAAATGGCTGCTTTGAGGATATATTTAATCTGATGAAAACCAGTTTGACAGATGTTGTTTTGAAGATACAGCACACCATACCTTTCTCTCTAGGCTTTCGTAAATAAATTTTAAAAAGGACTGCCTCCTTTAATGTAGGGAACGCTTGTTTTTAACAAATGCATTTAGCGAATATAAATAGATGCAATTTAAAAATAATAATGAAAACGAAGAAGTGCCACTATAAAACCTAAACTTTCAGAGAGAATATTCTCATTTCAAAACATCATAACATATGGGAAGAAATCCAACACCTGCTTATGATGAAATGTTTGAAGCACTCGGTGCTTCTATTAAGAAATGCACCTGCTGAACATCAATATCTTCAAGGAGTTCATTTATTCTTAATCCTATAATATGGAATTCTAATATTTCATAATACTAAAGCTTAAACAAGGCAGATATTGACATTGCGGAGAACTCACACAGAAGACTGATTAGTTGAAAAGGCCACTAAACCAGTGAAATGAAATATGAGGAATACTAAAAAGTGTTTTTGCCTTCATCGTGTAAGATTTGAGGTCTTTAGTTTCATTATTATTCATTATTATTGTTACAGCGCTTCCATCTCACTTTATAAAGTACTCACACACCACTCTGAAGTCTGTTCAAAGTAATTCACATACATCATTGCAGTAATCTTTACAGCAACTATACGGTAAAGGTACCCCTGACAATTATGTCCAGTCGCGACCGGCTCTGGGGTTGCAGCGCTCATCTCGCTTTATTGGCCGAGGGAGCTGGCGTTTGTCCACTTCCGCAGACAGTTTTTCCGGGTCATGTGGCCAGCATGACTAAGCCACTTCTGGTGAAACCAGAGCAGCGCACGGAAACACAGTTTACCTTCCCGCTGGAGCGGTACCTATTTATCTACTTGTACTGGTATGCTTTCAAACTGCTAGGTTGGCAGGAGCTGGGACCGAACAATGGGAGCGCACCCCGCCGCGGGGATTCGAAGCGCCGACCTTTTGATCGGCGAGCCCAAGCGGCACAGTGGTTTAACCCACAGCGCCACCCGCATCCCCAACTATACGGTAGGCCAGTATTATGTGCTTCTACATTCTCTATGAGGCACTGTTATTTTGATGTGGAATGGGGTGTCTGGAAATGCTATGTCCCAAAATAAGCAAGAGTGTGGGTTCGCAGATCTCCATGGAATTCAGGGAAGAAGGACAAAATTGTTAATTATTATTATTTTTTAAATAGTATGTGCAAATTACTTAGGGAAATAACCCATTGCTCATACCTTTGTGGAAAACAGATAGTGGCTCAGATGAAAATACTTTTAAAAAGAGAGAGTTCAAAAAGCACAGGGGAACGGTCAACTATTTTTTTTAAAAAAATATGGATTTCCCCTGACCTGAGGGAATGTAATAAAAACCACCTAGTTGCTTTGATAAATCTGTAAGGAGGCACCAATCCTATAGGGTCCAAAGGGTGACTCTAGCAGGGGGTTTCTTCAGCTTTTTTCTGCTCAACCTTCATTCTATTGTTTTCAATATTTCACCTGATCAACGCGACTTTTCTAACGAGTGGTCCTGAAGGTAAAACAGGTTTGAAATGCTTTGCTGCCACTTCCTGATAATTTGCTTCTCACATATCAAATTCTTCGCTAGCAGATCGGCACAGAATCAAAGAATTCCAAAACACTTCGCAAGAGGGAGGGTTTTTTTTGCCTGGCAAGGCTGAAAATGTGCAAGGATTTCCACAAGATGGCACTGCTGAGCCTCCAAACTTCGCAGAGAGGCAAAAAGCAAACTTAAAAAGACAAGCTGATCCTTTCTTCCTCTTAATTTTAGAACACAGAGTTGCAAATAATGTAATTCTTTGCAATGGGGGGAGGACAACGCACGCTCGTACATACGTTTAATTCATAAAGATGTCAATTGGAGAGTTCAATGAATCTCCTCCAAGGAGCTCATGGTGATACACACAAGATTTCTCATCTTAAATTCAGAACAGCCCTGAGAAGTAGGCTGGACCAAAGTCCCATTTATAGGTTATGGACAGTTATGGACATAAAGCATAAAAGGACAGCAGAACTACCAATGCCACCGAGCAGAAAGTTATGAAAGGATTTTTCATGCAAGGTTCCTGCCTGCAGGGAGAAGTCTATGTGGGTTTGCCACAACGTCGTCCCCCCAAAAATTCCCATCAGTATTTCCAGCTCAATGTGGAAATGCAGGGATACTGGGGCAGGGCCACCAGTTGCAGCCCAATACCCCTTTTGCATTTCATGGTCACACATGGTCTTTGAATGAAGGAACAGAGCTTCTGAGACTGGGTGAGTGGGCATTGGAATACAGTGGACCCTTGGGTTATGTTACCTTTGGGTAAGGTAACTTCCGGGTTGCAAACGCGGCAAACCGGAAATGTATACTTCCAGGTTTCGCCGTGCATGTATGCAGAAGCGGTGCCTCATGTTGCGGACTTACTGGGGTACATAAGGAGCCCTGGAACGAATTAAGTTCGTATCTGGAGGGTCCACTGTAATTCTTTATTTTTTCTAGTACAAGTCTAACACTCCATGCATTATATTGCACAAGCTTTCATATTCGCACAAATAAAGACGTAGCTATACAGAAACAGTCTCTCAACAATAACTATTTACAAACTGATTTTATAAAACTTCTTAGAGTTAAGTCTTTATGTGCTTTGCTCTAACTTAAAAAAAAAAATCAGTCATATGGAAATGAGTCATTGATCCATTTTTCTCAAGCCCACCTCTTAATTCGGATCCTGCGAGGACAATAACCAGACGGAATTTCCAGGTGTCAAGTAGCGATTAGTTTTCCTTTTGTCCAGGGGGCACCAACCATTTTGGGCACACATCTCGAATCCTGCAAAAGTGCTATTGGTGCCAGTCACAAAATGGCTATAGTGAGATGTGTGGCACAACACAAAATGGCTGTCTCATTTAAATGAGAAGAATAATAGGACCAAAAAATGCTCTGGGCATCAACTGCCCCAGCAATGGCGGGGAAAGTACCAATATCAACCACAACCACTCACAAAGGGAAACTCTTTCTACGTCTCCTTTGTTCAGAATGGATGAATCCTGATGCTGAATCCTGGCATCAAATGAATTGTGGGTGTGGCTTTGGGATGGGGGTTCAACATAGGATAAACTGAGCACACAGGATCTGAGCAGGAAAACCTAGCAGTCTCTGCATGATGGAAAAGATAGTGGTAAACTGGCAGCCATGGGTGCCATGTTGGAAATCTCTACTTTAGTCCCTCCTGTACTCCTATCACCACAGTTTGATGGAAGGTAGCACACAGAGACAACATACTGCAATCTCTCCAATCACTGATCCTTGTCCTGGGCCAGTGGAGGGCAAAAGGGAGTGTGAGTGGTGGAGGATGGAAATGACACTAATTCTGTCCTTTACTGACTTTCCCAGCAAGACTACTGTAATGCATTATACATGGGGCTGCCCTTGAAGACCGCTCAAAAGCTTCAATTAATGTAGAACCTGTCTTTTAGAATACTAGCTGCTTCTACAAAGTGGGGCCCAATTTTGAAAGAACTACACAGACTTCCCATTTGCTTCCAAGCCTAATTTAAGGTCCTGCTACTTTTGTTTATTTGGTCTCTATTTCCACGGAGTTCAAGACTCAGTAAGAACAAATATGCATGGCTAAACTACCTCTGAGAAACTGGTTCTGAGGACCATGTCGTGTTTTAAAGTGTTTTCAGATATGTATGTGAGAAACTAGTGAGTATACTCCTACGCTTAAAAAAAAGAGAGAGATAATTTTTCAATGTTCAAGAGAAGCAAAATATGTTGGAGGCAAGGTCCCTGAGCTTCTAATAACTGTGGATTGATTCCACTTGCTTCTGGCTTTAAGTGATACAGACTACACAAATGCCCAAATCTTGCTGAAGCCTCCAAGAAGTTCTTCCTCTGTTCCAGCTCTCTCTCATTCATGATTTTATCTGCACAAGCAGAAGGAAGCAAATGCCCTCCTAAGAATTGAGCTGTTCTGTGGGCAACGGCTGAAAGAAAACAACAGGAGTGAGGAAAATGTTTACAATTCCATGTCCCAAAGGGCCACTGTTTTTTGTTTGCTTTAAGTCACGTTAACTACCAGACCGCAATCCATCGCTGGGACAGTGCTTCTAAGCAGAAAGGCTAAGGCACTAGCTCTTAAAAACAGTAATTCATTTCTGCCAGATCAAAAGATTTGTGTTTACAAGGCATTTGTGAGGCACTATCTAAAGCTATAGGCTATCTCTCCTTTGCAAGAGGGTTTATTTATGAGGCATGTTAAGTTTCTTGATCGCAACTATATACCTACTGGTAATGCCCCCTATTAATATTAGGCTAGCTATGTGTGTGCTTTGTGGGTATTGAATTTTTTCTTCCATGCACAGTTCTTTTGCCAGTGTACAACTTCCCCCTATCAATGATTATTTACAACAACGGCTTTTCACATGCATGCAATTTTCCTCTGTGAAGAAGACAGGACTTCTATATCAGGATGTAAGTTTTTCATCTGCTCCAGAACTTACAGAAGGCATAAGGGCAATATTAACCCTGAGGATGTACCTAACCAGGTACAATCATTTAATGGGGAGGCAGGGATATAAGGCGTACTGCTTTAATTTTCAAATGAGGCATTACCTGCAAATCAAGGGCACTGTCAGGGCTAGACTATGGGTGGCTACACCCGAATCTAGGCTCTGCCTCTCAAGATCAGTCAGTGAAGGTAGAAAAAGCTGTGGTCTCAATTGCTACAAGCAGCTGGTATTGCTCCACAAACTAGATAAAGGTAGAATGCCATGCCCCTAATACCTATTTAAAAACAGCCAATTTGGGGGATTCTTGCTGTCTCCCACTTGCAGTGTTCGTTGCTGAACACACCTATATTTCTACTGTACCTGAAGACAGCTTCAAGGACACAGGGTCCACATTAGCTCAGGCTACAATTTTTAGGTCCCAGATTAAACCCACAGAGTCCCTTTTCAGGCACCGTATTGCTTGCAAGAAGCTCAAAGAAGATTCTCCATTCAATACGCACACTGGAACTTTTTGACAGCAAACGTTCATTCCCCTTCTAAACACCAAGACACACTAAACCCAAACCTACCCATGCAAGTATTTGTATGCCTCAGATGAAAGAAACAGAAAACAGGCTCTTCCCCATCTACCTATAGCAGCACTAAGTAAAGGCTGTGAAGATTTATCTAAGGTAGCCTCATAGAATGAGGCAAGTTACTCTCTTCACTAACCAAGATATATCCCACATATAAACCACTTACAGATTTGCACACATACGCACCACCCAACATCGACAGTGGATCATGTCATGTCACCAGAAGTGAGCAAGTTGTCACACCGTGCTTCAAAGTTATTGTTGTACAAGACACCAGTTCAGAAACCACACTGCAGATAAACACCGTTTGCCCTCATCCATAATAATCAGTTTTCCATTATGCATGTAAGCAACTGAATAGAATAACAGTCATGAACATGCCCCCTCAACGCACCAACATCCCACCGAGTAATCTTCAAGAACATCTGAAGGGAAAAAACCACACCACTTTTATCACACCCTGATGAATGCGGATGATACACCCAGCAGCTGCAAGTTAGCTTGTGGGCATCGTTGCACCCTGTGATCCATTGAGTCACCTCCATTACCAAGTGAAAGGGAATAATTCATTTTCTGAATGAAAAGGGAAAGGAAGACTGTATTATATGGTTCAGCCTTTCTGGGACTGCACTACTTCAGAATGGGAATAGAAGCGAGGGTGGCGGAACAGAATTCAATGTTCTCTCAAGCTAGTGAAAAAACTACCCTTGGTGCGTGCAAAAAAGGGCATGAGTACCTGCTAAGTTTTCTGTGTGAGCAAGGAAAGGTTCTCACCCCCCCCATCATCTTTCTGTACATGAGGACACAATGAAACATGTACATCACTTGCATTCCTAAGTGGTAGTCTTCAGGAATGGTGGTATTCTCTTGCTGCAGATTTGCTCCATCCAGGGTGGATAAAAATAAATGATTTTAATAATAATAATTAAAAAATGGATTAAAAAAAATTAAATCAGATGTTTTTTATTTAAATCATTTTTTTAAATTTAAATCAGATTTTTAAAATAAAATGCTTTTGAAGGGAAAATCTTTCTAAAAATAGCTTTCTATTTAAGTTACATTATAGTCCAAAGGAAATAAGGATTTGTTTTAAGTTTTAAAGGTAAAGGTAAAGGTACAGGGACCCCTGACCATTAGGTCCAGTCGTGACCGACATGTGTGCTAAAACTCTAAGTTTTTTTTAAAAACCCCGTTTAAACCACATCAGTTAACAAACACGGATTCATATGCCATAATGTTACTGTTTTAGTTAAATAAATTGTTTAAATTGTTATTAAGGAAATGATTATTTCTCTCCTTCCAATAAAGTACAGCAGAAAAGTTGTCCAAATATAAACAGTTAACTTATTAAAACTTCAAAATCAGTAATTTTTGATATAACTGTAAAAACTACTCTGAAAATTTATTATTCCAAAAATGAAACCTTCATCTGGTAGTAAATATTAAGATTATACCAGCAAGAATTGGTCTTTCTGTAAAAAAAAATGATTGAAATCAAGTCTTACTGACTAGTGATTTAAATCAAATCCACCCTGGCTCCATCTACATTTTACACCCTTTAATTAGGCCAGTAGAGAGATGAAATTGTGAAGGACCAAAGAAGTGCTTCCTTCTTCTAGGCATTGTGCCATTTGATGACCTTTCTCCATTTTTCACCCTTTAAACAGTTTCCCTCTAATCCCAAACCAGATTTAATCTATACTGCGTTTCTACAACAACCCCTTTTGCTTCTATACCCAAAATGACAAGCGTATATGTGCACGACTATAACTAAAAGCAATACACACATACATGAAAACCTGGTGCCCCTTCCCAGATGTTTTGGACTACATGAGCCCCTGGCAGCACAACTATGACGGCCGCCATTGATTGTAGTCCAAAAGCAGCTGGAATTCCATTGCCTGGAGAAGCCACACTAGAACATGGGAAGAATCTTCTGGAGCTAAACAAAGGCTAACCTAGTCCATCTTCCCGTTTTGTACAGCATCCAACCAGATGCCTCCAGGAAGGCCACAAACAAGACACCTGGTATCATTTAGAAGCACACCAGTGAGATTCTATCAGTGGTGGCCAAACTTGGCCCTCCAGCTGTTTTGGGACTACAATTCCCATCATCCCTAACCACTGGTCCTGTTATGTGATGGGACTTGTAGTCCCAAAACAGCTGGAGGGCCGAGTTTGGCCACCACTGGATTACATCCAAAACGTTACAGAATTACCTAGTTAAAATAATGAAGCGCGGAAAATGGATTTCAGTTTTTTAGACCAAAGACAGAAGTCTTTGGGGTGGGGGGAAAGAGTACATTGGTCTTAATTTCATTCACAGGGTGCGGGTGGGGGGAAATCAGACACGCCATCTGCCACATTACGCAGATTACATGAAGATTAGTGTTGCTCAAAAACACGCACTTTCAGCTCCTGTTTCCAAAGCAGCATGCCGTTTGGCATTACATAAATGGCTGACAACAGCAATAATCTGCAGAGAGCCATCCAACCAGCTGAGTGGCATCTTAGCTTAACGTCTTACTGCCACCAAGTTATGTAAATGTGTCCATTATTTTAATTCTAGAATGTGTCTGAGCAAAGCAAGCATGCAGTGCTCCTACTTTCTCAATGCACTCCAGTGGGCTCTGTTAGCATGAATGGAATATGGGGGTGGGGTGGGAAGAAGGAGAATGACTGTTAATACCTTGCCTCCATGCTTTGGAACAATTTTTAAGGGCATGCCAGTAAAAGGTAAAGGACCCCTGGATGGTTAAGTCCAGTCAAAGGCGACTATGAGGTTGCAGTGCTCATCTCGCTTTCAGGCCGAGGGAGCCGGCGTTGGTCCACAGACAGCTTTCCGGGTAATGTGGCCAGCATGACTCAAACGCTTCTGGCGCAAGAGAACACTGTGGCGGAAACCAGAGCTCATGGAAACGCCGTTTACCTTCCCGCTGCAGTGGTACCTATTTATCTACTTGCACTGGTGTGCTTTCAAACTGCTAGATTGGCAGGAGCTGGGACAGAGCAACGGGAGCTCACCCATCACGGGGATTCGAACAGCTGACCTTCTGATCGGCAAGCCCAAGAGGCCCAGCGGTTTAGACCACAGCGCCATCTGCGTCCAGTAAACACCTGTTTCATGGAATTAATCAACCTGCCACCCTGAGATCTTCACATGAAGGGTGGTACACAAATTTAATAATATAAATAAAATAAAATATTGATCCCTTCTGGTTACATACTAATTATTGTGCAGTCCTCTTATAATCAAACATCACTTCAATTGTGTGCAGTGAAAGAGTGGAGGAAACCCATCAGTAAATCTCAACTGTTGGTATAAAAGGATTGTTAAGTGACCAAAAACCTAGGTTAAGCTAAGAAGAGTACTGAGGCTGGTTGATAACAGGGAAAGCCTAAATAATTCTCCCAGAGAGCATGAGAAAAGCAGTGTGAACTTATATATAGCCTATTAACGCATTGTTGAAGTTTTTTGTTCAGGTTGTAGGCTGGGCTCTAACTTCTTTAAATTAGACTTAGAGGGTCAAAATACTATTTCTCCCATGTCTGGTTTTGAAAGGGAATCTACCCTCTCCCTAACTGAAACATTATCCTAACAATTGTGGATTTTCTCATAATCCATCATAATGTCTAACCTTATGTTGAACTCTACTAAGCTTTTTAGCCTCAAAGGAATCTTGTCAAAAACAAGCTTCACTTGCTTGTATATTGTGTGCCCAAAATACACTATTTTATCAGTATGATTTCGGCTTAATAGGCATGTCTGTGAAGAGTGAACAAGTATACAGTGGTACCTCGGAAGTTGAACGGAATCCCTTCCGGAAGTCTGTTCAACTTCCAAAACATTCAGAAACCAAGGCACGGCTTCTGATTGGCTGCAGGAAGCTCCTGCAGCCAATCGGAAGCCACATTGGACATTCGGGTTCCAAAGAACGTTCGCAAACCGGAACACTCACTTCCAGGTTTGCGGTGTCCGGGAGCCAAAACGTTCGACTTGCAAGGCGTTCGCGAACCAAGGCATGACTGTACTATGGTGCCTAATTCTCCCACTATTTATAGAAGCTGCTTCTCATGTTACATTGGAGTTGCTAGGTTCCAACCCAGAAAACACTCATCATCAGAAGCTACCATTGGGTCTACTAGCTCAGTATCGTCTACACTGACAAACAATAGCTCTCTAGGATTTCAGACAGGGTTCACTTCCAACCCAACCTGGGAAATGCTCAACAACAACAGCAACATATATATACCCCGCCCAACACGACAAAACATCAAACATTAAAAACTTCCCTAAACAGGGCTGCCTTCAGATGACTTCTAAAAGTCAGATAGTTGTTTATTTCCTTGACACTATTGCCACTATTGAGAAGGCCTTCTGTCTGGTTCCCTGTAAACTCACTTCTCGCAGTGAGGGAACTGCCAGAAGGCCCTCGGAGCTGGACCTCAGTGTCCGGGCTGAACGATGGGGATGGAGATGCTCCTTCAGGTATACAGTGGTACTTCTGGTTAGGAACTTAATTCGTTCCTGAGGTCTGTTCTTAACCTGAAACTGTTCTTAACCTGAGGCACCACTTTAGCTAATGGGGCCTCCTGCTGCTGCCGCCATGCAATTTCTGTTCTCATCCTGAAGCAAAGTTCTTAACCCGAGGTACTATTTCTGGGCTAGTGGAGTCTGTAACCTGAAGCGTCTGTAACCCGAGGTACCACTGTACTTGGCCGAGGCCGTTTAGGGCTTTAAAGGTCAGCACCAAAACTTTCAGTTGTGCTCGGAAATATACCGGGAGCCAATGTAGGTCTTTCAGGACCAGTGTTATATGGTCTCAGTGGCCACTCCCAGTCACCAGTCTAGCTGCCGCATTCTGGATTAGCCGTAGTTTCTGGGTCACCTTCAAAGGTAGCCCCACGTAGAGCGCCTTGCAGTAGTCCAAGCGGGAGATAACTAGAGAATGCACCACTCTGGCGAGAAAGTCTGCGGGCAGGTAGAGTCTCAGCCAGTGTACCAAATGGAGCTGATAGACAGCGGCCCTGGACACGGAATTGACCTGCGCCTCCATGGACAGTTGTGAGTCCAAAATGACTCCCAGGCTGCGCACCTGGTCCTTCAGGGGCACAGTTACCCCATTCAGGACCAGGGAGTCCTCCATACCTGCCTGCCCCATCCACTCAAAAAGGAGGAAGCTCCCATCTTGACACTTTTCAGCATTGGCAAGAATCTCTCTTACTGCTTCAGACTGCCTCCATAATCTGGTGCAATGCAAGCAACACAACCTGTTATTCTCCCAACCCACCCCAGATTTAGAGCTGCTGTAGGAAAGCTCTCCTCAAGGCTACACCTTGTGTTTTGGATCGGGAAAAATAAGCTTGGGTGTGTCCCAGTCAGGTTCCTGCCCTCCTTCTGTCTCCTCATGGATAGGAAAATAATGCCACACTACCTCATAAAATTCAGGGGCGGCAGTTGCCAGGGGCACCTGCAAATAAAAGGTTGCAGCCAAGACCAGCCAGAACTTGATAACTGAATTTTTCACATCTAGGTTCCCTGACAACTCCAAGCAGGACTGGGTGGGTGGAGAGGAAGACTCCTGCCTAAAACCTTGGAGAGGAGAGGCACTGCCAACCAGTGCAAATAATGAGGCAATGGGTTGACTTGGTTTAAGTCGACTTACTTGCCTTGTAGGAGGCAGATTTTTCATTTATGTGCCAGAATCCGCCACCGCCGTCACCCCAACAACATGCAAGAGAAAGCCCAGGAAGATGAACGACTGCAAATTGGCAGTGGCAGCCAGGCAATTGTCTACCTAGCCAGGACTTAATCCAGGTTGATGCCTGAAATCCTATTCTTATTAGCAGCAATTATATTTTTTCATTTCAAAGCCAATATCACTGTGCTACCCTGTCAGTTTTCATCTTATCCTGGACAGAGCCTCAGAGCATTCCATGACTGTGAAAGAGGCAATTTTAATTATGTTGGTTTGGAAGATAACAATACCTTACAGAGCTGACCCCTGCTTATCTGGGCTTGAACCAATTCTTTTGAACTTCTGCTTTGATCAAAGGAAGAAACCTCACTGCCCTTTTAAGGTTCATTGATGGAAGTCTCATATGACCAGAACTTTAGATGAAATTCTAACAGCGCTATAATTTTTTTTTTTTTAATCTAGCAGTGCAAGTCTTACCGACTTTTGCAGGGTGCCCTGGCAAACCATTTTAAGGAAGTGCCTGCTTTCAGTCTTCAATATTATCAAGCCTCTGGTTTGCAGTCTGAAGGGAAAATCCGCTTCTTGAGTTATCTGGCAAAACCTTTGTCCCATGAACCGCTGCGCTTTGATGTGCTGGTATGCTACTCACAAGGACATTTTAATTCTTACATGTAAGTGTCATTTAAACTTGTGAGAACCATTTGCATTCTGAAGCGGCATATAGAGCCTAATCACAGTTACCATTAAAGTGAGCATTGATGCTATCTGAACTGCATGGGATGGATGTTAACCACAATAAGGTGCGATAGCAGAAATTCACATTCCAAAACAGAGAGGACTTGTTGTTATTGTTTAGTCGTTTAGTCATGTCTGACTCTTCGTGACCCCATGGACCAGAGCACGTCAGGCACTCCTGTCTTCCACTGCCTCCCGCAGTTTGGTCAAACTCATGCCGGTAGCTTCGAGAACACTATCCAACCATCTCGTCCTCTGTTGTCCCCTTCTCCTTGTGCCCTCCATCTTTCCCAACATCAGGATCTTTTCCAGGGAGTCTTCTCTTCTCATGAGGTGGCCAAAGTATTGGAGTCTCAGCTTCAGGATCTATCCTTCCAGTGAGCACTCAGGGCTGATTTCCTTCAGAATGGATAGGTTTGATCTTCTTGCAGTCCATGGAACTCTCAAGAGTCTCCTCCAGCACCATAATTCAAAAGCATCAATTCTTTGGCGATCAGCCTTCTTTATGGTCCAGCTCTCACTTCCATACATCACTACTGGGAAAACCATAGCTTTAACTATACGGACCTTTGTTGGCAAGGTGATGTCTCTGCTTTTTAAGATGCTGTCTAGGTCTGTCATTGCTTTTCTCCCAAGAAGCAGGCATCTTTTAATTACGTGGCTGCTGTCACCACCTGCAGTGATCATGGAGCCCAAGAAAGTAAGGCACACAATTTTGCAGGTAAGCAATCACCAGTGTTTCATTTGCATCATCAATTAAAGCTTCTTCCCCCAGCACCTCCCCATCCTCCCCTTTTAAAAGGATTATACAAAAGTAATGCCTCCTCTTCCAGCTGAGCAGCCATAATTTTTCTTAACACTATACATTCAAAGCACAATATTTCAAGTTCAATTTAAATACTGAATCACACCTGACCTAATAGCTTATACAGAGTGACGGAATTACATTTGTCAGTTGCCCATTATCATTGTAACTCAAGTATTCAAAGAGGTAAAACAGTAATTAATATACTGATGGGGGAAGTGCAAAGCATGCACATTTCACAGGATATATTTATTTTGGATGAGAAGCGATTATCTAGCTTGAAAACATTTATCAGGTTCCCTTTAAATTAAGAAACTGAACAAGAAGACGACCTCATAGTTTTAGTTTGTGGAGTATTCAGAGATTGCTGGAAATTGACAGGTGTGTATGGACAACACATTGAAGAACTCTTAAATCCAACCATCATTCCTTCTACCACTTCCAAATCTTCATTCAGGTATGTTTCAGAAGACAACGTGCAAAAGGTAAGTAAAACGTACATAAAATAGGAAGTGAAGGCAATTTTGTTTAATATGCTAGAAAGTAATGATCAACCTTACTACAAAAATAATGCAAAGCTGAAAACTCCAGCCTAGGAGAGCTCAGTTACTCAGTTGATTGGTGGCTTCTTGACAGACCTTCAGACTAAAACTTTTTCACTCTATATAACATTCACAGGCCATTCTGGAAGAATCTGAAACCAGTAGATTAAACTGGAACCACTGAGTAATGGCCATTTGCTAATACTTTAGCAAATCCGTTCCCAAGCCACTCTGTGTACGTCACCAGCATCTTTCCTACACATCACATAAAACCCAACTCCTTCCCCTTCCCCCTTTTTCATGTTTCTCTCAAATAGATCGTAAGTTGTTCAGAAAAGGACTGTGTAATTTCTGAATAGTGTACTGTTAGTATCCCCCAAAAGTAGCATATTTTAAATGAAAACAAAGTATGAAACTTTCATTTTAATCCGGTTCTGCAAGAGAGCATTACAAAAATGGGAGGGCAATGCGCTAAAGGTCTTTTTCCAGAGCAAGCAGTGCTGAATGCTGAACTTAGCAGCTATAGATCAGAGCCTTACCAAACAAATACAGTGGTACCTTGGGTTACAGACACTTCAGGTTACAGACTCCGCTAACCCAGAAATAGTACCTCGGGTTAAGAACTTTGCTTCAGGATGAGAACAGAAATCGCACGGTGGCGGCGGCGGGAGGCCCAATTAGCTAAAGTGGTACCTCAGGTTAAGAACAGTTTCAGGTTAAGAACGGACCTCCAGAACGAATTAAGTTCTTAACCTGAGGTACCACTGTATCTTGGTAACAAGATATGTGCAAGTCAAGCAATACTTACGCAATGTCAACTGAATATGCCCCCCCCCCCCCGTGTGGTCAAGTAAAGCTGCACTGGAGACCAGAAGGAGTTTTAATTTAGGAGCCTTTTAGACAGCTGGCGATATGGTAGATATAAGAAAGAGCATGCAAACCACAACAGTGTTCTAACAAGAATGTGTATCCCAAGTAGCAGAGCAATTTTACTGACCCAACAGCATACCAAAAGTGAGTGATGTTTTGTGTATGTGTGTGTTTTAAAAGGAGCATGAGTCAAGAGGGCATGAGATCACGCATTTAAGGGATTTGTCTCATTAAAGGAGGCTGCACAATCTGTTTTTTCTCACTGCGCAAGAAAGATAAGAAAAAGATACTACCCTGGGTATAAAACATACACTGGGTAGCTGAAAAGCTTGCAGTAAATTTGTGAGAGATCTGTATTCTTACAGAAATGTGCTTCTAAACAAACACTCGCTGAACTGTGACTTGAAGGACTAAGTGTTTCAAGATTGTTTGGGGGTGTGTGTTGTTTTGTTGTTTTAACTATTTACTTGTGTTTTTACCTTGTATTTTATCCTGCGACTCACCCTGATGAAGGGCGGAATAAAATAAAATAAAATAAAATAAAATAAAATAAAAAAATAATAATTAAGGCAAATATTAAGGGCAGAAACATCTCCACCCTTTTCATTTATTAAAGCTGTTGCTATAAATTAGGATGCAGTCTTTATGCCCAGTTGTACACAGTTGAATAAACTGGGCATAATCAGATGGAAACTGTATAAGCACCTCTGAACGCAAATGGAATCTGCACATGTGCTACTGTGCTGTTGTATAATTACAACTGAGCCAATCGTGTGAAAATGTGTGCAACCACCTGCCTTATTTCAGATGGCATGGGGATTTGGGAGTAAACAAGCCAGGATAAAACCGTGACTTCAGATTCTGCCTTCTTGGGAAGCCACCGCTTGAACCAAGCAGTTCCCAGAATTCAGATTCTACATGGGACTGTTACATTGACAAGTTCACCAATTAAATATCACTTTGGCCCGGGTTTCAGAAAAAAAGCAGATGAAATGGTAAACCTTTTTTGACTATGCCACTTCAGACTGCAGCTGGGGAATGCCATAAATAAATGCTCGTTCATAGGAAAAATTCTCTCCGTGCAGAAAAATGAACGCCGGGGCCTCCTCCTCAATATGCAAAACAGGGGATTTTTTTTTGTATGGGGGCTCGTTCAACCATGCGACTCCCCACCGGCAATCTGAAGTGATATACAATCAAGTAACAGGTTTATCAATGCATCTGTTATTTGTGAGAACTAGGCATTTGTATAAAACATAATCATGTTGAGTGAGCACAATGTGGTAAAGACGCCATGCTATTACAGTGAAGCAGAACAGACAAGCTTGCTTTAGCAACAGCAAAAACGAGCGCTTTTAAATGTATGATTGAATGCAGATATGATTTCTTATCAGGTTTTCAAAGCATAGCCTGAATACCTTGTTGTCAAGCTTCAACAATGTAAGATTAGGGTATCAGGGCCTACTTTTAATCAAGAATGCCTTGAAAACCTGCTGCAGTGCAGGACATCAAATTAAAAAGCTTTAAGGGCGAAACCTGTTCTTTGCTCAAGGTGGCATTTAGAAAGAGAAAAAGAGGAGTATCCTGGGTCATTTCAGTATCAGTTTAAACTATTCAAGAGGTAAAAGGACTTGAATTTAACCCAAAAGAAATATTTAGGTAAAGGTAAAGGGACCCCCTGACCATTAGATCCAGTCGTGGACGACTCTGGGGTTGCGGCGCTCATCTCGCTTTATTGGCCGAGGGAGCCGGCGTACAGCTTCTGGGTCATGTGGCCAGCATGACTAAGCCGCTTCTGGCGAACCAGAGCAGCGCACGGAAACACCGTTTACCTTCCCGCCGGAGCGGTACCTATTTATCTACTTGCACTTTGATGTGCTTTCGAACTCCTAGGTTGGCAGGAGCAGGGACCGAGCAACGGGAGCTCACCCTGTCACGGGGATTCGAACCGCCGACCTTCTGATCGGCAAGTCCTAGGCTCTGTGGTTTAACCCACAGCGCCACCCGCGTCCCCAATAAATATTTACTCTGGTTAAAAACCCTTTTTTGCCCCGTCCACTGGAAGCAAGATCAAAAGTCAGGGGCAAATATCTCCCTTTGTAAACATATGCATATCCAATATGGTGGTGGAAGCCTGTAATTTAGGAGCTATGGGCAGAAGTATGGCACAGTGGTGTCCTTCCTTAAATACAGTAGCACTCACAAGGAATATGGACTGGGTGACAAATCTGAAAAATGCACTGACCTTCAAAGCTCTCTGTCACTATTGGGGGTGGTTAAGCAAGGTAACTGCAGAGAGGTCATTTTGAAAGCTACCAACAAACAGATCAAGAGAACAACTGGAACAACTTGTTCTACAGCCCCTTTAGTTGCTGGGAGCATTCTGTTCACCTTGAATATTTGTACTACTTATCAACCTGCCTTGGGGCAGAAGGACAGAGAGAGAGAACAGGTGTGTTTGCAATAGTTAGAATTTAATTTCTGCCACACAACAGTAACCTTTTTAGATCTAGACCTTGCCTTGAACGTCAAGCTCCAAGATGGACGCCACTTTTTATTTTTTAAACACGTCTGTTTTTGTACCCCTCACTTCCCCTCTTCTTTTTAAACCAAATTAAAAACAAAACGATGCCACTAGCGAGAGCAGTCGACTTGTGGGTCATGACCCAACCATGCTGAAGATCCAATGGTGTAAACTGCTGGAGTAAAGGCATGCCAGATTCAGACCACGCTTTTGTGTGTATTTTTAATACCGTGGTACCTCAGGTTACATACGCTTCAGGTTACATACGCTTCAGGTTACAGACTCCGCTAACCCAGAAATAGTACCTTGGGTTAAGAACTTTGCTTCAGGATGAGAACAGAAATCGTGCGGTGGCGTCGCAGCGGCAGCAGGAGGCCCCATTAGCTAATGTTGTGCTTCAGGTTAAGAACAGTTTCAGGTTAAGAACAGACGTCCAGAACGAATTAAGTTCTTAACCCGAGGTACCACTGTACAAACCTAAGTCACACTGTGGTACATGGGGTCAAAGGCCTTGAAACCGATCTAGAGTAAAAATACGGACAAAAGAAAGAAATACTGAAAGAGAACTAGATGGGATAGCAGCAGATGATGCCTTTAAACTTGGATCTACTGTAAAGCAAGATGGAGGACCTTTTTTAAAAGACACAGGGAGAAAGCTGGACAGCTTGTATTCCAAGATATAGAGATTCATAACCAACTTTTACAATGGTTACTAGCTTAAATTTTGTTACAGTGGTGCCTCGCAAGACGAAATTAATCCGTTCCGCGAGAGTCTTCGTCTAGCGGTTTTTTCGTCTTGCGAAGCAAGCCCATTGACGGATTAGCGCTATTAGCGCTATTAGCGGGTTAGCGGCTATTAAAGGCTTAAAGGGTTAGGGGATTAGCTGCTAAAAGGCTATTAAAGGCTATTAACGGGTTAGCAGATTAGATAAAGGGGGAAAAGCGAAAAAAATCTCAAGACTCGCAAGGTATTTTCGTCTTGCGAAGCAAGCCCATAGGGGAATTCGTCCTGCGAAGCAACTTCAAAACGGAAAACCCTTTCGTCTAGCGGTTTTTCCGTCTTGCGAGGCATTCGTCTTGCGGGGCACCACTGTATTTAAAAAAATAAAAAAACAGACTGGAACAATGAAAAAATGCTAGGGAGGTTGCTTGCATTTTTTAAAAAAATTCTCTTACCCTCTTTCCGTACAAAATCAAATATTTAACTCTAGAACTTGAAGGTCTCTGGACTATTAAAACCATTTTCACTAATAGCCCTCATGACCTAATCCGCGCGCTCTCTCTCTCTCTCTCACACACACACACGTTCCTCAGAGACCCAGTGTGGTATAGTGCTAGACTCAAGTTCAGGAGACCGGGATAAAAATCCCTGCTCAGCTATGAAGCTCACTTGTTCATTTTTAGATGGTTTCTCTCTCTCAGCCTAAGCTACTTCATAACGTTATTGTGAGTGGAAAGTAGGTTAGCAAACATATACAGTCCTGAGCTCTCTGGAGAAGGCAAACACACACACACACACACACACACACACACACACACACGAACCCCATTCAAGTATTAATATCACTGATAATAATTCATTTGTACTCTGCAGCTTAACAGGTGACTATGGTAGTGGGACGCGGGTGGCACTGTGGTCTAAACCACAGAGCCTAGGACTTTGCCAATCAGAAGGTCAGCGGTTCGAATCCCTGCAACGGGGTGAACTCCCATTGTTCGGTCCCAGCTCCTGCCCACCTAGCAGTTTGAAAGCACGTCAAAGGTGCAAGTAGATAAATAGGTACTGCTGTGGCGGGAAGGTAAACGCTGTTTCCGTGCACTGCTCTGGCTCGCCAGAAGCGGCTTAGAAATGCTGGCCACAGCTGTCTGCGGACAAACGCCGGCTCCCTCGGCCTACAGAGCAAGATGAGAGCGCAACCCCAGAGTCGTCCACGACTGGACCTAACAGTCAGGTGTACCTTTACCTTTATGGTAGCAATAGGGTTCCTTTCTTCCTCCTCTGTTCTCCTTTTTACCAACATTCTTGCCCAACCCTAGCCCTTGCATGATGGAGAATGTAAAAGAAAAGTCTGTGCAGTTGGAAAGTTCATAGAAAACATTCCACCCAGAGGAATGGCCGTATTAGCCTGCTCCTGCAACAAGTGTTGTGTTCAGGAATTTGCCAGCACCTGCAATGCCTCCAATGTCCCCCAGCACATAGGCTGCCCTTTAGAGGATAATGTGATCAGCACACAGGTCCGTAAAAGGTTCCAAGCATGTACAGTAGAACATGCCTAGAAACTCTCCCCGTGATCGGAACCCTGATTAGACAAGGGCTGCCAACTGCAGCGAGTCTTCTAGGAGCATTCCAAAGTGTTTTCTAGGCGCCCTGAAGTCAACATGGTTAAGAACTCTCTAAAGACCTGTGTACTAATCTCATGGAGGTCTAAAGGACAACTGGCACACCCACTGTGGGTGGCGCTTCCAAGCCAGCTCCTGTCCTGTCCTCGTTTACAATGTCACGTGTCTGGGCAAACACTTGAACAGAGCCAAGGAGCTTTGCACCGTCGTAAACACTAACAAATTTATTCCTGAATAAGCTTTCATGGATCAGAGTCCACTTTCTCAGTTCCAAATGGTAGCTGAGCCAATGGTTATGGAAGACTCATTTCAATCAACTGAAGCAGGATATTTCACAGCCAAATAAACTATGAATTGATCTCAGAGTTGAGCGTTTCCCCCTCCGCCAATCTTTTGTCATGTTTATCTTTTTGTTTGTGCAAACTAGCAAGCCTACTGGTTCCGTGCTTTCATTTTATACCTCATTTGCCTCAAAACGATCATAGTCCTTATCCTAGCCAATTATCTAAAGCCAGTTTTGACTTTGAAATATAGAAGATAAACTATAGCAGCAATAAATGCACAAGCAAGAACCACAGTTTTGGATAATAGCACCACTGAGGAAGCTCCCTTTCCAGCTCAGATCAAATAAATGCAAACAATCTTGTTTGTGAAAGAAAGAAAGAAAGAAAGAAAGGAAAGGAAATGCCTTTTGAGGCCACCCATATTTCTTTGCTAAACTAATTACTGCCTATATTTCTTGGGGCGCACAAGCAAAGGCTAATAAAGGCTTTAATAATTCAACAGAAATGCTGCTTGTTTGTCCTTCAAGTGTATCTGTTGCATTAACTTTCTAGATTTTGACAGACAAGTCGGCATGTAATTCTACGCCTGCCTCACGCAAGCAACTCCAGAGGCCCAATCCAACAGTTATGATCATTTCAGTCTAAATAGCTCAGAATATTCCACCCCCATGTCACCACTTGTGACAACAAATGATCTTGCAAAATGATCTATTGCTCTCTCAGGAATTCCTAATCTAAGGTTTTAATTAAAGTTCTTCATCTTAATAAATATGACACGGCCAAGCACAGCCAGTGTACATACGACTGCCAATCAAAACCAGGATCTGGCGCTGAATGAATAAACAAAGTGAGAAGAAGCAAGGCAACTGCACAAAACCAGCTCTTAAAATAATAGCATAAATGTTTCATTTTTTATCAGAAACACAGAGGCTGAAAAGCTGTAATATTTATTTAGGGATTTTATATACTGGGCCAAGTTCAAAGTCAATAAACAAACTAAGATGGGACTCCATTATGAGTTTCTCAATCACGCTAACTTACATTCAGGATTTATTCGCTCACCATTTGTTAAGTTCAACACAATTCTTCTGCCATCCACAGTGCAGAGTGCGAATGCAGCAGAGGAGTGTGATTAACACTGTCTTCAGTCTGCCTTGTCCCTACGATCAAATGTTCACCACAGTGGTAACTATGCGTCTGTCTGGGGTGTAGCACTTCAGACTACAAGTTGGGGCTCATATAAAAGAACATGAGTTCATACTAAAAAAGGATCCTGCGCATAGACAGTGGAGAAGGGTAGGTTAGAATGTCTACGTCAGTCCATTTATGTGTTGAATCCCTGTCAGGGGAAATGGCTTGGCGTAAATAAATATACTACTAATAATAACTGAGTACAGTCGTATATTGGATCTTGAACGCCTTGTGAGTTGAATGTTTTGGCTCCCGAATGCTGCAAACCCGGAAGTGAGCGTTCCGGTTTGCGAACGTTCTTTGGAACCCAAATGTCCGACGGGGCTTCCGATTGGCTGCAGGAGCTTCCTGCAGCCAATTGGGAGCCACGCTTTGGTTTCCAAACATTTGGGAAGTCGAACGGACTTCCGGAATGAATTCTGTTCAACTTCCGAGGTATGACTGTACAGAACGCATAGGCCCAAGCCACGAGAAGCCTACTGCTCAATGTCAAGGGAGAACGCTCCTATGAATCAAGCCTAAATTTACAACCCCACGCAAATCTTGAGCCCCGCAAATAGACACAAACTGGGCCAAGAGGGGAAGGTTAGGTGCCCTTGTGGGGAGACACTTCCACTAAGTATATATACCCTAATCTTTGCCAACCTGGTGCCTTCCAGATGTTTTGGACTACAACTCAGTTCCAGCTAAGAAGTGAGAGAACAGGGCTAGACCACATCTTGATTCAACACTCTCCATGAATTATTTTGAAGCCAATATATTAACCTTTGTTGCTCTGCCAACAATTCAGTTGTTATCTTTGGCTGGTTATCTTCTGGCTCCCCACTTTAATTAGCTGGGAACTTACCTATTGGCTAAGAACCTAATACAAATAATTCTCTAAAGGTTATTCCCACAAGACTACCCTAGTAAGATTCCTTTTTGCAAACACTTACAATTCCTTAAAACATCATGGTTTCACCCGAAGTAAACGGTGGGTGTGTACAATGTTCAGAGAGAGGAGAAAATCCTTGTGTGATTTATTTGTTTTTTGGCAACTGGAAAAAAGAATCTGTTTGAAATGTTAGTCATGACTAAGGCTGCGATCCCAAACGTATTTTCTAGGGTCTACTGTCCCAACAAATACAATGGGACTTACTTCTGAGTAGCCATTTGCAGTATTGCACTGCATGCAGAGTCCCACTGAGTTCAATAGAACTTAACAGCAGCTAACTTGATCTGGATCCAACCCTTCGTGCAATAGCCACCCCAGTCTCTGGCTGCAGCCATAAGAAGATTTCAAGAAATATACAACACTTGTGCCTTCGCATTGCATGCAAAAGATTCCAGGATTAATCCCAAGCTTCTGCCAGTAAGTGCAGATCAGGAATGGGGAACATATGGTTCTCTCTATATTGCTGGACTTTCAACTATTAGAAACATACAGTATAGACATTCCGCTTGCACCCCTCTCCTTGGCTTGATGTTGGGGGGGAAAGAACCATCAATCTTTGTTCAAAATTTATTACTAGCTTGTATCCCTTGCTCCTGATTGGGTTTCTGTATTTCAAAGGACCTGAAATGAAGAGAAAACGATACCATTCCCTTTTAACTGCAAAGTAGGGGGTTGCTCTGCAATTTCAGACACACCTGGACATTATTGGCTTCCTGGCTTCCTGCCAGTCTGGCTTTCCACTTGGATATGGACTGTGCTTTTGGCTTTGTTTAATGATCTTTGCCTAGAGGTCGATGTGAGAAATTGTACCCTACTGGCTTATTACATCTTCATTCTTTGCTTTATGCTGTTATCCATGAGGCGCTGTTGATTCAAGGGCAGAACACAGACGGCGCTCGTGGGAGCACAAACCTACCTGGAACAGCCTGACCAGTAAACGGACGACCGGCGCATAGTCCTAAATAATTGTACACTTACAGCGTTTTTTCCTCCAAAGTGCTCCAAGTGTTTCACATTGTGAACAGTGGGAGATTCAAGACAGGCAAAAGGAAATGCTTCTTAAGACACAGTTAAGCGTATAGTTAGAATATGGGATTTGTTACCATAATAAGTGGTGAGAACCACCAATTTAAAGATGGCTTTAACGAGGGATAAGACAATGCGTGGCCAATAAGTCTACAAATGGCTACTAGTCATGATGGATATATATTTCCTCCAAGATCAGAGGCACCTTGCCTCTGAACACCAGACACTGGCGATTAACAGCAGTAAAGGCTGCTGTGCTCACAGAGTTGGGAGGGACCCCATGGGTCATCTAGTCCAACCCCCTGCAATGCAGGAATATGCTCCCATAGGGTGATCAAACCTGTCACCTTGGCGTTATCAGCACTACGCTCTAACCCAGGCATAGGCAAACTCGGGCCCTCCAGATGTTTGGGACTACAATTCCCATCATTCCTGACCACTGGTCCTGTTAGCTAGGGATAATGGGAATTGTAGTCCCAAACATCTGGAGGGCCCGAGTTTGCCTATGCCTGCTCTAACCAACTGAGCTATTGCCGAAGTAGTCACGATCTGCTTCTGGGGTTCACAAAGAAATCCGGTTGGCGCTGCGCTAAATGGATCTTTGATTTAGCCTAGAATAGCAGTGTTACGTTCTCCTTAAGTATTCGGGTAAAATAATATTCATGGACCTTGAGTACTTATTTTATATGCATTTAAATGTGTACTTTCTGTATTGATTTTCCCCCTCTGTTATCCACTGGGCAAATGTCAGTTGATAAGAAAGGTCAGCCTCTTGGCCAAGCTTACTAAATGCAAGCTATATAAGCACTGCATCATATTAAGAACACCACATGCCTCTGTGGTACCTCTGAATACCATTGTGCTAGGGATGAACGGCAGAGGGGGGAGGAGTGTAGTTTTCATGCCCCATCCAAGTTTTTCATGCAGGCATCTGGAAGCCCACTGTAAGAGTGCTGGAACAGATCAGATCAGAATAACTTTTATTTGCATCAGCCACTAGCCATGGCAATAAAATAAAATAAAATGTACTGAAGATAAGAGGTAAAAACTTAACTATACAAAATACATTTTGGACCTTTACATCAATAATCAAATAATAGATCTTATTCTAATTGCCCCTGCCAAATGTTTTGCAGTTTTTGCTGGGAGTGCTGGAATACGAGGACAGTTGAAAAACAGAAGGCAGTTAACATGGGGTGGGGTGTCTTTTTAAAAAGTCAACCTTCGAATAATCGTTTAAATGTAAAACTTTAGATTTTAAAAATCTTAGGATATAGCACACACATTATTAGCACGTTTTCGAAATCAGACGTTTCTTTTTATAAATCATATTCCCACCCCCCATGCCTATCTGACCATCAGCAATATGGTTCTATGTAGCAAAACATGAAAAAAAACAAGTAAATAAAGTCCATTTTAATTTCTACTGAGTAAGTAGCAGCGGAACGCAGGAAAAGACCTGCGGCCAAGCAGATGCGTGTGAGAAGTGAGACTCTCTGCTTGTGCAGTTATTCCATGCTCAGAATCTGGAGGAAATCACCAGAGGTTTATAAGCTGCTACTGGTCCTATTCATTCCCTTCCTGAACATTTTCCACTAAAGCCTATTTCAAGAAGCCCCTGAATAGCTCTGTGCTCATACAAGAAATGTTTAACTACCTACAGCCCTTTCCCTACATATCTGCAACCCCACCTCAATCTTCAATAGACCACCTGGCTTGGCTGGCCCAAAGGTAAAAAGAAGTGGCAGCCAAAACAGATTTTAAAAAGAAACAGGCAAACACACCCCCCCCCACCAAAGCAGGAATTCTATTTTTCCAACTCTTTTCAGTTCTTACTGAATTCTCTACCTTGCATCCACTTTAGATGCCATTGAAAACTGTCAAGCAATCACTTGGATTAGCACAAATAAATGTGGATTGTTGAGTGTGTGTTATTATATTTAGGGAGCCATGCTATGAACAAGAACCTTGCGTAAAGGGAGGCAGAGTAGGTTCAGCTAGCGTAAAGTTACACCAGAGCCAGTCTAAGTCCCCAGCCCTACCCCTGCTCTGGTCCTGCTCCCAGATCACCCCTTTTGGGGGACTCACACCAGCCTCAGCTCAGCTAGCTGAGCCCCAGCTGAGCAAGTTCCACGGCTGCATCTTTGGCTGAGACGGAGATCTGTTGCATTTTGGCAGATCTTGCCATAGGGCTGCCTCCGTGTTCACCCAAGCTGTCCAATTCCCCACAACTGTGCTTTGCTGGAAAAAGAGTAATCGCCTTGCTCATTTATAATAATACACATGATGGAAAGGCCTTCACCTGGTGCCAGGAGTTTCCCAGTCCTCCTGCTCCTTCTCTTTCTCCTCTTTGGTTTCTACGACATGTGGATGTTTCTGCACGATTCTCATTCCACCAGCTTTGACTGCAACAAAAATAAAGGGGCCTGTCAGATACGCTGCATGATGGCAGGCAAACACATTAAAGCCACATGGAACATTAGAAATTAGTACTGCATCATCAGAATTCGCCCATGAGCATTTCTGATGGTCCAAATGGACCAGATATTGTGATGACCACTATACAAATGCTGTTTTCGTTCTACATAATTGTGAGAATGAAACACAGAAGTGATACAACATTATTTTCATCTTACTGCCTGAGAGGAATAGAAAATAAAAACAGCAGTGATTTTCATTTCCTATAACTCATATTCCAATAGCAGGAGCTTCGAGCTAACAGCTCGTTATAGGTAACTTCAATCTCCCTCAACCTTTTAGTTGCACGGCCGAGGCCAGTACCAAGCCTGCTATAAAGACCACCAAAACCAAAGGCTTTCTTTTACAGCCATCTCACTTTATTTCTGCAGTTTCTGAAAACTGAATCTAGACTTTTAAGCCATACTCAGCTTCACTCCTACTGAGTCAAACTGCTACAATGCATTTAACAGATGAGTATGGTGGCACAAAGCAGTTTAGGGAAAATCAAATTCTTAAAGCTGTTTTCACAGGGACAGTGCATCCAAAACAAATCAAGACACTTGAAAACCCTTGTTGGAAACATAGCCTGTGAACTGTATTTTGGCTGCCGATAATGTTATCTGGATTTGGGATGAAAAACTCCCAATCTTTTTAACTCCACTGATTAATTTCCCAGGGATTGTGGGGGGACAATCCAATCACTTGCAGTTGGTGGCAGTGCGGGATGTGGGATAAATTAAAGGTAAAGGGACCCCTGGACAGTTAAGTCCAGTCGCGGACGACTCTGGGGTTGCAGTGCTCATATCGCTTTACTGGCTGAGGGAGCCGGTGTACAACTTCCGGGTCATGTGGCCAGCATGACTAAGCCACTTCTGGCGAACCAGAGCAGCGCATGGAAATGCCGTTTACCTTCCCGCCGGAGCGGTACTTATTTGTCTACTTGTACTTTGACATGCTTTCGAACTGCTAGGTTGGCAGGAGCCGGGACCGAGCAACGGGAGCTCAACCCGTCATGGGGATTCGAACCGCCAACCTTCTGATCGGCAAGCCCTAGGCTCTGTGGTTTAACAAAGTAGTCAACACTAAACCACAATGCATGTACATAGCTGAAAAGCACTTGTGTGAATTACTACATTACACGGGACATTTTCCCGTTGGAAATCAGTGAGATATCCCTCAATATAGATCCCTAAACCCATTCATCATTCTGAATAACAATAGCATTTTCCCCAAAGATCCAGATTCCCTTCAACAACAATTCCCAGAACGACAGTATTTTTTTAAAGGGTGTGTGTGTATTGTTTTGCAGACCATCCAGAAATGTACTTCCTATCTAAGTGCATTTAGTTCCAGCATCATCGAAACTTTGGGCAATAGCACAAAGTCAATACAGGTGTAGATTTGGACCTACCCATGACTAATAATAATAATAATAATAATAATATATTTATACCCCGCCCATCTGGCTGGGTTTCCCCAGCCACTCTGGGCGGTTTCCAACAAAATATTAGAAATACAATAAAACATCAAACATTAAAAACTTCCCTAAACAGGGCTGCCTTCAGACGTCTTCTAAAAGTCAGAAAAGTTGTTTATTTCCTTGACATCTGATGGGAGGGCATTCCACAGGGTGGGTGCCACTTGACCTAGACTTGGTCTTAGCCCTGACTTCTTTCGACATTTAAATAATAGCGGCCTATTTCATAAGGTGGAGATCTATATATCCACCTGGTTTTCTAATATAGAACTTGTCTGTGTGAAGACTTCGAAATCTTCCATCTTCTTTTTGAAAGTGCTTAGCTGGAGCCCAATATTTTGTTTACTAGGCCTGTAAAAACATCTCCATCTTTCAGACTGTACTGATGCACATGAACTATCTTTAGGCTGATTGCCTACACCTTACATGTTTTTCTAAAGCAGAGGGACTTGTGCTTGTTCGTCTATAGGGACTTGTGATTGTAATAAGTGCCTATTAACACAACACATTAATGGGCCCCTCTTCCTCTCTAGGGTTGATCGGTAATTTCTGTCCAGGCTACTTCTCTTGTTTTCCTCTCTGTACATGAACACCGCAATCCATTGCACAATTATGAGCACTCAAATCTCACTGAAACCCATGGAGCTTGAGTCCACATAACAATGTGCTAGATTGAGCCTAAAAACACTGTGCAGGATTGCCAGAAGCAGGGGAAAGCCAAGAAGCCACTTTGGGGCAGTTCTGGAGAAAGTGAAGAAGTGGGAGCACACACACCGGCCCTTAAAAAAGCAGTATGCTCACAGCTGATTAACTAGGGGCCACCCATTTTCAGAGACAATTTCTGAACAATTAACTGTGCAAAGATCTGCAGGGAGGGGGAAATAGGAGGGGGCAAAGTAGTGCCACACACTGATTTTTCAACATTTCCCTCCAGTGTAATTTAGCCAGTGTTCCTGAAAAAGGAACATGGCAGGGGCAAGGGGAAGGGAAATTGGCTGGGTCCTAAGCTTGTTCAACACAGTCATATGACCTGGCAACCCAGCGTAAGTTAAGTTAGCAAGAAGGGTGGTGTAACTCAAACAGTACTTTAAAGGCTTGTTTTTCCTAGGCTTAGGCCAGCTCAACCACCAGTAGCCTCGCAGCTGAATGGAGTCTGGTTCTAGTATAACTTTGTGCCGGCTTAATTTGCACTGGCTTGCTTTATGCCTGTTTCTTGTGGATACAATTGATCTCTCAATGTACGGTTCAACTCCTCAACACCACCAACACTTATCAGCTGTTTACCTAAGCAACAGCTGGTCCTCTCTCAAACTACAGAGCTCAAGTCAAACATGCTCCTTCTACAGCTCGCAATAATTTTTACTTTTCCTTCTTCATTGCCTTCAGTTTACACAGTTCTTTATATATAGTAGAAAGGGGGGGAGGGATACTTAGAAAACAATTAGAAAAATAAAAGTATTCTTCACTTCCAGGAAATTAAAAAGGACTATAAGGAGAAATGTCCTGGATCATTGGTTCCAATTGGGGGTCTGTGGACCCCAGGAGATCTGTGGCACCATTCATGTAACAAAAACTACCATAGGGATAGGGAAAATTTCAAAAGTAGGGAGTCCAAGGCTTGGCTTTTGGCAAACAGGGGGTCTGCAGTACTTAACTAACTGGGAACCACTGTTCTAGATCTCTCGCCTTCCTCTTATAATAATGAAATTTCTTTAAACTATTTCCCTTACTTTCAGCATAGGACTTTCAAGATTAAGGCATCATGAAACAGCAGGTCAAGAACAGACTGGGAAGGTTAAAGGTTGAAGTAAGAGAAGTACTTATACGATCTGGCTGCAATAGTACACAGTAACTGCAAGTGAGCAATATAATCCAGGAAGATGAAAGGGAAGTTAAATGAAGAGACACTAAAAAATGCAGTTCTTGTTTTTCCTTTGGTGATTTCTGAAATCCAAAGGGTTTACAAGCACAGCAGCTTCAAGACAGCTCCATGTTCAGAATACTGTATTGCACAATGTTTGGGAAGTTGCTTAGACTTTGCTCTGAACAACAAATGTTGAAATTAGACAAATGAATAAATCAGCATGTGGACACAAAGCCATTACATTCCTGTTGCTCAGGGTGGAGGGGAATGTTTTTAATCTTTTTCTACTGAAATTTTTGCTTCAGGAGTTTTTATTTTATTTTTGAAAATCCAACAATAATTTATGAAAAGCACGGCAGTAATTAAATCAGTAGCAAGAATTTTCTGCGCTTTCATGGAAAGATTAACACAAAATAAGAAACTTGCTTACTTTTTTGACATTTTGTTTTAACCTCTACTTTTAGGACATGGCAAATTCTTTGGACAGTCACTTTGGGGATTTTTTTGAAGTTTTATTATTATTTGTATACTGTTTTATTTAACAGTAGCTTCAAATATTGCTTTTGCACAGAATGTAACTAAAGTGTGTCTAGGACTGCAGCCAACCTGAGAATAAGCACTATTAAACTCATTGAAAAAAGCTTATACAATCTGGCTGCAATAGTACACAGTAACTCTCTGTACTGTATTATGGCATCCACACACACTTTGCAGTGTTCCTCTGTGCTATGGTGTCTATAAACTAGACTCCTATGAGGATCCATCCGGTGACCTCCAAGTGGCTTTACACAAGACACTTGCGGGATCTGTTTTCTTGCATACGTTGGCATGGCGTCCTCAAGTGGAAAGCGGGGGGGTGGGGTGTACAAAGTCCTACTTTTGCAAAAGTTTGAACACGCATAGGCCCTACTGTACAAAACTTTTGTTGATTTAAGAAGAGGCGGAAGGAAGCACGTATTAAGAGTGCAGCACCTTCCGTGCGCCCCGATCCTCAGCATGTTGACTAGACAGTAACGTTGCAATCCTGCTTACCCGGAAGAAAGCCCCGCAGCTTCAACGGGGCTCACTCTTTGGTAAGCACACTTTGGGCTGCAGCCGCCCCCGTCACCTCAATGAAAATGGGCTTGCTTCTTGTGCTCAGAAAAACAACAACAACCCTAACTCTGCTCCATGGGGCTTGCTCCCAAGTAAACGTGCACAGGATTTGCAGCTTTAAAAAGAATCGGGCACCCGCCTCCTTCCCTGATGCGCACACAAAACATGTCCACACACCCACACCCCGGCCCACTCTCCATTTAGGACGACATGCAAATATTGTGTATGTGTGTGTGTGTGTGGGGGGGTGATTTTTAATTTTAAAAAACTTACCAGCTTCCCCCTCCTCCCCTAATCACCCCTCCCAACAACAAACTCCCGTTTGGCCAAGCCAAGATCTGGAGAGGTGGAAAGAGAGAAGGAAAGAGAGAGAGATCGGGGGAAGGTCAGCAGTACCAGCAGGAGGGTGTCCAGCCCGGGTCTCTGTTTTGACTTTAGGCGGCGAAGACATGCTCGCTCGGAAGCTGCTGCTGCTTGCTGCAAATCAAGAGTCAGCCCCAAAAGCTCAAGCGCAAAGCGGCTCCTCCGGCAGCGTCCTCAGTTGCCAACGTGGCCTCTGGCTGCGCACGGATCTGTCGTCAGAGCGCGCGGCGAAGCGGGAGGAGGAGGAGGAGAGAGAAAGGGACGCGCGGAAAGAGGAGGACGGCTGCTCCTTCCTCTTCCTGCGAGCAAGGAAGGCGAGAGAGGCGCGTGCGGGCAGCTGCCTCCTCCACTCTCTCTCCACCCCCCCTTTTTTTGGCTAGGGAATCTATTGCTTTGTGTTTGTTTATTCAGCTCACGCAATGTATACATTGCAAAAAAGAAGAAGAGCGGTTTGCAAAAAAGGGGGAAATCGAGGGTGGAATTGCAACAGAATTGTAGGGTTGTTGGAAAGGGACCCCCGCCCCGAGGACATCTAGCCGAACCCCCTGCAATGCAAAAAGTTAGAATGCTAAACCAGGTTAGAAATTATGCGTCCCATCTGTCTCCAGAGCCTATGGAGGAGTTGCACCTTCAGGGGCTTAAGTTGGAAAGTTGCAGCCCCCCCCCCCCCCGTGGCTGTAGAGAAATCCAATATGGGAGATGTTAAGTTGTGGGCGAACATATCGGACGACACAGCGATTCTTCCAAAGCAGCTCTTTATTTGTAAGCTGGAACAGAACTGAACTGAGGAGCTCAGTCAGCCTGCTTATATAGAGCTCCACTAGAATGCAACAGTAACCATTTTCTGTAACTAGCCAATCACTGAACGTCACTTTTGATCCTTCATTTGCATACAAACTATCCAATCACTGAACGTCACTTTCGAGCCTTCATTTGCATAACTATTTACAGTATCCCCCTGCTGGCCCAGGGTGAGAACTTCAGTACATAACAGGAGAGACATGCTTTGTTGCAGCTGGGGCAGATGAAGGTGTTTGGTTGTGCCGATGCAGGTGTGCCATTTCATCTGCACCCCTCCCAGCGTTCATTCCTTCTCTGGTCACTGCTGTGGATACACAACCTGACTGATGGTTTCCATGTGCTGTACAGTGGTACCTCGGGTTAAGTACTTAATTTGTTCCGGAGGTCCGTTCTTAACCTAAAACTGTTCTTAATGTGAAGCACCACTTTAGCTAATGGGGCCTCCTGCTGCCGCGGCACCACCGCCACACGATTTCTGTTCTCATCCTGAAGCAAAGTTCTTAACCCGAGGTACTATTCTGGGTTAGCGGAGTCTGTAACCTGAAGAGTATGTAACCTGAGGTACCACTGTAGTTGTCTAGAAAGGGATTCCCCTAAAGTGGAGTTAATGTAGGCAACCTTCGTGTCTTGTTTGCAGACACCTTTGTAATGCACAGTTGGTCTGCCTGGTGCCTGAAGCCAGCTCCCTGTAAAGCACATCTTTAGGGATCCTGCACCTTCCATTCTGTGGGCATGACCAATCCAGTGTAGATGCCCTCTGTCCTGCCATGTAATGCCCTAAATCTTCCTGATGCAGCGCATGTGGAAGGCGTTGAGGCGTCGGTCCTGGCAAGTGTAAGTTGCCCACAACTCATTACTATTGATTAAAGGTAAAGGGACCCCTGACCATTAGGTCCATTTGTGACCGACTCTGGGGTTGCAGCGCTCATCTCGTTTTATTGGCCAAAGGAGCCGGTGTACAGCTTCTGGGTCATGTGGCCAGCAGGCCTAAGCCGCTTCTGGCGAACCAGAGCAGTGCACGGAAACGCCGTTTACCTTCCCACTGGAGCGGTACCTATTTATCTACTTGCACTTTGACGTGCTTTTGAACTGCTAGGTTGGCAGGAGCAGGGACCAAGCAACGGGAGCTCACCCTGTCGCGGGGATTCGAACCGCCGACCTTCTGATCGGCAAGTCCTAGGCTCTGTGGTTTAACCCACAGCGCCACCCGCGTCCCATTACTATTGATACAATTGTCCTAAAAACAGAATTCGCAGAATGGTAGAGTTGGAAGGGGCCTCAAGAGCCATCTAGCCCAACCCCCTGCAATGCAGGAATCTCAGCTAAAGCATCCATGGCAGATGGCCACCCAACCTCTGCTAAAAAACCTCCAAGGGAGAATGGTCCATAACCTCCCAGGGGAGAGTGTTCCACTGTTGAACAGCTCTTACTGCCAGAAAGTTTTTCCGTATGTTTAGTCGGAATCTCCTTTCTAGTAACTTGAATCCATTGTTTCCTTCAGGAGCAGGAGAAAACAAGCTTGCTCCATTTTTGATGTGACAGCTGTTTAGATATTTGAAGGTGGCTGACATATTTCCTCACAGTCTGCTCTTCTCTAGGCTAAACATACACAGCAGCTTTCAGTCGGTGCTTAAAAGAGTACAATGGTACCTCAGGTTCAGTACTTAATTCCTTCTGGAGGTCCGTACTTAACCTGAAACTGTTCTTAACCTGAAGCACCACTTTAGCTAATGGGGCCTCCTGCTGCCGCCGCACCGCCGGAGCACGATGTCTGTTCTTATCCTGAAGCAAAGTTCTTAACCTGAAGCACAGTTTCTGGGTTAGCAGAGTCTGTAACCTGAAGCGTATGTAACCTGAAGCCTATGTAACCTGAGGTACCACTGTACTGGGAAGGTGCCTGCTCAATAGGCAGGGCAGTAAAATGTTTAGGAAATGAACAGCATGCTCTTTAAAAAGCAGGGTTGGGAAGGCTGTGGAAGACAAGCCTTTTGGCCAACGTGGCTTAACAGCTACTGTTGGCTATCTAGAGCCTCCATGTACAGGGGCACTGTACCAGCATACCCCTGGTTCACACAGAATTAACAGCAATAATAAAGAACACAATTGAATTCACTCCAGAACTTTTTTTATTTTAACAATGTCCCAAGGTACAAATAAAGGGTTAGCATCTAAAGAACTTACCACCTTGCTGTTGATTGCAGCAGGGCTGTCTATCATCCAACTTAGGAAAGTTTTGATAACTATACAATTGAGGCACAAAATGTATGGAACATTGCAATTTAAGGGGGGGGGGATACATTTAGTTTAAAATTCATTCAAGGAAAGGCAGAACGTTTGGATTTTTGTGCAGTGTGGTGGGATTTTAAACAATATGCTAATAACAGTAATTTGTGACTTGATTCCAGAAGTAAATAAGAATGTTTGGCTATCGTGAGAATATAAGATGATGTCGTCCTGTTTGTGGATAGGCTATATTCCACTGTCTTTATACTTTAACTTTGCTTTTAGCATTTGTACTCCTGCGGATTATGGCATAACACCAGTTTATTAATACCATAGCAGACCTACACAAAAAATAATAACATTTTTAGAAAAGTAGTGAAAATGTGAAATGACATATTATTCTTGATACTGTAAAACACACACCCCTTCCATACCCATTGTTTATACAAGTTATGTTGGTTGAATTTGTATTTTGCTATACTGAAAACTAATAAAAAAAATGGAGGGGGGAACTGTTGGAAAGGACCTTTATGAATAAGTGTTTTAAAAACAAAATAAGTACATTTTGCAGTTACCTTTGCACCCCCAATTTTTATCTTGCAAAGCCTTTGCTTTGATTTCTAAACGCAAATAGACATTGGCATTATTTCTTCATTTGTAGTATTTCCAGCACCTAATTTGAAGGAGGATTTCATGCCTTTCATAACTGCAGAGCCAAGAGTTATTTAGCAAGGTCTCCTAGCACTGAACCGTTGCGAAAGGTGCTAAAAAGGCTGGTGGTGAGGTTTTGCTAGGTGTTTTTTGTTTTTGCAGATAGTAAACTCCTGTCACCAAGGAGCCATAGTTGCAAACTGCCTTGAGTTTGCTACCAGAAACTCGGTCTGTTTTTTCGATAGCAGTAATTGGGCTAAAGATACAACCAACAAATATGTCACGGTAACCTGGACTCTGACAACGATTGCACAAGTTTAGAAAAGCAAATGGTATGACAGCACCTAAGCACATGCTGCTGTAAAGTTAGTCAGTTAAAGGAGTTACCGTATTTTTCGCACCATAGGACGCACCGCCCTATAGGATGCACCTAGCTTCCCCCGACCCCAGCCCCCAGAACAGCCTGCTATCCGCAAGCCTAGGGAGCCGCGCCGGTCTCCCCAGGCTTGCGGAGAGCTGCGCAAAGCCTGGGCGCGCTGAAGAGGCTTCGGAATGCAGGCAGCTCTGCACAACCTTTGGGAGCCTGGCGCGGCTTCCTGCCAGGCTCCCGAGGGTTGCGCAGAGCTGCGCCGAGCCCGGGAGCGCAGGCAGCTCTGCGGAACCCTCGGAAGCCCGGCGAGGAGCTTCCTGAAGCCTAGAGAGCAAGAGGGGTCGGTGCGCACTGACCCCTCTCGCTCTCCAGGCTTCAGCGAAAGCCTGTATTCGCCCTATAGGACGCACACACATTTCCCCTTCATTTTTGGAGGGGAAAAAGTGCGTCCTAGAGGGCGAAAAATACGGTACATGACTTGTAGTCTTGATTAAATGCGCAAATGAAAACTAGGGAGGAGTATCAGGTGGAAAAGGTTTCCACTTTTTAAAATGGTTATTGAAATGCTTAATATTATTCCATAATATTGAAATGCTGACTACAGAAAGCCCTAAACCAGTGGTTCTCCAAAGGGTTGGCAGGAGAGGATGGCAGATATGGCAGGAAGATTCAAGGACAAACAAATAAACATTTAAGCATTTCGCTGTAGTATAGTATAGTATCAAAATATTTTATCTTATTCGCAGAATATGGATAGTTATGGAAACAGGGATTTTCAGCTCTTGCAAATAGGAGAGCTCAAAAGAGAAAGGCTTCTTTGTGTTGGTGAGAGTTTGTCTATCACAAATGAGACCTAATATAAAAGAGATTATGTGGCAATGATTATTATGAAGCGGCATGTCCCATGATCATATTATAAAGTATGTAGTTGTGTTCTATGTTACACGTCTAGCAATGCCAGTTTTTCTTTTTGTTGTCCAATGTATTCCTTATCAATTTAAAAATTTGGTGTGGCCCTGAGGTAAAATGTTTGAGAACCACTGCCCTAAACAAACGTTCTCTTGCTAAGGTTGCTTTTGTTATCTGTGTTTGTCTGTTAGTGGCTGTCTTGTTGGTGAGTGAAATAATTTTTGGGAAGCCCCCCCCTAAAAAAAGCTCAACATCTTTTGAGACCAGCCCCCCTAAAGAAAGCTCAACAATTTTGACCGGCCCCCCTAAAAATAAATCAACAACTCTGAACTCCTCCCCCCAAAAAAGGGGTAGATCACTGCCAGTTTCCCTCCCCCAGGAGTAGATTGCAATCTCTTGGGATGTCCCTGTGATAAAGCGTGTTCACCTTCATGGAGAGCACATGTTGTGGTGGGGTCTAACAGGACACCCCCTCTTGGTTACTGGGCAGGACCGTTTGGATGGCCATCACTGATTGGGCCAATCTGGGTTGTTGGGGAGATTTTGATGTTTCCATTTAGAGGCTTGGCCCAAAGGTTGTATATTCATGGCACGCAGCTTTTTTCAATCTTTTTTGCTGCGTGCGTCGGATCACCTGCCCACCCTCCCTAATTTAGGGCTGTTGCGTTTGATATTGCTATGCCTGTCATGGGGTCGCTTCCTTTGGGGACAGGGGCCTGGTAGGAATTTTGTCCATTTGGCAGATTGGCTGGTGCCATTTGGTTTTTGCCTACTGTGCCTGCCCCTCCAATGCTGCTGCTGCTGCAAGGGAATTCCGTTAAAGGAATCCAGGGGTTTGCCATGCTTTTGTCCGTATCCCAAGCAAGGGGCTAGGGCCGTGCAAGTCCCTGGGAGCATGCAGGGAGGGGTGACGGTATTCTGCCCAGCCCCATTCTCTCCCCAATATTGTTTTCCTTTACTGGCTTTTACTGGAATCTGGAAGTCAGTTCTGTCCCGGGGCGGGGACAGATAGTCGTAACCAATGCCTAAGCAACCACTCACATTATGTATTTTAATAAAGTTGTGGCCAAAATTATGCCAAAAACGTTAAACAAAAATTTTATGTGAATTGTGATTTATTTAGGGGGTGGCTTGGGGACCTCGATAAGGGACGTGGGTGGCGCTGTGGGTTAAATCACAGAGCCTAGGGCTTGCTGATCAGAAGGTCGGCGGTTCGAATCCCCGCGACAGGGTGAGCTCCCGTTGCTCGGTCCCTGCTCCTGCCAACCTAGCAGTTCAAAAGTACATCAAAGTGCAAGTAGATATATAGGTACCACTCCGGAAGGTAAACGGTGTTTCCGTGCGCTGCTCTGGTTCGCCAGAAGCGGTTTAGTCATGCTGGCCACAAGACCTGGAAGCTGTACGCTGGCTCCCTCGGCCAATAAAGCGAGATGAGCGCTGCAACCCCAGAGTCAGCCACGACTGGACCTAATGGTCAGGGGTCCCTTTACCCTCTACTGGGGACCTCAACACGCAAAGAAACGTTTCACAAGTCAGTCAGGCAAGCAAGAACAAATTTAGGTCTGGCCAAGAGAGGAAGCTTGGGATGCGTGCAATTCCAGAGGCCAAACACAGCTGTCCATGCCTAAGATTTTGCTCCTCTGTTACTGACAGATACTTCACTAAGTAGTTTTGGTTGCATACAGGGTATGGTATTTCTGATCTCTTTTCTTTCTGTGATCTTTGGATGAAGAGCGTCACACGAATGCAGTTAAACAAACAGAATTCTGAACTGCACGCTGTAGGTCACTGGCCATACAGCTTGTCTACGTAGGGCTCAGGCTGGAGCTATATCATAAATATCTGTGTAGCTCTGGGGAGGAAAGCATCTTGGGAAGGGCTGAATTAGAGCAGCCAACTTATTGGGCTGAAAAGTGTTACACAAGAGTGAGGGGTTCACTCTTCTGCATGTTAAATAAGGGTAAAGATACAATTATAGGGTTGCTATACGCCCGGAATGCCATATCCACATTCATCAGCATCGTCCAAATGTCTGGGGAAATCTGGATGTATGGCAGGCAATTTTGCTGATGTTAAAATAGCTCGAAAATGGCATTTTTTGAACTTTGGGCAAAACAAAAGAAAGCTCAACAACTTTTCTGTCTTGATTTTCACTGTTTGAAATATTGTATTTACTTTCTCTGTCCCCTCTTCTTCTTAATTTTCTTCCTTTACTTATTCTTGCTTTTTCCTTTCTAGATTATTTTGGCTTTTATTGTATGTTGAAAACGTTTAATAAAGATTGATTATTTAAAAAAAACCCCTCAGTTCTCTGCTCATCCCCAACTAATTTTCAACATGAGAAAATGAGGTGAAGATCAGGAATTGCAGAATTAGAAAAATAGAAAAAATATGGCTGATTTATAACTGTGTGAGTGTGATACAGCACATTGCCTCAAAAACTGCATCTGAAGGCCCAACAAAAGGAACTGGTGCTATATTGAGCTTTCCATATTCCCAGTCCCTGTCGGAGGCTTTGATTCCCTGTTTATCTATCTTAGATGTAGTCTGCTGGGTACTTGCTGTTGCATGAGCTTTACCTTCAGGTCTTTGGTAGATGATTTAAGATTTCTGTTAACTTTGTTCCATACTTTATCAATCACAAGGCTCAGGGCTTTTGCTCCGTGCATTTTTCTCCCAAAGAATATGAACCGGTAGTAGGCTATAAATAATGCATTGTGAAGGCCTTGCATTCTGTCTCCGCTAAGTCTGTGTGTAATATAACCTCATCTTTTTCATGTAGGGAGCTTGGTGAAGTATATAGATGGCTAGGTTGCAGCAGGCAGTATTAAAATGGGCTGCGTTTATTTTAAGAGAGAAATTATTTATTTAGGGAGATAGAAATGTATTTTTCGACTCGTTTTTAAGTACCAGGTAATCTCTAATTATGACTGCTGTATTCTTAATCACCAGAAGTCTGGTTTTTTCAGAATTGATAACCACTTCTTTTCCTGGGCACTCCCTACTTAGACAATAAAGACAATTAATGCTGTTGGATTGGCAATTCATCATAGTTAAACACCTTGTGGGAGGCACATTCTTCTTCCAAATTAATGCACTCCCCCCCATTACTTTATAATTGGAACACTTTCCAATTTTACTGGGGATGAAAGGGAAATTTTTTTTTTAAAATGTGAGGAGTAAATCATTGGTTAAAGGTAAAAAGACCAGAAAATTTGACACCAACCGATAGAAATAAGCTATCAAATGATTATGGGATATTATTTAATACTCAGGTAGAAGAATATAAAACCTTTATCAAAAAATGGTAGAGACACGATAAAGAAAAGTGCTTTTAGATGGATGCACAGTGGTGCTTGTGGGCCTGCAAAATGAATAAAATTGGTGAAAAGGAGATTGAATGTACTAAATTTGTACAAAACCAAAAAGAGTCCCCGTGACAAGAACGTGTCTTCCAAGGAGATGGAATATTTGTAAATATTTGTAATTTTGTAATATTTGTAAATATTTGTAATATTTGTAAAACGAAGAGATTTTGCAGCATGCACACATGTTGGAAGCATGGGAAGGCAATTAAATATTTGCGGATGGTAGTGAATATAATTTTTTTCAGTTTCATATTATATTAGACTTTGAAATGTTTATTATATTTTGTCAAATATTGTGTTTCTTATTTTTATATCTTGCAGTGGTTAAAAGGGTGTTTTTTAAAATGGAAGAAAAGCAGTTGAAGACCGATAAAGCTAATAAGAAACATTTGGGAATTTGATGGCATTTCTGAGGAACCCACAATAAAGTGGCCCTGAGGAGAAGGAATCTAGGGATTCGATATGGAAAACAATGTAAGAAAGGGGCAGAGGGCAAACTTGACATTGTGAATCATGTAAAGGTTGAGATGGAATAATGGCTTTTTGTTTTTTTTGTTTTTTAAATCAATTTTATTTGATTTTACAGATAGAAATTTATAACAATACCAAATACATATCCATGTATAGAGAATTCTCTGAATCTCAAGACTTCCCCCCATCCCCTCCATGGATCCTATTGTCAACATTTTCAACTGCATATTATTCCATACTCTATATTTTATATCCATCCATGTTATCCATAATCTAACTAAGATTATGATGGCAAAGAACATTACAAGTGACATTGAAATCCTGCTAATGTTTTCATCTGCTTACAGTGGTCAAAATAATGGCATTTTGTATCCAACAGTCGGAAAGTTATATGGAAGAAATATAATTCCATGTGTTTAAGTATTATTCTGAGTAGACCCACTGAAATCAATGGAGTTGTCAATGCAAACTTCCAACTCCCATTCATTTCAGTGGGTCTGCTCTGAGCATGATTTAGTCAGGTAGAATCTTATATATACTATACAGCAGATGTATGTTGCGTAGCTTTTCATAATATAGATCTCAGCTTGTAAGCAGGTTGATCTCAGATGGCCCTTCCAGGGGTTCCCCCCCACCCCCCCTTTTTTGTTATTTTTTTTTTTTAAATCATCGATCCACATAAATCTGTAACTGTAAGTGAAATTAGCATGAGATGCGATCTACTTGTATAATATTTTAAAAACGAGACGGAGTTGGAATCCTTTCAACATGAAGTGAAACTGATAACATAACACTTAGAGATAAGTTTATAGTCTGCAAAAAAAGAGAGAAAGAAATATATAACTAACATTTGGGTATTCTGACAATATCAATCATGAGAAGAAGAAAAACACTTTCCCCAGTATTTTTGGTGGCAGTGCATGCAGTCATGACCACAGAGGCACAGGCATGCTGAGTCACACTGAAATCAATGCGTTCAATGTGCTTATAGCTGGGCTTCAGATTACATTCTGTTTTTAACACAGAAAGGAACTCAGGAACCAGAGTTCCTGAGTTAAACAACACAATGTAGATTTTCAGGTGTTTTTTGTTTTTTGTTTACATCAAATTTGGTTGTGATTTCTGTATTTAGTAATGCAAGTGTGTTCTTTGTGGCCTTCCTTAAACAATGCTTTTTATATAAAAGCCACTAAAATCTTTATTGTGGTTGCTAGCAACATGGTCCTATGCATGTTTATTCAGAACTGAATCTAATTGTATTTGTTCGGTCTTGCAATACAGTGGTACCTCAGGTTAAGTACTTAATTCGTTCCAGAGGTCCGTACTTAACCTGAAACTGTTCTTAACCTGAAGCGCCACGTTAGCTAATGGGGCCTCCTCCTGCTGTCGCGCCGCCAGAACACGATTTCTGTTCTCATCCTGAAGCAAAGTTCTTAACCTGAAGCACTATTTCTGGGTTAGCGGAGTCTGTAACCTGAAGTGTATGTAACCTGAAGCATATGTAACCTGAGGTACCACTGTACTACAAATAATCAGAATCCTACCATTTATCAATTTCTGCGGTTTGGGGGGGGACCCCCTCAAATCTATAACCAGTGCTTTTTCTGGGAGTACTCAAGAGTACCGGCACCTTTTTTTTTTTCTAGAAGAAAAGCACTGTCTATAACAATATATTTTTTCTGGCTTGCGGCAAAACTAGGGCTAATCTAAAAGTGGATTAGTGCTTTAGTCTGCACTCCAATCTCCAATTCCCTATGGTAAGGGGAACTTCCTTTTGAGTAGACATGTATAAGAATGTGGCACTGCCGGTATTGTTTTTGGCTGAACGTAACAGGATTTTATGTTTCTGCGGTTATGTACTGTAAACCTGGAGAAGGGGGTGGCCCATACACTTTCAAATAGCCGACTACTTTTCAAGTCAATCATCTCCTCCATGTTCCACTTCTCCCAGCGGAGGCTGTTAGGATTCCTTATGTGGGTGGCTAAGGTGTAAGGAAAGTTGTTTTTCTTGGACATATTGCAGCTTCCTGTAGCGAGACATGAAATATTCTGACAGCACTGGGCTGGGCCAAGAGTCTAAAATGGGATAACATATGCTAGCTGACTATAAAAAAATAATAAAAGCTTTTGTTTTGTTGCTGGTTTCGACAAGGAAAGCTGCCAAGCGTAGCATGTTGTAGAACCCCTGGGGTGCTTTCCCATGTTAGCAGCTTCTATCGTATGCATATGGTGATAAGCACCAGCCTGCCCTTTTCAAGGTTTTTTCTCCTACGTACTGAGGCCATCTGAGATTAATACTGCTAGATACATTCAATATTGGTTTACTGGAATCCATGAGGATTTCGTCTGCTTTCCTACACGTGTAGGGTTTACATGGCACAAAGATTAAAGCGATCTCCTGCTGCAAAGATTCCCATCCCCTCAATAATAATAAAAAAGGAAAAGCTGCTGGCAATCTTATTATACCTGTTGTTGATAATGCATATACAGTGGTACCTCGGGTTACATACGCTTGAGGTTACATACGCTTCAGGTTACAGACTCCGCTAACCCAGAAATATTACCTCGGGTTAAGAACTTTGCTTCAGGATGAGAACAGAAATTGTGCTCCAGCGGCAGTGGGAGGCCCTGTTAGCTAAAGTGGTGCTTCAGGTTAAGAACAGTTTCATGTTAAGAACAGACCTCCAGTTCTTAACCCGAGGTACCACTGTATGCAGACAGATAAGATATATCATGAGATATATCATAAGATCTTTGTTTGGGCAAGCATACATGTATTACTAGGGAGCAAGTGGCGCTGTGGTCTAAACCACTGAGCCTCTTGGGCTTGCCAATCGGAAGGTTGGTGGTTGGAATCCCTGCGACAGGGTGAGCTCCTGTTGCTCTGTCCCAGCTTCTGTCAACCTAGCAGTTCAAAAGCACACCAATGCAAGTAGATAAATAGCTACCGCTGCGGCGGGAAGGTAAATGGCGTTTCCGTGTGCTCTGGTTTCCTTCACAGTGTCCCGTTGCACCAGAAGCGGTTTAGTCATGCTGGCCACATGACCCGGAAAGCTGTGTGTGGACAAACGCCGGCTCCCTCGACCTGAAAAGCGTGATGAGCGCCGCAACCCCATAGTTGCCTTTGACTGGACTTAACTGTCCAGGGGCCATTTACCTTTTACATGTATTGCTACTTATTTTATATTGCTGGAGCATAATTATTGCCTCCTCCTTTTAAATATATTACCTACACTTGATCCCCAAGATAAAGTATATCATGGGTAGCTGAATATAGTTTTATATACGGTAACTCTCAATTCGCCATGAAATGTTAAGATTTGTATTATATGCCCTGGGGTCTCCAATCCAGTTCAGCCAATGGCAGATCCACACCTTATCATTTCTGTATGCTATTCTACTTACTGTATATGTGTGACTGGTAACTGGATTTATAAACTGACTCCATTTTGTTTCAGGTGTTGGGAAATCAAAGAATTGTAGAGTTGGAAGGGATCCTGAGGGTCATCTAGTCCAACCCCCCTGCAATGTAGGAAGCCTGCCCACAGCCATCCCTGGGTGGGCTCGAACCCCCAACCTTCTTGTGAACAGCCAGACACACTGACCCATTCTGCCACAGAAGGGCAAGGTCTCTGTGTGGTTTTATATTTGTGATAACATTCAGGTTATCTTTCCAAATCGCAGTCATGAACATGCATGCGTCCAATGAATCTAAAGTTGCTCTGATAAGCAAAATTTCTTAGAATAAAACCCTATAAAAATCTGCATTATTTACTTTTGAAACGGGCTGAAGTGCAGGAACTCCTCTTGACCTGTGAATCAGGCTGAGTGTTGAAAAGCATAATATTCTGGAAAAAAATGATGGGAGAATCCATGGATACAGAACACCTTAGTGGTACTTGTAGGAGATCATTATGTGGCTGACTGCAAGCTAATTGCATTTGTTCAGTGACTGAGAAAATGGGATACAGATGGGAAGTGAGCGGTAGGAAACACCCTACTGTTGGAGAGCAAAATAAAGCAACTGCTACAGGGTATAGCACGTTGTTGTCAAGGAAAAAAAGGTTGAAATTGCCTACCCCACACATGCGCTTTTTTCTGCTTAAATAGCTCTTTTAATTAATTTTTTAGCAATGTGTGGTTGTCACAAAACAAGCGTAGTAATGGCTGAGGGCAGCTAATAACGTACACTTCTTCAGTGGGAGTATAGCTGAAATGATTGACAGCATTTCCTTCGAAGCAGTGCAATAAATATCAGTCTGTGAAAGCTGCTTTGAATTCACAAATACAAATAATCATATGAAGACGATGGCAACTCCTTTTTAAATTTTTTATTTCCAGAAAAATACATGGAACACATAAACTGTCACAGAGCGAGCCAGCCAGTGGTACAGCCTTTGCTTTGCTGATAGTCAATCTTGATGGGTCATGGCACTGCCTTGGTTTCTTAATGGCTGGTTTCCAGGTGACTCTCTGGTTAGGAGAAACCAGTTTCGCCTTCATTTGTACACTGCTAAATTCAGTGTCTGGCACCTTCTCTAAATCAAGGAAATATGAGTGCCTTGCCCCCACAAACTCTGGCACCCAAAATCTGTAACAATACTTGGCTGCAGTCTTCACACCAGTTACTGCCATTTAGTCCTAGACATCCTCTAGACATCCTCCCAACCTAGCAGTTCGAAAGCATGTCAAAGTGCAAGTAGATAAATAGGTACTGTTCCGGCAGGAAGGTAAATGGTGTTTCCATGCGCTGCTCTGGTTCGCCAGAAGTGGCTTAGTCATGCTGGCCACATGACCCGGAAGCTGCACGCCGGCTCCCTCGGCCAGTAAAGCGAGATGAGCGCCTCAACCCCAGAGTCGGTCACGACTGGACCTAATGGTCGGGGTCCCTTTACCTTTATCCTCTAGAAAGCTAGAGAACTGGTGAAGGGAAAAGGAAAAGGTAAAAGACCCCTGGACGATAAAGTCCAGTCAAAGGCGACTATGGGGTTGCGGTGCTCATCTCGTTTTCAGGCCGAGGGAACCACTGTTTCTCCACAGCTTTCCGGGTCATTTGGCCAGCATGACTAAATCCCTTCTGGCGCAACGGGACGCCGTGACGGAAACCAGAGCTCACAGAAACGCCGTTTACCTTCCTGCTGCAGTGGTAACTATTTATCTACTTGTACTGGCGTGCTTTCAAACTTTACCTTTAGTAAATCAAACAGTGTGAAGACTGCTATCTTATGGATGCCATCTTATTGGCAACGTTTATAATGCCACCCAATATCCCATTGAGCTTGATATTTGCTTCAAAAGCAGTGTATTTTATGAACAAATAGCCGGATGGGGCTGAGGGGGGCACAAGCATCTGTGACGGCATGCACGCACAGTGCGCTGAGATCATGTGGCCCCGGGTGGCCCGCGTGATTGGGGAAATTTCACAGAGAAAAGGTTTAACCTACTTCTTCCATTGTGTAACTATTATACGGACGGCCACAATCCAATTCAGGGGAGCCCACAGCTGCTTTTTAAAAGAAACATACAGAGATCCCAGATGCAGCCATTGAATTCTAACGTCTTGGCTAGGCTGGCCCCTAATTATTTCTTCTTTGACAAGCTGACAGCCATTTCCCAGATAGAGATGCATTGTGTAGCTTTGTAAAGGTGTGGGGGAATCATACCTACTAATGTATTGTAGTGAATAAAACTATAGGGGTTTCTGTTAGGAAAGGAGCTGAAAACCATTGTTGCAAACTTCTTGAGATTTCTGAAGGCTGCAGCTATCTCATTCAGACGACAGTTATTCTTAACCTCCTCCTTGGTACTTTGCTGCAATTTCTGTGACTACCAACCTCACTCTTACTGCTATGACATACCTTAAGTGCTCTGGCCTGATGCAATTTCACATTCTAGCAAAGTCCCTGATCTCAGGGTCTCTACCCCGCTTTCCCCATCTGCTCTGTTGTTTAGTGTACAGTAGATGGTATGCTTCTTATACCTCCGTTAATTCTCCAATGACATTCTCCAAATCACTGCCTTCCCATAATTTCCCTTCCCTCAATCTGGACTTTCTCATATTAAGGATACTCCCAAAAAGTGAAAGGTAAGTGAAAATCTGGATTGAAGGGGGAAAGTGACTGAATCACAGGGGTGGGCAGAGTTAGGCCAAATGTCTGCTGAAACAGAGTCGTTATACAGCAGCAAAATGCCATTAGTGAGTGAGCTGGGCAGATCTCTTGGCACAGACGTCTTCACCCTGGGCACTGCCATAGAGAATGCAAAATGCACTCTTGACAGCAGAATGATGAGAAGGGCCCGCCCTCCCCAACCTGAGCAGATGGACAGGTTCATGTTGGAGGAGATGGTCCTTCAGGTATCATCAGGACAAACTACTTGGGGCTTTAAAGGTGATCACCTTTGTACTGACCTTGGAAGTCACGAAAGCGGATCCAGCAACGGAGTCAACATTCTCCATCAAACTGCTCTGGCCACAGCAACCCTGACTGCAGCATTTTACAGCCATTATAGTTTCCAAACGCTTTTCATTTTTTTTAAAAAAATATTTTTATTAAATTTTCAACAAATTTTAACATAATCGCTGCTGGTAAAAAAAATCAAAAAATAAATTCTCAATTACCGCCCCCCCCCCCAACTTCCCTTTCTGGTTTATAACATATTCACTTTTCCTGCTTGTTATTTTATATCCCTTATGTAATAAAGTTAAAATTGTACATTGTTATATTCTTAATATTTTAACCTCATATTTATGTTTTCTGTTTATGTTCATTACCGGGTAATTGTAAGTGTTTCAGTCAAATCCTGCAAGTGAGTCCATTTCCTTACATTGTTTCTGTAGATATATCATAAAAGGTTCCCAATCTTTTTTGAAGTCTCTATTGGCCTTATCTTTAAGTCTTTCAGTCAGCGTTGCCATTTCGGCATATTCCATCTTGCCATTGTTCTTCCGTTGACATTTCATCACTTTTCCACCTTTGAGCTAGTAAAATTCTAGCTGCTGTTGTAGCATACATAAATAAATTCTTCTTGTTTTTTGGCAAATCTTGACTTAAAATGCCTAATAAGAAAGCTTCTGGTCTTTTAAAAAAGGTTATCTTAAACATTATTTTCATTTCATTATAAGTCATATCCCAGTAATTTTTAATTATTTTACAATTCCACTGCATGTGAAAAAATGTGCCTTCCCTTTCTTTACATTTCCAACACTTATTGGAGCTTGTTGCCGAACACTTTTCAAAAGTCGTGTTACACAGAGCATGTTGCATTGGAATCCACTCAGAATGTAGCTAAAGGCAAAGATGGGGAGCGTGTAGCCTTCCAGATGATGCTGGACTGCAGTTTTCATAATCAACTCTAATCAACTCTAACCACTCTCGTGTTTAGGGCTGGTGGAAGTCCATCAACATTTAGATCTAAATCTAAGGAGACCAGCTTGCACTCACTTTTTATTTAGCCACTCCCCTGTTTTGCTTAGTTACATGTTTTCTTGAAAGAAAAGGGGATGAGCCAAGGGGGAACGCAGGACCTTGTATGTCTGGTCCCTGGCCTTAAAGAAGATTTCCCCCACAGCTTGTAGCATCTAAGTGACTCGGGCTGGTGATAGTGGCACATATTCACACAGCACATATTCACTCAGGAATCTAAAGCCAGTCCATCAATAGATGCACCACATAATATGTCTGCTGAACATGTACCTTGCAAAATGTCATGGCTGGGAAATTATGTCTTTAGGAAGAACTTCTAAATATGACCCTTCAGGTCTTCCACAAACTGGCAAGACTGTAAGAGGCATGCCACACAAATGTGTCAAGAAACGTGTGATTGAGTGAACTGCAACCTTATCTCCAGTGCTCCCCCCCCCACTTATTTTTGAAGGTGTTTGCCTCCGCAATCTATGTGTTAATGTTGCTATTTTAATTTTCCCATTCACAATGATTTTGGGATATCGTTGCCAATATCTTGTCACAGGTCACTTCCCATCTAGTCAACACCATTAAAGATGGCAGGATTTGCCAGCCTACAAGAAGTTCGTGGGCTTCGTTCCAAGCCTGTTTAGTCCTCTGCGGAGGCTGCCAGACAAGAAGCCAGTGAATATATTAGTAACTCTGATGGGAAATTGGCAGTGAGAAATCCTGTAGCCTCTTCCTCTCTCAATCCCCTATCTGTGCGTTTTGTCTAATACTCCATTAAAATGGCATCTGGTCGCCATTCGTTTTAACAACAGGTGCGATCTTTTAACTGGTTGAGGCAAAGTTTCCAAAACTGCTTCAGTGGCAAGAAATGGCCCAGATTTTGTTGCAAGCCATTAGATGCCCTCTTTGACATTTTCAAATCTGGGCTATAATGTCTTCACACTACTTGGAAAGTGGGGGTAGGGGGCGGAGAAGAGGTTCATTGTTCTTGGTTGTGCTTATTTCCCACCTGGAGTCCTAATCCTCTGTTTGGAAAATTCTCATTTACTTGGTTGCTGAGGCAATGAATAGTGTCACAAACAAAGGATTAGGATGTCAAAAGAGGACTAAGCAGCAGGTGCAAAACTGAAATAAAGATTCCCTTTTCATCAGAATGCTTCTATAATTGAAAATGGATAGAACGTTTTAATGTACAGATGCAAGGTTGTTGCTTAAGATAAATGCTTTCCTCAAGGTTGGCTCGCAGGTTTGCACAACAGGCTATGCCCATGATAACTGCAAACATATGAGAGTACATGAGACTTTATAGATGTCGCCCAGCCATTGCAAGAGTTCCTGTGTTAAGGTGTCAAGTGATGTTGGTATTACTTTAGGTGCTCACCACAAACATTTTACTAGTGCCATGTGTAACTATTGCACAGACTGTATACACCTGGAAGGCCGTATTCACAAATACCAAGGGCTACAATAATTAACCCTGAAAGGTATCAGACAGATAGCCTTTGCAGTCAACCCGCTACAAATCCACCTAGCAGTTACCTTGTTCAACCCACATTTTACAGCTTCTCTGCAAGAATATCATGTGGGGGCTTTTGTCAGAAGCCTTACTGAAATCAAGATACACTATGTCGACAGCATTCCTCTGATCCACCAAGCTTGTGACTCGATCAAAAAAAGAAAGAAAAAAGAAATGAGATTCGTTTGGTATGACTTGTTTTTGAGAAACCCAGTTCGCCTGTCTTCCCAAGTGATGTGTAAAATTTTTCGGAGACACCGTTGATGGAATCTTTTGAAGAATTGGGTATGGCAATTTATAAGTGGTCCATGTTTCACAAGCATATAGTAAGGTTGGTAGTACAATAGCTTTGTAAACAAGCATTTTGGTTTCCCTGCGAATGTCCCGGTCCTCAAACACTCTGCACTTCAATCGGGAGAAAGCCGCACTCGCTCAGGTGATACTGGATTTTGGCATCAACGTTGGCAACCATCAGAGGCTTTCTGTCATGATCCACTGGAATCCTTTGGAGCACAATGGAATGCAGATTGCAAGAAAATGTTTCATGAGATCATTAGGTGCTTAACATAGGCTCCAGTGTTAGCCTGTGCAGTTGCAATTAAGCCATTTATTCTCTACTTGGCACACAGATACCACCACTAGTGGACTGGGGGCAATGTTGTACCAAGAGATTGATGGGAAAAGGAGGTCTCACCATGAGCAAAGCCAGACACTACGTACATAAATAACAATTTCCAGCACTGAAATTGGCCTTTATTGAGGAATTCCCAGACAATTTGGAGAGACAACCAATTTAGAGAAACAATAAGCTCCTTACCTACGTCCATACATGGGCAAAGCTGGCCACAGTATTCATTATCCACACTTCAGTATTCATCGCCAGACTGGAAAGACTAGCATAGATGCAAAGGCATTATCTTGCCAACAGCATAGTAAATAGTCCAGCATCCCTGCTGAAGGAGTGAACACACTATGTGGTGAGGATGGAGTGAAGCGAGGACCATCAATGGGATTTGCTGCTGAGAAACCAAGGGTTCCATATGTTTTTATAATATTCTGTTTTTCTTGTTGTTAGACGACAATATGTCACGGAGAAGGTTGATCTAGCACTCTTTTCTCTTGACATCTCGCTTGCTTTGTACAGTGACCATTTATGCACAGCTAGCCTGACACAGTTCAATGGGATTCTGTGTTTATATTTTAAACAATCTTTTATTTCTCTGTTTTCGAGTCTCGTTCCAAATTCATAAATACATTTCCCTATACATCAGACAAAAGCGAAACAAATATTCAATAAGAACATATTTTTTTTTTTTAAAAAAAAATCACAGTGCTCCTGACATGATTCACAAACAATATTTCTTGAAAACCAAGTTAGACTGCAGTCCTATACGCACTTACATCAGCAACTGAACCCAATGGGATTACTTCTGAGTAGGCATCTATAGGCTTGCCCATCAGACTAGTAAAATACAGTAATTGGAAGGACTGGTGAAAAAGAAGAAGAGAGAATTTCTAGAGTATAGGTAAAGGTAAATAACCCCTGGATGGTTAAGTGCAGTCAATTCAATTTTAATTTAATTGCATTAGCATACAGCCATAGCAAAATAAGACAATACAAAAATGTTGGGGACAAGCAACCAAGCAAAATTCAAAGCGATATTGCTGGCGTAATGACATTTAAAACACCCTAAGACAATAATACAAAGATTTGGTTGCCAGCACCAAAAAACTAGTATGCGGATATAAATAAAACATAAAATGGCCCCAAAATAGGCTCAGCACATTGAGTTAAGAAGGTAATAAAAGAATTAAACAGGTCCAGGACTAGGGCACACTACCCTGTCAGAGTAGCCCTGAGTTTCAGAGCCTGCACTATGAAGATTGCCACCCCACGTGAAATTTGGGGATTTGCGTCCACAAGAAGTGCTTTCAGACAGTCTTCCTTAGATGAAATGGAGGACGGGATCAAGAGGAGGAGCTTAGGTCTTATTGGGTCATAAATAGGGCAGTAGAAAAAGAAATGTATGAAGTCCTCTACTTCATTCATTGTGCATGGACATAGACGCTGAGTAATAGGGGTCTTAGAGTAGGTCCCCTGCAAGAAGGCCGTGGGTATAGAATGAAAACGGGCCATTGTAAACGCTCTTCTCAAATTGGGCTCCGTCAGGTCTATCAAGTAGTTGGCAAGTGATCTTACCACTTTCACTTTAGGGAGCCACATGGAGAGGCGAGCTGAGGTGGACTGTGCCCGGTCCATGGCCTCATCTCTTATAAGAATCCAGTCCCGGATTTTATGTTGGTCCCAAGATGACAACGTGTCGAATTCTGGGAGGGAGTAGCGTACAGTAATAGTCTCCATGGCCTTGGACCATTTGTTGGAGTGAGAACAAGTTAAAAAGGCTTGCCTGGCTAGTAGGGAACCTGGGGCATTGATTAATTTGCAATAAAAACTAATAATTCTAATATGGGCTCTCGCAACAATGGAGGGGAGGCCCAGTTCTGTTCTTAACTGAGCAGCAACCGAGCCCTTGGGGAGACCCAGTATCTTTCGTACAAAAGAGTTTTGTAGAATCTCCAGCCGTTGAAGTGTTTTTAAATTCCACCCCCAGATTTCAACCCCATACAGTAACATCGGGAGGACTTTGCTAATAAATGCTTTTCTGATTGGTGGAACCAACTGGCCGCCTTTTGCATAGAAGAATTTCTCCAAGGCTTTGATGGTTCTACGGGCAGCCAGGATGGTCATATTTAGGTGAGCTGACCAGCTAAGCCCATGCTGAAAAGTGATTCCCAAATACTTGAAAGCTGAGCAATATTCAATAGAGTGGCCCTCAAAGTTCCAGAATGACTTCCGAGTTTTCGTGCCAAAAGTAAGAATTTTGGTTTTGGCGAAATTGATTTTGAGGGAATTGGTATCACAATATGTCATGAGCCCTCTGAGCATGTTGTTTAAGCCCTGCTTGGTTAAAGACAGTATCACCATGTCGTCCGCATAGAGTAATATGGGGATCTTGAGCTGTTGTAGAGAGGGGGCAGATTGATTTAGGGCCTGCATAGTTGTAACGATGTCGTTGATATAGAAATTGAATAGAAAAGGGGCCAAGAGGCAGCCCTGTTTGACCCCTTTATTCAGAGGGAAAGAATCAGAAAGAGCTCCCAGGGGGCCGAATTTTACTCTGGCCGATATGTCATTATGAATTTCCATAAGAAGAAGGAGGAGTCTCTTATCTATGTTGGTGTAACTAAGCTTCTGCCATAGCCTATCTCTGGGAATGGAGTCAAAAGCGGCGGTCAGGTCCACAAAAGCCGCGTGTAGTTTGCAGTTAAACCTGTTTAGGTATTTATCAATCAGGGTAAATAGAACAAGACATTGGCCAGATGTACTGTGACCTTTACGGAAGCCAGCCTGTTCCGGGTGGAATAGCTTTGTTTCTTCTGCCCACTCGATTAATTTCTCTAGCAAGAATCTAGAGTAAACCTTGTATGATATGTCTAGCAGGCTGATGGGTCGATAGTTACGCGGATCTTGTGGGTCCCCCTTTTTATGTATTGGGATGACTATGCTCTGTTTCCAATTTGGCGGGATCTTAAGAGTGGCATTAATAGTGGTAAAGAGAGATGCAAAAATAGGGGCCCACCACATCTGGTTCGATAAGAATACCTCGGGTGGAATCATATCCTCCCCCGGGGATTTATCCCCTGATAACATGCTAATTAGTTGTACACATCTCTCTGGGGAGACTGGCTCCCAGGTGGGCAAGGGAGATGCAGGAAGAGTGGAAACTGCGTTTACGTCGGAATCTGGGGCAGAATACAGCTGAGCAAAGTGAGAGTGCCAACTGGCTGCTGTGATGTTATTAACGATGAATGAGGGGGGTCTTAAACCTGCATTAATTAAATTCCAGAATTTCTTGTCGTCACGGGTTTTAATGGCCACTGACAATGCCGTCCAGCGTTCTTTCGCAAAGATCAATTTCTTATGTTGGAGCAACTTCTTGTAGTAAGAACGGAATTGGGCTAACTCCCTGATTTTGCTCTGGGTGCTGTCTGATTTCATATCAGACTGAAGAAATCTAAGCCTACTTCTGCACTGTTTGCATTCTTGGTCGAACCAAGTTTGATTCTTCCAGGTTAGACTCGCACGGGAGGGTTTCGTAAGTGTTGGGAGCAAGTAGGCTAGAATTTGTTGGAAACTTGAGAAATGATTCACATTCATTGTTACCAGCTGAGCTTTCAGGGCTAGGATCTCAGGGGAATTTAGGAGGACTTTTATGTCTTGCTCCAAATAGATATCCCACTTCTTACGACCGGGGCTAAGGTCAGTGAATCCTGGTGGGGGAGTGAGCTGGGGAGCCCCAGCTGTGTGTGGTGGAAGGAGATGGCAATAGGAAGGTGGTCACTTTCGGTTCTGTTGAACACATTGAAACAATATGCCTTATCATTAAGTGCCGAAAAGGACCAGATATAATCTATAACGCTTGCCCCTCTAGATCCTAGAAAAGTATAGTATCCCCCGGACCAGTCTTTGGGTGTACCATGCAAGCTGTGCAGCCCGCAGTTAATGGTAAACTCCAACAGTATGATGCCAGCCCTATTAATGGTCTTGTCATGTGAATTCCACGTAGGAAACCACTCCTCTTGTATGAATAGTTGCGACTTATCGGTGAATGAGCTTATATCTGCTCCGATTCTGGCATTAAAGTCCCCCATTATGAGGATCTCTGACTTTGGGAATTCAGCCACAGATTTATCAAGGATAAATCTTAGATCCTCCCAAAACCGATTTGTATGGGAAGAGGAGTAGGTAGATGGATTGTACAAATTAACACATATGAAGTCCCCAACCGGGCTGTTAGTGATGTGCAAAATTTGAATACAATTACTCTCTAACCAAAGGAGAGGAGAGATATTAAGATGAAGCTCCTGCGAAACAAATGTTACCAGGCCTCCACTAGGGCGCCCATACAAATGTGTTTTGGTCGCAGGAATCACAAAAGCATCATAGCCCAATAGGGAAGGGGGGGGTGACGATTCTAAGCACCAGGTCTCTTGTATACCCATAATCTGGAATTTCGCTAAAAACTCTATCATATCCCCGCCATCCTGTTTGGACGTCCATCCCGCCACGTTCCAGGATAGCACATTGAAGCAGTTTGGGGAGGGACTATGTGCTAGTCAGATACTCTGGTTGCTGGTGGAAGAAGCATTGCCAAGGGTCTGAGACCGCGCCAGGCGTGATACAGCCGAAGGTATCGAAGGGGTGGTAATTTGATTGATGTGGCCAGCAGGGTCTTCAATAAAGCCTGAGCTGTCTCTTTGCACAGTGGCTTCCTTAACGTTTATATGTTGGCTTGAAGAGGTTACGGATACAAGAGGATCTACCAAGCGAGGTTGACTGACAGAGGACGAGGATATACAGTCGTCTGCCTGGACCGCACTGAATGAGGACTCCAGGTCAGGCATGGAAGAATAGGACATTGACAGATTACCTGGATGAATGGTGTTTGGCATATTGCTCTTTAAGGCGAGGGACGAGGTAGTTGATTGCAAATCTATTAGTAGAGGTGAAGAGGATCTGCGTTGCGACGGTGTATGAGGAGCTTCCGCCAGGCAGACTGCCATATCATCCGTTATTGGAGTCCCAGTGATTGGCAGGGGTTTCTGGGGTGTTAGCCCCTTCATGACTGCGTTCCTTTGATTTAATAGGTTGCTATGACCAGGTTTTGAAGAGATTTTCTCTTGAAGTACATGTGTAAGTTGCTGCTTGAGTGTATCAAGCCTGTTTATAACTTCCTGCTGTTCTACTAATGGCAACTCGCCGTAGGATGAAATAAGGTCCCTCTCCTCTGAGGAAGCCAGATGACTGGGTCCGCTTTGGTCATGCTTCTCTGTTGCTGGAGTAGATAAACCAGGAAGCTTGGGCTGAGAGGGAGGGTGAGGTTCCTGGGTGGACGGCTTGAGTTTCAAGACTATGTCGCGCCTGTCTGGCGAGCGGATACCTTTTGTACGATGCTACGGAAAAGAGGTTTAGTCCTGGTGTCATTAAAGACTCTCGTTGGGAAGATGCCCCAGGAGGCCAATAACGCTTTGCGCCTAACCAGTATGGAGGGAATTTTTGGTGACTGGAAGGAGAGCAGTACTTTTTGGAACCGATGGTGGTAGTATAAAAGTGCAGTCAAAAATGACTATGGGGTGTGGTGCTCATCGCTTTCAGGCCAAGGGAGCCGGCATTTGTCCGCAGACAGCTTTCCGGGTCATGTGACTAAACCGCTTCTGGCACAATGGGACACCATGACGGAAACCAGAGCACAAGGAAACGCTGTTTACCTTCCCGCCACAACAGTACCTATTTATCTACTATTGCACTGGCGTGATTTCAAACTGCTAGGTTGGCAGGAGCTGGGACAGAGCAACGGGAGCTCACCCCATCGCAGGGATTTGAACCGCCGACCTTCTGATCGGCATGCCCAAGAGGCTCAGTGGCTTAGACCATAGCGCCCCTAATCCACCAATCCATCAGCGTATTGTACATTTTTACTTAGATGGGAGCCACAATGAATATCCTAGTCCTCATTCAATAGATACAATTAAAAATTTTAAAACCAACATCACCCCAGTACTTTTGCTTTGTTCCAGAAAAACTGGCTCTTATTAGCTACCCCACCACCCTGTGAAACATATCAGATTTGGAGGAAAACAGGTATCATTTGGCAGCTTTAATTTATCCTATAGCCTTGCTACATCAATCTACCAGCTATTACAATTATTAAATAAATGTATTAACTTACAACATTTTAAAGGAGGAGGTAGTGGATCTTTAGAGAGATCTGCATGCACAGTGCAGACAACCATCATCTCTCAGGTGGACTGCTTTAATGAGTACCTCTATCACAGACAGTGGAAGGCACATATTTGTATTCTCCAGAGAACCAGAAACTAGCTTCAGACACACAGCAGGACCTTTGATATTCCTTCCACCACTGCCAGGCAGAGCTCCTTTATACTGCATAGCAAGGCACTTCTGAAGCTTGAGAAGCATCTAAAATAGTTAGGGAAAATAGACAACACCAATTCCCAGAGGGCACATGCAAGCTCATGGGTATACTGAAAAGAGCTTCCCGGGTTGCAGCCATGATTGGAGGCCTTAGCTGTTAGAGCAGTTAAGGCTCCGGGTTAATTTTGCAAGAGCGCAGAGAATACTGACTCCGAGAGCCATGCAAATAACTCCCAGACAGATAATTATGATTTCACAATATATGATTAGCTTGTCCTGGTGCGCTGCCAAGATGGTTTTGATAACTTGCCCAAGAGCATACTGTGCATAGGAAGAAATCCACGGGAAATATAAGCAGATGAACGCCTTTATCTCAGTCTTCTGTTGTTGCTTGATGACAATGTCTGGGGCAAAACAAAGTGTTTGCGCTGAAATGATCTCAATTCAGATTTGGCAACATCAGCTTTGCATTTGCTTGGCACTTGAAAAAGCCGGTGTTAAATATATATGTAATACATGCATTTAAGCTTGTTCGGTTTGTCTGGGGAGAGAACAAGGTACAATATTGCTTTGCCAAATCGAGGCATTGGTAGGACAGACTAATTTGGAACCTCTGGTTATTAGAGTAGTGATGCCACAAAGAGTCCTATTCCACGGAAGAAGAGCTAATCTAACAAAGTGACATGAATCTGAAAAGAGGCCAAGAAACATACTTATTGAAGCACTCCAGGAAATATGCTACAACCTGAGGTGTTTCAAGTTTGATGGATCAGAGCAGTGCTAGTGTGGAGACCCTACAATTTTAAAAGCTCAAGAGGACAACCACCTATGTGATGGGTGGATAATCTAAAACTAACAGCAGGGCTTATCTCTCCAGAGAATGCTGGAGGGAACTTGAAGAGGCATATATCCAAAGATGGGTGTGAGACACTGTAGAACAGGCTCCCGCAACCTCGGTCCTCCAGATGTTTTTGGCCTACAACTCCCATGATCCCTAGCTAGCAGGACCAGTGGTCAGGGATGATGGGAATTGTAGTCTCAAAACATCTGGAGGGCCCAGGTTGAGGAAACCTGCTGAAGAAGAAAGAAAGCTCCCCCACAGAATTACTTTTTGGTTGACAATATGAGGTCCCAAGAGTAATTTAGTACTGAGGGTGTACTATCGGTCCCCTCTTACCAAAGTGCTCTGGGTGATCTTGAGTTGGAAAATGAAATCAGGGATTCATCCAAAGGCATTGTAGCAATAGGATTAGTTTGATTAGCTGCACATACACTGAATACTTGCTCTGGTCACAAGAAGCAGGCAACATTTATAGATACCCCAAATTGACTGTGTCCTAGAACCAACCAATCGGGAGGTGACCATGGACTTAACTCTAAGCAGCACCCAGGACCTAGTAATCATTGTTTAACTGCTTGGAAACAATGAACACAGTAATAATAAAAATTAAGTTATATCTAGATGGCCTATTAACAAGCAAGTCCCATGCACATTGACTTTATTGCAGTTGTCATGTATTAATGAACTGGGCTTTCTAGAAAAGTAATACATCAGCTTGCTAAGTTCAAAGGAGGAATTTGTGTGTGCTTTTGAGCTTCAAATTGTTTGTATGTGTGTCGTTTGTTGTTGTTGTTGTTGTTGTTGTTGTTGTTGTTGTTGTTACAAAAGTGCATACAGCACCTCTCTTTTCCATTCATAGAATCCTTTCTACAGAACTGGCCCTATTGAATATTTTCCAAGACAATAATGCACACTCACACTGCAAAGTACTCATAAGCCACCTACTCTCAGCAGCCAGGAACATCATAACTAGACACTGGAGGGACCTGTCTATAACATTAGTGTCTCACATCAAATATAACTGATCAGTTTACATGTTGTTATTATAGACATTTATTCCATCTGTAGGTGGTAGGGAGATCTGAATCAACAGAAGCAACTTGCAGGAGGGAAAACTTGTTTGAAAGGGAGCAGGCACCAATATCTCTTACTCTGAATGGTGTGAGGAAAATCCTGCTGGCTGTAGAAGTAAAACCCATTAGTTGCTATCACACAGCACAGCAGAACTTATTGTTCTTTTCGTCTACGCCTCCAGTGCTTAGGCAGAGTCTGCTCATCTCCAATCACGCTTCTTTGCCCCTTTGTGCTTTCATATGACTGGAGGCCAAAGACCCACAATGGCCTCTCTTTCTTTTCAGCAATCTTTTTATGGATGCATCACAACAGACCTGTTGCTCTAAAAAGCAAGTTCTATATCAAATGCAAATGCCGCTAACCTAGCTTCCCTGCTTTCTTCTTCCTCGTCCCATGAGCCCCAAACACAGAGCAAAGCTACCGTATACAAAATTGATGGTTTGAGTACTTCGATGAGGTTGAGCCAATATGGCCTTTGCTTCCTTGCATCAAAGAGGCATGCATTCCCCACCTCCCTGCCTCTCTCTCTCTGTTCTTTATTTCTGTAAGAAACATCTGCCTTCTGTAGGTGAGGAATCATAACAGTGGTACAGATGTAAGCATTAGTACACATAGGGAAGAAGTGTCAGATACAAAGCAAAGGAGAGTGGTTAGTTATTTACAATCACCATGTGGACATGAAGGCCCCCAGCTTCTTCCTGGTCCTTTTTACTGCTATGCCGCACTGAG